GTCAGCAGAACAACTCGCAGATGTGATCTACCGCAACATCACCTCGGTCCACGGCTGGCCGGAGGAATGGATCACGGACAGAGACACCAAGTTCGCATCAAAGTTTTGGCAGGCTCTGATGACGAGACTGGGTACGAAAAGTAAGCTCTCAACCGCTTACCACCCACAGACGGACGGACAGACGGAACGACTCAACCAGGTCGTCGAACAATACCTACGGTTGTACGTCAATTTCCAGCAGGATGACTGGGTCGAGCTGCTGCCGACAGCGCAACTCGCCTACAACACCACCGTCACGGAGACCACCAGGGTCACACCATTCTTCGCGAATTTCGGCTACGAAGCAGATTTGCGACAAGGGCCCGAAGTTTCGGTGCCCAGAGCGGCAGTCAAAGCCGACAAAATGAGCTCGCTGCACGCGATGCTCAAGGAAGAACTCGAATTCGTACGAACACGGATGAAGAAGTTCTACGACAGAAACAGGCTCGAGGGACCTCGCCTAGAGGAGGGGGGCAAAGTCTACCTCATTTCTCGAAATCTTCGCACGAAGCGACCAAGCAGGAAGCTCGACTTTCGCAAAGTCGGACCGTTCAAGATCGACAAAAAGATTTCGGAGAACAATTACGCTCTCGCGTTACCCTCGACAATGCGACTACGGACCAACGTTTTCCACATCTCACTTCTGGAACCAGCGCCCAAGGGCGCACGACTCGACAAGGACGCCGAGGCAGAAGACGAAGAGGAGGAATGGGACGTTGAGGAAGTCCTAGATTCACGCATCACGAAAGGACAGTTGGAGTATTTGGTCAAATGGCTGGACTTTGGCCCAGAAGACAATTCATGGCAACCAGCTACAAATCTCAACTGCCCCGAGAAACTTCAGGAGTTCCACCAGAGGAACCCGGATCGACCAAGGGAAACCCCGCAGACAAGTCGACCCCAGCGAGGAAGGGGTCGTCCGAAAAGAAACTAGCATAGTCAGCACGAGGACGAGAAGAAGCAGGAGAGAGAGGGGGCACACCTTTGACCCCAGGAAGGACCCAGGGGAGAAGCGACAACGGCACTCGAAGACGGCTGCGCGACGGCAGCCTCGCGGCGCTCTTGCTCCTCCAGCACCCTCCCCTCCTGGTCAAACATCCGGCGTGCCTGATCCTCCAAGGACTGGTGTTGACGGCGCAAGCGGTCAACCCGCGCGAGGGCGGCGCCTAGGGCCTGATCGGCCTCTTGACGCTCCTTGTCCAGTTGACGTTTCTGCAGGACCAAGCGTTGGAAGGCGGAACTATCGTAACCGAAGGAGTCACAATTGTTATTGTGCACCTTGGCGCATGCGGTGCAGACGTCGTCCTCAGGAGGCACGCGGCAATCAGGAATGTTCTTTTCTTTGCAACGAGAACAACGGGCCATTTCAACGGCAAACTCGTCTCGGGCGGATGCGCGATCGCGGCGGCGATCAGTACTGGATTTCTGCGATCGTTTCTTTCGCACACGGTTAGGAGGCATGATGGGTAGAGGCGCAGAAAGAAGGGAGACACCCACCCCAGGACGAAGGGAGGAGGACTAGCCGGCTCCTTATGACAAGAACCACGGAAGGGAATAAGGTCGTCGGGACGTCGACCGCGGAGGAGGGGCATCGTGTCACGGATTAGGCCCAACGCGGTCTTGGCCTGCGGGATGCGGGACGTCCCGGCCAATCATTTAAGGGTCCAACGGCCAATCGTTGCGACACGTGAAAGCGCTCCCGACGCTCCCTCTCGAGGAAGGGAGCACGGGGAGCACTCGCCGCACTCACTGCTCACGACGCTCCCATCGCTCCTCGGGAGCATAGGGAGCAGAGGGATCAACACGTTAGATAGCAGTATATAGTCACTCGTTCTGGAGAGCTCTGGGAGTTCTCCAGTTAGCAATCACAACTACAGTTCGCTACAAGCTCGAGAGCCTACTGTTGAGACAAGTCTTTGTTGTGCACCCTTTGGCTGCACCGAACCTAAGCACCCTTGAGAGAATACCTTCGACCGATACTGAACCCTAACAGGACGGGTCCAGAGACAGGTTCGTCACATATATATATAGCAGACCTTTACTATCTAAAAGTATACCCTCTTATATATCAATATATATACCTTTATATATAGTTAGCTATAAGACTTCGGTAAAACGAACTTCCGTTTCAACCCTCAGATCTAGATCCCGGACTATATTCCTAGCTAAAGGTACTAAATCATCTTACCTTAGCATATCGAACATACTCGGACATAGATCTATACTTGGATCGACAAGCATATATTCCGCTAGGTATTTAAGCCGTTTTTATAGATTATCGATTGGAACCAGACCTTTAATAACCGATAGAAGAAGCTATTCTACTTCTTAAAGGTTATATTTACAACTATATTTAAGGAGATTAGTATAGTAGTTATCTCTAAATTGATTATAAATAAAGGTAAAGAGTAGAAGCTGAAGAGGAACGATGAATAGCTTAAAGACAAGACCTAACAGTATATTATAGATAGGGTATTCGAAGGCCTATCTACATTTAACCGCTTTAAGTATATTAAGTTAAAGCATTTAATATAGCTTAAGCCCAGTATTAACAATATCGAGGAATAGGAGTATACTATAAGTATTATAATATAGTAATTGCTTTAGGAGTATATTATTACCGGCTCCCTCTCTCTATCTAACTCTAAGCCTAATAAAGATAATAACGAGCTAGTTCGGAAGATAATATAGCTACCCCCTCAATATAATGTTTAATATAGAAGACCCTACCAAAAGAATTAGCCTACCGCCTTCCCGATTTCAGTGGTTCTGCTTGGCAGAAAAAGGCCCATAGCCACTATGTCACGGATATGGCCGCATGCAGCCGGCCGGCGGGGTATGATGGCAGTAACCCCGGACCAATCACCCGACGAGGCACTCAGCCAGTAAGAAGCGAGAGCCATGGTGCTCAATGTGCTCAGAGCCAAGACTCGTGAGCACCATGAGCACCAGGTGCTCAATGTGCTCAGAGCCAAGACTCGTGAGCATAATGAGCAACAGGATTAGATAGTATATAGTCACTCGTTCTGGAGAGCTCTGGGAGTTCTCCAGTTAGCAATCACAACTACAGTTCGCTACAAGCTCGAGAGCCTACTGTTGAGACAAGTCTTTGTTGTGCACCCTTTGGCTGCACCGAACCTAAGCACCCTTGAGAGAATACCTTCGACCGATACTGAACCCTAACAGGACGGGTCCAGAGACAGGTTCGTCACACACTAACAGTTTAACAGGCGGTAAGCCAGTTCTTTTAGTAGCATTATCTATATACTATACTAACCTCTATAACCGGCGAGGTTGCCCGTATATTTAGCATCTCTAGTATAGGTATATTTAGTATATTAGCCGCTCCTTTTACCGGTTATAGTATACCAATAGGATAGGATAGCTAGAGCGTTTCTAGTTAAGGTATATTACCTACTATCACTAGTAGTAGTATAGCATCCACCTCGATCAATATTCCTATTAATCTATAGCTTACTGCTAATATTATCGAGTTCAGTAGCTATAAAAGCTCCCTCCTATTTCGGTCCCTACAGACTACCTAGATCCTATAGCTATATTTAAGCCTAGCATCCATCGAACAGCCATTATTACAGGTAGTAGCTATAAAGTATTATTATAGAACTCCCGAGCTAGAAACCGCCAAATACTAGGTTGCTAAGATAGAGATAGATAATCTCTATAGTACTAGCCCTCCATCTAAACTTATACTTACTTATTATCCAAACCCGTCGGTTAGCCCAACATACCCTATAACTCCTATATATAATATGACTGGCCCTTATATTGATATTATACCGGCCTAAACCTTAGCATTTACTATACCTGGTATAGCTACTACTATATAGACCGGTATTACTAGCCTAGCTCTGATACCTACTTAGTATAGCGCTTCTTCGGTACAACCCCCTATACAACCTATTAACAGGCCGCTTAGTTACTCTCTTATCCCTACCTACATTACAAATATTCTAGCGCCTATTCTCCTACCCAGTATATTTAGTAGGCCCTATAGTACTACTCTCGCAGCTACTACTATTACTACTACCGATGCTGCCGGTACCGATACTACCGGTACTATAGCTGCTATTTAGAATACTAACAGCGAGGCTACTAGTACTAAGGTAATAGTTGGTATATCTACTATATCTACTAGAGTATTATCTTATATATTAACTCGGTTATAAACCTACTAAGATATTTCAGGGTCTAATACTGCTTATACTAGCTATAGCTAACCTATATTGTATAGTATAATATATAGTAGTAATTATTCTACTTATATCTATACTTATAGTAGTAGCTATAGTTATAGTCTAGCTAGCTAAAGCGATAGTACCGATAATAATAATATATATACTATATAGAGTAGCTATACTATAACCTAGCTCTTTTATATATAGTCTTCTATCGATCTTAATAACTCTATCTATTATATAATACCCCCCCCCCGGTAGTAGCAATAAGTATAACACTAATAATAGCTATAATAATAGCTCTATCAGTCTACTTAAGCTCTATACAGAGTATATAAGCTGGTATTATACCGGCTACTACTAATAGTAGCTATAACTTATAAGCTAACAGTAGATAATCTATAGGGGATCTTAGACATTCTATAATATAGGGTTAGGTATCTAGATAAGTAAAAACTAGTTATAGAGGAACAATACAATTATTATAATAGTATATATTTATAGATAGATCAGCACCTCAATTAATCCCAATTCTATATACCTTTTTTACCTTTACTATAGTTGAGTAACGCTCGGTGGTTACAATACAGGGCGGTAAGATGTAGTGCCTATACCGCAGTGATGTTGCGATTTACAGCGGCGTAACCACTGAAGTTGAGACTACCGAATTTTAGACCAATTAAAATAGCCAATTATATAGGGCATCGTTCAATCGTTGTACGGGCGATAATGCTTGTTTTTATCCCAATACTTATTTCATCTGATAATGCTTATTGATGTTGTCCCAACGCTAATAACCGCTGTGGCCCCCCACATTTTCCCACTACGGTATTCTCTCCGTTGACTCGGGAAGAAACTCGGTGGGTTTGGCGATACTAAAACATCTCAACAACGATAAACAGGCCCCAAGGTTCTAAAGAACACATCTAGTCTCTGTTAACACTGCTGATGTTATTCAAGGGGCGTGGGGTGCATGCTGTCTGAGACCATGTTGACATCACCAAAACGGTTGTCAAGACAGTTTCAATTCAAAAGCAGATAGTGACATTACTAGCATTAGACTGATCCCCCTTGATCCGATCCGATATACCCACAACGCCCTAACACAGATACTCATGCTCACACGGATCGTCTGGCACTACGGTGATGGTAATAACCTGCGGCGACTTTGTCGTAGTCGTCTTGGGGGTTAGATACGTAATGAAGGTGGTCACGACGGTTGGGCCGGCGGTGACGGTGGTCAAGGTCCGGATGGTGGCTGTCGGCTGGCCCCCGTCGTCCTCTTCGATGGAAACACACTGCGAGTACCAGATGCTGCGAGCAAGGAAAGGCCGTGACGTTAACCATTCGTGTTCTCGTTCCCTGATTAAGGAAATAGAAATAAAGCGCAACAGCCAGAGGGCAGAAGGTCCTAGAAGAAAGAAAAGAAAAAAGGGGGACTTACTTTCCGTCAAACTTGCAGTATGCCCCGGGCGGACATTGCGTCGGCCCTGTGTACGTCTGCCCGCCGCCTATCAATCTTGGTTAGAACATACTCTCTTTGACCTCGAAACTGTACCATATTCTCTCTTACATTGACCGTAGAGTGACTGGACTGCTGACGGCGGGGCAACAGGTGTGGGGGTTGGACGCCGTGTGAATCTTTGGGCGACTGTCGCCTCCACCAGGAGACACGAGAGCAAGAGTGACTTGAGCATGGCGGGAGTGGATGGATGGTGTCGTAGAGGAGTGATTGAGAATAGAGACGGAGAACACTGGGATGGACGGTTTTATAGACAACGAGCCCCTGCCCATCCCCGGAACCCAGGCCAACACCGAAGCCCAGACCCGGACAAGCAGATACCCAAGATCCGGGTTCCCGTGTTGGAGTATATTAAGTTCCCACCAAGGAGGGAAACGTGGGATGTGGTTCATATGGCTCGCTACCGCAACATTGGACGAGGAGTGCTCTGGCCCGCCAGACATTATCTCAGGGACTCGATACAGAAGACGAAACGCTTTTAAGGTTCCCTGAAAGAGAGGACAGCGGGTCCGCCCATTGACATTTGAGTTTGAAGATTTGTTCAAAGCGCGCGCATCTATCAAAAACAACCTAGTATGTCTCTGTCTAGGGCCTGTCACTGATAGCCGTAGTCTTTCTTCGAGGGGATGGCCGGCCACGGACATGGGATAAATGCCCTCAGCCAAGCCTTCGATTACACAGAACCTGCGTGAAGCTGGCTGCTAGATGCATGGGAAGAGTATAAACTATGGTGCAGTCCGACTCCAAACCATATCAAGCCGCTGCTATTTTGGGCAGCTGGCTCGGGGGGTAAGGCGATGGGGTAGTTCCGGATGATAGAGTGCAGACGAACCGCGGCCGGAACAGCGGATAAAGGGCGAGTGCAGTGGACCGTGAGATTCCCGCGATGCCTTGCCGATGAAAAGAGGATGATTGGCCATGGGGGCGAATGGGATGGAGTGTATAGTGAATTAAAGTGAAGGTAATAAGAGGTGCAGACACACAAGCTACGCTTATGCTTCAGTATTCTACCCTGGTCGAATGTATCCAATGCCCAAAAGCATACGCCACGCTTTACAGTGAAGCTCCGCGATGTTCCTCGACCTCACAGAACGCCTTGAAGGTGATGAACTCATCCTCATCGGTTGAAGACTCCGATTCAAGTACGCACTCAGCGCTCGCGCCCACAAAGAAGACATATCCTTCCTTGACCTCCTGCACAGTCGGGCCAACCGAGATCTTGCCCTTGCCGGCAGTGCAGATAATGATGCTCGGGCCATCCAGTGGATCAAACGTGGCCTTGGACCCGTTTCCCCTAAGGGTTGAGCGCACCACGCTGAACTCCTCGATTGGGGGGTCATAGAGGGTGACTTCGGATCCGGAACTGTAAGCAGTCCGGTTTAGGGTGGCATACGGGTAGTCGCATGGCTCCATCTTTTGCTCGTCGATGGGTGCGTAGCTGTAGGTTAGCATGCTCACGAGGGTGTCGACATCCTTGAATTTGGGGGTCAAGCCCGCCCGGACTACGTTGTCGCTGCTCGCCATGCATTCGATGATGTCGCCGCTGACATAGGCGTGAATGTCGTCGGCTTGGAGGAATAGGGCCTCTCCTGGCTGTAACGTGACAAAATTGAGGAAGAAGAGAACGAAAAGGCCATAGTCGGCCCCGAACTGGCCATGGAGTCGGTTCACCAGCTCGGCAAGAGTTGACCCGGAAGTGGCAGCAACACCGCCGCCAGCGAAGTCAGTGCCGGCACCCGCTGCGGACTCGACGAGGATTTTCGCAGCAGCAGCCATGTCGGTTTCTGACGAAGACATGAGCGCGCCAAAGGCCTTCTGTAAAGCCTTCTTGTTCCGTTCCACGGCCTCTTTCGATTCATCGCCCTTTGTGCTCTTGACTACCTCGGCGAATTCCTTGGCCGTGTCCTCGCCCACAAGCTGTCGCAGCGCGGGGACCGACCCTAGGAAATGGGTTATCTCGTCCAATGGGCGGAAGCCGCAGAACCCTTCGAAGGGGGTGATGGCGATGGCCATCTCAGGCTTGTGGTTGTCATCGGGGTAGTTTTTGGGGTCTTTCGCGTGAAGCTTCTCCGCCAGTTTCTTGTTGGGGTGCGCCTGGATTGACAGGGCCTTGTTGACGGAGAGTACCTTGAAAAGGAAAGGAACCTTGTTGTCGTAGCGGGCGGCGACGGACGAGGCGAGGAGCGCCTTGTTGTCTTGGACGAGGTCGAGGAGGGTGCGGCCGGTGGTTACATCTTTAGACGGGTTGGAGGGATGGGTGCCCATCCATAACTGAAAGCCGCTGTCGTCAGCTGGGGGTTCCTAAGAACGTAGGTAAAGCAGACGAACGTGCCTCGGCATATGGCTTGTCATCCTGAATCGCGAAGTCGGTCGAGGGCGTCGCCGCAGCGAAACGGGCGACTGCAGACGAATTGCCCTTCTTCCCCCACTCGTACGAGTTGGCCCCGCATTGCAGGCGGATGAGGGGAACTTGCATCGTCGGGAGTTGAACTGGAGCTTCACTAGTTTGGCTGTCTTGACTTTTGTGGTCAGGTACTTAATGAGAAGCCGGGAATGGAGACTTTGTGATCTAGGGGGGTTGTGTTTTCTGGGAGCTCCATTCAACCCCTCGCCTTCAAGTTTACGTCACAGGCAGCGCGGGGTTTGGATGGAATGCGATTTCGAAATGATACTGTGTTTGGTCCAATATTACACGGTAAATCTCGCATTGGCACAGTGTCAAAATGCCAAGATGCAACCCCTGGTAGCTTCCCCGAACAGGTGCTGGAAATACAGGAGCTTTTGAATCTCAGGCCCCCTGGGGCCGTCCAACACGGCGAAACGCGCCGCAGACAGGCGCGCAGGCAGGCCGGTAGGCTCCCGACGGTGGTTGGCGAAAGCCCAGAAACATAAATACCTTACTCTCATCAACCAGAGCTGAGGGTGCCGCCTTTTATCAATCATCTCAATCCCCACATCCAGTTCCGTTGCGAGCGGTTATTTTAATCACCTTTTTTCATCCTAACTGACCCGTTGAAGGAACTCGCATTGGCGCGACAACCTGAGATCAGCACTTGCGCTGTGACATCCCGGGGAACCGCAGCGGCGGCAACCGACACAGTAAGGCGACGAATACTTCGTATTATCCATACCTACCTTACTGCGTAGTGTAGTTATCCAAACCAGGCTCCCAGGGATCTCTTTGTGTGCCCCGCTGGCACGGGGGTAAATACCTACCTCACGAATACCGGCGTACAGAATACGTTGAGGGAAACCCAGCTGCCAAGTACCTTACCGTGACGACACGCGACGGAACCCACTGGATTCACACTCCTCGCGTCCATCATGTCTTCACGCAACCGCAACTCACGGGGGCCAAACCGCAACAGTGGCAACGCCCAGGGGGAAGAGGCCCATCTGTGGAGCCAGGTTAAGGAGGACATTCGGGCCATGGTTGACGACCTCAACGCAAGCAACGACTCGATCCGTGCCGTGGCAGCACAGGATAACTACATGGTCAAAAACAAGGACGGCGTTGACATCACCGTCGAGGAACAGAAGCTCGACAGCCTGCTGCGGAGCGGCGTTAAGGGGTCCGATTTGTCCAAGCAGCAGATCGATGCGCTGATCGAGCGTGTCACGGTCTTGAGAGCACTGGTCAAGGCTAGGGAAGACGCAGAGGCACAGGCAGCCGGGCCATCGGGCTCGTCCGGCCGGGAGAGGTCAGGAGGCTTGTTATCCGCCTCGGCCAGGTCCGCGTCAGCACGAGGGGTTAGTGCGCGTGACAAAGAGCGGGAACGGGATCGGGACCGCGACAGAGACCGTGATCGCGACCCTGGTCGCGACCGTGACCATGGTTCATTGTACGATTTTGATGGCTCCGGGGACTCACCCATGCCGTCACCGGTGGGAAGGAAACTGGGAGGAAGCGCCGGCGCGGGAAGCGACCGCTCGGCAAATCGGGATAGCGTTCCCCCACGCGGCGGGGACCGTGATACACCAGGGAAGTCGGATAGTGTCCCCCCCGAGTCTGGTGGCCTTGCCGCCACAGCGGCGCAACGGGCCAAGATCTCCTTCTTCAAGGGTCAGGACGTGGTGTTCAAGCCCAAACCAACGACGACAACCGACACCACGGAATGGATGTTGGGTAAGGTGCAACAGGTTCTCGGCGAGGGCAAGTCACGACGGTATAAAGTCCAGGACGCCGACCCCGACTTGCCCCCGGACCAACGCGTCGAGTATCGTACAAGCGCCAGCAGCATGATTCCAATCCCGGCTTCGGGCGCGGAACTCGCGGATCTCGACAAAGGCAAAACAGTGCTCGCACTCTATCCTGACAGTACCACATTCTACAAGGCCGAGGTGATGGGCACAGATGCTGCCACGCACAAGGTCAGCCTGCGCTTCGAGGGCGAGGAGAATAATGTCACACTGCAGCTGGTCGATAGGCGGTTTGTGGTCGAGTACAGGAATTAGGGGCCGTTTTGGGGGGTGTTTTGGCTGGCGGGAGCGTGTGAATAGATTCAAGGACAGCGATATCGAACTCCAAAAACGTTCCATTTCTCCAAGATCAGAGTCCTTCGTCAAGCGGGCCGTGACTCCACGGAAGGAAGGGACTCCATGATACCGTGGGCACAGGCCACCATCGGCAGAAGCTCGTGTTTTGATTGGCCTGGAAGTCAGGGGTAATCTATTACAGCTCCACCAAGCTTGGGGTGCAGGGTTTCGGACCATGCAGAAGCCATCGTTCCCTGTTAGGGGAGAGAAAACGCGGCTCCCGCGTCCACAACACCACCATTTGGATCTGCATCACGGTGTTCCCGAGACATCAGCCAAACTCAAAATTTTCCCATCTTGATTCTCGGTTGCTGGTTTGTTTGTTCCCGCCCAACTCCGTGCAATCGACCCACAAACTTTTCTGACTGCAAGGTATGTTGCACTAATCTCCAGTTTACCGTTTCATTTCCGGGGTCGGGGCTATCCATCTTTACCGCTCTGCTCTACCTTGATTGTCAGCCACGCTGCCCATGCTGATACGCTTTCGCTTCAGGCAGCCCCATCTCTCTCGACTTTCACAACTTTGCATCGTTCAGCGACGCACCCACACGCCTGCGTGTCACGAATCACCCCACGACTTCCTCCCGACCCCATTCGCATCAACCGTCTTCTCTTCGTAGAACCGGTTTCACACCAACCCATAAACACGAACACCGCTAGAGTCCGCTAGATTACTTCCTCGGACCAAGATGGGCGCCTCACTGTCCATTTCGAGCCTCTTCGGCAAACTCTTCGGGTCCAAGGAAGTGCGCATTCTGATGCTCGGTCTCGACGCCGCTGGCAAGACCACCATCCTCTACAAGCTCAAGCTCAACCAGACGATGACCACCATTCCGACCGTCGGATTCAACGTCGAGACTTTTACGTACAGGAACATCAAGTTCAACATGTGGGACGTCGGTGGACAGGACAAGATTCGCCCACTGTGGAGGCATTACTACAGCGGTGAGCACGCTCGAGTGGGAAGCGAGGGCTGGCCGGACGCTGACAAGCATGGCAGGCACACAGGGTCTCGTATTCGTGGTGGACTCGTCAGACCACAACCGGATCGATGAGGCCAAGACCGAATTGCACCGCATCCTGAACGACCTGGAAATGTCCGACTGCCTCTTGCTGGTGTTTGCGAACAAGCAGGATATCAAAGGCGGTATGTCTCACCCTAGGGAACTGCCCCAAACTCCGACCACTAACATTCTTGGATAATAGCTATGGACCCGCAAACAATCACTACAAAACTCGAACTCTCCAAGCTCAAGGAGCGGCCGTGGTTCGTCCAGCCAGCCATCGCCACCGAGGGCGAGGGCCTGACGGAGGGCTTCGGTTGGCTGTCGGACAACATCAAGAAGACGCCCAAGTACGGCGGCGGTGGGAAATGAGCGGTCTGCTCTCCAACCGCACGTGGTTGAACGGCCCATTCCGCTCGCCTCCCCTGCCGCGACACTACAGAGCACCGGCACGATGGGGGCTGCGAACGACCCATCTCCTCCGACCTCTCCCAAACAAAGCAACACAACGACGACCCAAGAGCTTAGAAACGGCACTCCTCCCCGACGAATACAAGCGCAGATGGCGAATGGCAGCGGCATCTCGACGACGCCGGCTCGCCCGACGGAGCAACTCTCGTTAATTTGGCCCCGAATTTTCCCAACGGGCTGCACCCCCCAGCCATAATTTTATGTCCTGCCACGTCCCTACTGGCCCGCCACGTCTCTGCACACCACACCTCAGCCGCGCGGTTTTCCCTATGTTCTGTCACGTCCACTTTAACGACCTCTTTATATCTTAATGCACGGGGCGCGGGCGCTGCACCCGGCGCCCCGTTTTTGTCTTCATCTGTTCACCATAGCCGGAGGAACACTGTCTATACCCAGGAGCGAGGAGGAGGGAGGGAGGATTGGCAGCGTCGGAGTTTGAGAACGTCGGGAAATGAACACAGTCTGAAAGAGTAGGCGCGCGCGCCCGTGATTGTTTTGTGTGTGATTACGGTACATTAATGTGAACATTTGACTCCCCCTACTCCTTCCTGATGGCTACCTATCGTATCCCCTCCCAACGTAACACGCTCAATGCTGTAGCGTTGGAACCAGACCGTAACCTTAAGAATCCAAGTTGTTGTATTTCTAACGCCAAACAGCATGCACCCTTTGCTTGTCTCACGCCGCCCAAATGCCAAATTTAAAACGCCGCGCAAACACTCCCGGCACACCATAAGAGTCCAACCCAATGCCGCCGCTGCTACCCCTCCTTCACGCGCTTCCCCGGACGGAGCGAGTCGTCCGGCAGGCCGCTGCGCTTGGTGCCCGGCAGGGAGCTGGTGCGGATGTCGTTGTCGTCCTGGCTGACGCGGCGGTGCGGGTACTCGGTCTTGAGGCCCTCGAAGCAGTTGGCGCTGACGGGGTCGCCCGTGCTGAAGAAGGGGTGCTGCAGCGCCGCCGCCGCCGTCAGCCGCCGCTCCGGGTCGTACTCGAGCAAGCCCGCGAGCAGCTTGTACCCCTCCGCCCCGAGGCTCGCCAGCGGGCTCGTGCCCGACCCCGGCCCGGACCCGCCCGTCTGCTGGTTGATGGTGTTGTAGTACCACTTCTCGAGGTGGCTCACCGCGGCGTTGGCCGCCGCCGCCTGGCGCTGCGATTGGTAGTGGTGGCCGTGGTGGTGCCCGCCGTGGTGGATGGGCGGCTGGAGAGTCGAGAGCTGGCTGTACTCGGTGGTGCTGGTCAGCAGCGGCCAGCGCTCCTTGGTTGGCAGGCCCATGATGTCGACAATCTTCTGCATCTGGTTTCGCTGGAACGGCACCGTCTTCTTGCTGTCCATCTTGGCTTCCTCGCCCTTGAAGATGGGCCGCAGCGAGAGCAGCTCGGCAAAGATGCATCCCACAGCCCACATGTCGATAGCCGGTGTGTAGTGCCGGCTGCCGAGGAGCAGCTCGGGGGCGCGGTACCATATTGTGACGACCACCTTATCGCCGCCGTAGAGACTGTGGAGAGGTTTGTAGGAGAGCCGGGCGAGCCCGAGATCGCCGATCTTAACCTCGCCGCCCGAGGTGACCATGATGTTGGCCGGTTTGAGGTCGCGGTGCAGCACCCAGTTGGTGTGGAGGTATTGGCAGCCGTTGAGCAGCTGGAACATGATGCTCTTGATGGTGCTCGGGGGTATCGGATGGCGGGGCTGTTGGGTGTGGTGGTGGATGATCTGTAGCAGGTCGTGCTCCGCATACTCAAAGACCATGAAGATGCACTTGTCCTCGAGGATGATTTCGACCAGCCGGATCACGTTGCCGTGGTTGAGCTCGGAGCACAGCGCCATCTCCCGGACGGCCGACTGCGAGATGCCCGTGTACGACGCTTGCTCCCCTTCCTTATCGGGCTTGAACTTCTTGATGGCGAACTCGCCCGGCTGGCCGTGGCGGCCGAGGGCCTTGTAGACGCGGCCATAGGTGCCGCTGCTAATGAAGCCGATGACCTTGTACCTGTCTGTCACCCGGACCTTGCTCTGGTAGCCCATGGATCCGGTCCCACGGCCCGTCGGGTCTGTGGCGACGAGTTAGCTCTCACGCCGCGGGTTGACATGTTGGGGTCGGCTCCTGATCAAAGACGTATCAAAGACGGAACAAGCGTGTGATGACTGACAAGGCCTCGGCTGCTGGTAGCTGACTTCAGCCCTCTGGCGTTTGGCCTGGTTCATGGCGGCGGCGGCGTCAGGGCCTGGTCCGAGCCCGCCGAGGAAGGGGAAGATGGGAAATGGGCCGGCAGGTGCGTAGTAATGGTTGTGCATCAGGCCCGATGAGCTGGACAAGCTAGACGAGACCCCTGGCCAGGAGTGATCGACGCCATATGTCTTGGCATCTCGGTGTCCGGTTGGATGGTAGTGGTTGTCCATGATGAAGGGTCCAAGAAGGAGGAGACCCGATCAAGAGCACCGCATGTTGCGGCATCGAGGGATGTGGAATAAAAGCCCGAAAGGACTTCGGAGTTGGGTCCCCCAAAAAGGCGAGAACACCGAGTAAGTCAGAAACTTGACAAAGCTCGGGCTCTTCGGGTAGCCACAGCCCCGTTACAAACGGGGGGGGAATGGGGTTGGTTTGGATGGGGGGGGGTTGAACGAGACACAAGGGACGGGAAAACAGATGAAGATGGAACCCATGGGATCCCATGATGAACATCCACATTACCTTCAAACGCAGCCTGCACGCTCCTCTTCAACGTTTGTGTTCGGGCAGCGGAGACCGACCCCGGGCCGGTAGCTGTGGAGGGAGGATTTGTGAGGCTCATTTGATGCTGGGGGCGCGAGGAGTGGGTTGGACACCAGGGGACAGGCCCGGAGGCCAAACGCGACTGGACCCAGGAAGGGGCAAGATTACCGAATGAGGCGAGTCAGCAGAAGGCGGAAATGGATATGCCCAAGTGCGGGCAAGTGCGGGCAAGTGCGGAGAAGTCGGGGGACATGAGATGGATCACGTAGCGAAATTGCCGGCGTTGCCGTGTGCTGCCCTCATTGCTGCCCAAACCGAGAAAGGAACCGCGCAGACCTAGGTTGGATTGGGGGGAGTGTGTGATAGTGGATGGATACTGGCTCACATCGGGGTTGTTGATGCGAATGAGACATCCATGGAAGGAGGGTTCGGATGTTTTGCGCAGGGGTGGGGCTTTCATGGGTCCTTCGGTGCTTGGCGGTCGAAGGACAATTCATCTTAACAGCTTGGGGCTGGTTTGACTTGAACATATGTTAGACGAGGGAGTTCCCCAAATTGGCTTCCCAATGTTGCCCCCCTTGAGATTCGGAGAGCAAATCGAGAAACAGCCCTCGCTCTAAGCTCGGCACTTGGGAGTGAAAAGCAATGAACGAAAGACCGAGTGGCACCGTCAATCAATCACGGCGAGAATGCACGAGCTCGGCGCGGCATCATCAACACGCCCGTCTTTTCGTCGTCTAAAAGTGCAACGCTTTGCTCCCCCGAACCAGCCTATCTGGGACCCAGCTTCTCGAGAACTCTGGGACCCTGCTCCTCCCATTCTTGCTTCGAAATCCACATGCTCTCCTTGTCTGCCATGATGTTGGCCAGCACCGCACCGCCGAGGAACACCATGTGCCGTCTCCGCGGCGGATCTTCTATCCTGACCTTGAACTTGTTCAGCCGTTCCGGGTTTCCTCCCAGCACCCTAGTGAGCCACAGCTGCTTGATCTCCTTCTCCAAACGTGACGGTAGGCCCGGGTACATGCTGCTACCGCCCGAGAGGACGATGGCCTTGAAGAGGGAAGAACGAACATCGACATCGGCGGACTGAATGGTGTTGAAGAGGAACTCGGCGATGCCGGGTTGGTCGCAGTCGACAAGGTGCGGCTGGAACAGGCACTCGGGGGCCTCGAACCGTTCCGACCCCACGCGAATGACCCGCCCGTCGGGCAACGTGTAGCTCTCCACCAGGACCGTCGTGTCCTCGCTTAACCGCTTGTCCAGCTCCAAGTCGTAGGAAACATAGCAAAGCTTCTCCTTGATCTGGCGCACCGTCTCGAAATCGGCCGTTCGGTTCAGCGCGTATCCCCTGCGCAGCAGGAGTGCGATGAGGTTGCGCGTGACATCGCGACCGGCCACGTCGAGGCGGCGCGTGAGGTGGTTTAGGACGACGGATTCGTAAACGGGAACGATATGCGTCACGCCGTCACCGGAGTCAACAACCACACCGGAACTAAGACCTGAGTGAAAGGCAATAGGGTTAGTTCGGCTCTCCAGTGGCAAGATTTCCACAACACAGCAGGCTCCAGCGCTCGGAGTCCGGGGTTCGCACCTTGGGCATACAGAGCCAGGACAGCCTGGATAGCAACGTAAACCCCGCCAAACTGGTACCGCTCAAACATGACCTCGCACATCTGCTCGCGGTTCTTTAGAGGGTTGAGGGGCGGCTCGGTCAGGAGGATCTTGCGGCCGCGTGGGTCGACCTTCATTTTCTCGTAGAAGGTGTAGTCCCACAGGTGCTGCATGTCGTCCCACTTCTTGACGATGCCGTTTTCCATCGGATAGCTGACTTGGAGCATGGTGCGTGCGGCGGCGGCCTCGTCTCCGCACATGATGTCCTTGATCACCATGTCGCTCCCCCCCTTCTCTTCGGTACGGAGGATCGGGCGGCCGACGATAGACGGGTATTGAAACTCGGGGAAGTTTTGGGCAGCATAGCCGACCTTAAGAAAGCCGGTGCCGCCATCGAGAACTAGAAAAGAGACGGCGACGTTAGCTCTAGTCGGGTCTGATATGATGCTTGCCCTGCTGGGCGCCACGATGCGGTCACTGCGCTAGCTAGGTACGTGGAATTGGCAGATCGCTCTTACCTATGGGGGGTGGGTTCGCCATTGTCAACCCGCACAGCAGCTACTGGAGGTAAAATGGACAGTCGGACAGCGAAAGGGTTGCGACCGGCGAGCCGCTAGTTGTCGACAGCAAGCTAAGGCGTGGTGATGTCCCGGGTTGAGGTGATGGTGGGGTTGCGGCGGGCAGCACCTCCTGGAACCCTGGCAGCCGCCTGTCACAGTGCGTCAGCAACGTTGTGGCTGGGGATGGCAGGGGACTGTAGGACCCACGTGATACCCCGCAGAGCAACCATGGCACAAGTGGGGTTTCCATGAAGCAACTCCAGCATCAGTGAGGCTCTGAGAGTCAACATTGCTCAAAGTTACAAAAACTAGACCATTTTATTATTGAACCCAACCATCAGACCGGCACAATGACTACCAACCTCGTGAGACGAACGACCAGAATCTTAGTCCTAAACCCCAACTCATCCAAGGCCATGACGCATGGCCTGGAGCAGGGTATCAGAGAGATGGAGCTATCCCAAGTATGCAATTTGTAATTATCTTCAGGGAGGAAGAGAGGAACAAGGTACCTACCTACCTAGATGGCTAACCTGGTCAGTCCACCGAAGTACACACTTACACCGCACCTAAGGAGAGCCCAGCAAGCATCAATGACGGCGACGATGTGCAAGATAGCGCCCGAGTCGTATCCCAGGACTTGGAATCCACAGGGCTACTCAAACATTACGACGCAGTGCTGGTGGCTTGTTTCAGCGTCCATCCACTAGTTGGTATGTTGGCCGACAGGGACGGCGAATTCGGCAAGCTCGCGGTGACGGGTATCTTTGAGGCCAGCATCTTGACGTGCCTGTCATTACTGCGGCCGGGGAAGAAATGGGGTATCGTGACGACAGGTAAATTCTGGGAGGAGCATTTGAGACAAGGGCTAAACAGCTTCTGGGGAACCCAGTCCGATGTCCCCAATACCAAGTTTGCCGGGGTTGAGACGACAGGCTTGAACGCCGGCGATTTCCACGGCGGTGTTGATCCCGAAGTTGTGCGAAAGAAGTTGATGGCGGCCACCACGAGGCTCCTGAAAAGCGGCGATGTGGAGTGCGTTGTCATGGGCTGTGCGGGCATGGCCGGGTTGGAAGAAATTATCCGATTTGTGGCCGCTGACGAGTATGGCCCGGAGAAAGCCAACGAACTCCTGGTTGTTGACGGCGTGAGGGGCGGCATTGGGTTGTTAGAGCAAATGGTCCGCAGCAAGCGCGCGTTTCGGAAAACATAATGAGTATTAAGAAGCAGGAAACGCATGTACAGGTATAACGAGCCCATCCCGCTGCCATCATTTTCAGTCGGTGCGTCTTGTCCGGCCCCAAACCTCATCGGCATCCCTCTTCCCCTTCGTCTCAGGCACGCTTTTCCCAATAAAGGCCGCACACAGAAGGGCGAAACCTGCAAAGATGAAGTAAGCCCATCCGGCACCACCCAGGGCATCGTTCAAAGCTTGATTGACGATGGGGAACAGGTATGCAACGATGAAGGTCGCAATGTAGTTCGCTCCCAGTGCCCAAGACTGCGTAGCGCCAACAGCTTCAGGACCGACCAGCTCCGAGGCCATGATGAACGGCACGGGCCCAAGACCAATCGCGAAGAAAGCAACAAATAGGAGAACTGCAACTGCCGACATAATCTTCAATCCAAACCTGATAGAGAGGGCGAGGGCTAAGGAGCTCGAGCCTTGGCCGATGACGGAGATCAAAAGACAAGTCTTGCGGCCGAGCCGGTCCGGGAGCGGAGACGCGGCCATGGTCGTACCCAGGTTGATAACCGAGATCATGATGGTCAGGAGCGCCGAGCTCACCGGGAGGAGGTCGTTAAGAAGCGAAACAGAGTACATGATGATGGAGTTGATGCCGCACAGCTGTTGGGCGAACATGATACCCACCACGGCAATAATCGCCGGCCGATACAACGGGTCACGTACGACTTGCACAAAGCCCAGGTGCGCCTTCGGTGACCGTGAACCGGGGGATGACGGCGACAGTAGCCCGGCGCCAGCCTCGACCGACTCCGCCTCCTCCGCGGCCAGCAACCGCTCTCGTTCATCAGGCGGTTTTCCGTCACCCGCCCCCCAGGCCTCCACTTCCTCGTCGATATTGTTGTTCTTGCCCCGAATTCGCTGCAGCGTGCGGCGGGCACGGCCAACGTCACCCTTCACATTCGCCGTCCAGGACGGGCTTTCGGGAACAATCAACAGGCCGAGGGCTTGCGCAACCGCAACGATAACACCGGTGCCGAAGATCCACCGCCAGGCACTGTCGTGACTCATGAAGTAGCCCAAGGTCTGGGTAAACAGGATACCGACGTTGATGCTGATCTGGGTGAAGGCGCCGAAAAAGCCACGCTTCGTAGGCGGAGCCACCTCACTGATGTACAGCGGCACGATAACCGTGCTAGCGCCGGCACCGATTCCTGTGAGGAAACGGGCGATTATCATGACGGGAACCGACGCGGCGAATGTCTCGATGGTCGATCCGAGGAGGTAGAACACGGCCGTCGCCTGCATCGAGAGCCAGCGGCCACGGCGCGATGTAAATGGGCCAGCAGCCAGCGCCCCGACAAGGCCACCGACTGTGAATACGGCCGAGATGGCGGCGAAGGACGCCGCGGTCATGGGGATACAGTCGGCAGGTGCGGTTGAGCTCGTGCTAGAGCTGGAAACGAGTGACATCAGATTCTCTCTGAGCGACACCGTGACGGACTTCGTTTGGCAAGTGATGACATCTTGGGGTGCGTTTAGTTCGGCCTGCCGACATAGGAAGGCACAACGTTAGCGAAACCGGCCAAATTCCAGCTAGAGAATGGAGGTTCCGGGTTGGTGTCTGTCTCTCACCAAGTGGTAGCCAAACTGGAGCGGGCCGAGGGTGGCGACCGCCACGAGCAGCACCATGTACGGCGTGACATCCCCAAGCGCCGAAGCCATTGCAAACAAAGCTTTAATTATTCTGCTAAATAAGTCGCTAATTGACACGCATGGTGGAATTTGGGTTGATGGCGGGAGCTTCGCATTAATCGAGATGTAAAGGAAAGCAGCTTGTTGCGGCGGTCGGAAGGTGCCCAGACCGGATTGGCGGGGAGCTGAGCTCCAGGCGGCAATCGCGGGCCTGGAACGTTGTTGGTTGGTTTCCAAGCTGGGTGTGGGTGGGCTTGGCTTTGGCGCCACGAGAGAGGAAGTCCATTACCTATCTATTTTATCATGATGCATCTAAGCGTTCGCCTTCTCGCGGTCGCTTAACATCCACATCACCCTAGAAAGTATCTTGCTTGTAACCCCCGGCAAGTGCCTTTTTGACCGCCGCTGCAAGGGAGTCGAGTTCCTCGAGGTGAGACGCAACGACGTCGTTATCATTCTGGGCATACAAGGTGCCTCCCTCAGCCCAGATCCGCCGCAGCGTGACAAGCGTCGCTCGGGGATTTCCCTCCTCCCATAACTTGGCTTCGGCCTTTCTGATCTCGTCGAGTGGTGTCAGGGTGGCCCCCCATTTGCCGCCGGTTTGTTGTTCATACTCGGCCAGGACATCGGTGGGTGTGACGACGAAACTCTGCACTTTGAGTGCCTTGCCGATAGACGCATCGGGCGATTTCAGGGTGGCGGCCACGAACTTGCCAACACTACCAGTTCAGTGAGCTTGCATGTTGTCACCATGCGTCCAGGACGACTTACTCCGGCATTGTGCAAAACCCGACCTTTCCGTTGCCATCCTCGATCAAGTGCGCATGCTTCTTCCCAGGGACAAACCCGCCGGCGAATTCAAGACCAGGGGCGGCGTCCACCCACATATCGAAGTAAGGACCAGTCACCACGTACGTGACCTTGACCCGCTTCAGGTTCTCGCGGATATACTTGCGCACTTGCAGCTTGAGCTGATGAGTGGGCTCGTTTGGGCTCTTCTCGTTGTGCTCGATGTCGGTGCCAAACTCGGATGGGAGGAACCACTGGACAGTCTCCGAGGCCTCGGCCAGCCTGAGGAGGTTGATCTGGTGCTGGAGGCCGCCTCTGCCTACCGCCGAGATGACAGTGTCAATGCCATTGTACGCGGCTTTGACATCATCCTCGGACGTGAGGTCGCCAACAATGATCTGGAGACCCTCCGACTTCCACTTGTCCAGCTGCTGGGCCTTCTCTTTGGCGCTGTTGGGCGATGTGAAGAGGGACAGCTGTTGGAAGGCGGATTTGTTGCGGAGGAGGGCTGTCGTAATGTAGCGCCCGATGGTTCCCGTGCCACCAAAAATGAGGATCTTGGATGCTGTGAAAGAGGACATTGTTGCTCAACTCCAGATTGTGTCAACCTTTCGGGTACGAATTGTGGTGTTGATTTCCGGCAGGCACTTTACCAACCTGGAAGTTGACACGGTTTCGATCACTACTATTAGGAGACGACAATGGATGGTGCCTTAGTAGATCTACCCAGGTTTTGTTTCCAGGCGTTAAAAATGTTTGAGGGAGCTGCGATGGTCAAATACCACAAAGCTGCCTCGATTTCCAACTTCCGCAACTCATCGCGCAATGCTGCCCCTCACTCATCAAGACCCCGCCTTGTTTGCAGCTCAAGGGCGCGCATATCACCGGCTTCCATCCATCCCGGGCAAGGGCGCGATCCACTCGGCTGATTATTTTCTTCGTGCACTCCAAATTGTATTCCCCATGGGTATGGCTTCATACCCCCCGCGTGCTTACGTTGTTACGGTACCTGCTCTGGATTTCCTCGAAGAACACTTTCCCCAGGGAACTGTAAACAAGGTCACGAGCAAGGAGTGTCGTTACGACGACCGCCTTCCCCAGTCAGCGTGGGGATTCCTTCAGCAGCACAACAGGCCATTCCCAAAAGGACGCTTAACCGGCGAAACCGGAGATAATGAGTTAACTCATGATAATGTTCTGCGACAACACGAAGGTCGTCATCTCGAGTGTCAAGTTTGCGAGGCAGGCTTGTATGTGGTACCTCCCGTCTGTACCTGACGGTCCTGGTGAAGAGTGGAGAACAACCCCACTGCTCTTCTCCAGCTACGCACTTCTCATTGGCCAATTTAAAGCTCGTCGCGGCAGGCATCCCAGACAATTTTTTTGCGACCAACACTGGAAGAAATTCGAGAACTGCAAATTGACCACCCCACGATTCCCCCATTCCAGGCAACAATCCGCCGCCCATCATGTCTGAAACTGCTGGTGGAAGTTCGCAAGATGCAATAGTCACCAGCGGTCATAAGCTCGACAAGAAGCACAAACGAACAAAGTCTGACCACAAGAAGAAGCGGGCGCGAGACGAAGACGATGCTGCGGTAGTCGAAGAAACCCCGAGGGAGTCGAAAAAGAGCAGGAGTGCAGATGCCGAGGACCGATCAGCGCAACCCGAACGCGCCGAAGCTTCTGTCGATGAGCTATCCAAGAAGAAGAAGAAGAAGAAGCAGAGCAACCATGAGGAGGGCGCGGAGGGGCGAGATGGGGTAATAGGGGCGGACGAGCCGAGAAAGGAGCGCAAGAAGTCAAAGAAGCGCGCAAAGGATGTTGACCAGCCTGAGCCGGAGCCGATGGATGTCGACCTTCCCGACGCGGCCCCGGGGGAGGCGCCTGCCGGCGGAGACAGGAAACGCAAGGAGAAGAAGTCCAAGAAACAAGCGCTCAACGGAGCGGACGAGACGATGGACGAGTCGCCCGAAGCCGGTGCCGGGAGCCAAGAAAAAAAGAAGCGGAAGAGCAAAGCCATCTCGGAAGACATGCAGGCCACGCAAGACTCGACCGCCGGAGTGTCGTCGGACTCTGATTTCCCCTTTTTCACCCAGACCATCTCGCTCTACGTCCCGTTCTTCCCCGTCGGTTTCGACAAGCCTCTCACCAACGTCGCCGCGCAACATCTCGACCCGCTCTTGAACCACTACTCTCCCCTCCTCCGCGGCGTCCTCCTTAGCTACTCGAACCTCAACCTCTCAGATAGGCCGGCCAAGGCCAGCGTCACACACCCACCAACAGACGAAACGCCTGCACTTCTGCACTCGATCGACGAGTACGCCGTCGGTTTCGGCTGGTTAACATTTGACGCCCAACTGTTCGTCCCTTCTCGGGGCAAATGGATGGAGGGCGTGGTACAACTCCAGAGCGAAGGGCACATTGGCGTGGTCTGTTGGAGTAAATTCAACGCTAGCATCGAGGCGAAACGTTTGCCGAAGAGCTGGAAATGGGTGGATTTGGCCAAGGGCGGCGCACGGCCGAACGCTTTCCCGCTATCCGACGAGAATGAGGGCGAGCAGGGGGTTCAAGAAGCCGAAGATGTTCTCGACGGCGAGGAGCTGCAAGTCGTGGAGCAGATCCACACCACGGGCTACTGGGTCAACGGGGAAGGCAAAAAAGTGAGCGGCAAACTGCGGTTCCGCATCAAAAACTTTGACGTCGGCCTGGCGGGCGACTACGGTTACCTCAGCATTGAGGGCACTTGCCTCGACGACGACGACGAGCGGGCTCTCGCGGGTCAGGAACGCAACATGGAGAAGGCGCGGCGCGCGAAGCAGAACCCCGGCGGCCTCCTGCGGCCCTTGTCGAGGCGGGTCCCCGAGTTCAGCATGACCAAGTTTGGGCGGGAGGACCAGGAAGAGGACGACGGGCAACGGGCTGTCCTGTACAAGGGTAGCCGGCCTGGCACGCCCGATGACTAGGTGTGGTCTGGCCTGACACGCCAATTTTCCTCCCCGCCTTCTTCCGCACGCAGCTTGGCGCGGAGCCCCGGGTTTTGTTGATTTGCTTGAGGCGTCTAAATGGGTTGGAGTTTGGGCGGCGCATGGTCAGGAGCCAGTAGGACGACAGGTGTAGGAGATCCCGCGACTCACACGTCGATACGGAACCAAGACGGTTGTCCTAGGGAAAGGGCTGGATAACTGGGCGACCTCCTGCTCGAGTTGAAAATAATGTGGCTGTTTTCACTGTCGTTCATGCTTCCAATTGTGTTGTGGGAGACGATAATTTGCCAATCAACAGGAACTGAATGACAGGCGCTGTAGGGCGGTTGCAAACAGCCATGCAGCGCTGTCCACGAACCCGTCTCCCCCAGAGTAAACCCTCCGATGATTTCTCGCGGCGGCACTGCCTGCTTGAACGCGGCCCATCATCGCGGCCTCCCTCGCCCAACTTCAATCACGCCATCCCATCGTATGCAGCCTGGCTATCACACGCTGGTTCCCGGGGTGCCGACCTGCAAACCTCGGTCTTCCATTTTCCGCATGTGTTTTTCCCGCGGCCGAGTACCAGCATCACCTCCAGGTCCGACAAATACAAACGGGCCTCAAAGTCTCGAAAGTGCTGGCAATCACACAACTGCTGCTAGTGTAGAGTGGTCGTGGCCAAAAGGCCGACCACCCGGCCCGGGTCAACTACGAACATCGCGAGCTGATTGCTTGGTCATCTGAGCCATCACCATAACGATCACGGGTCCGTAATGCGAGTAGGTTATGCAAATGCTCTGCTAAACTTCTGCGGTGGCGTGAATGTTGCCTTCACTCCAACCTAACCCGCGTTGCCTTGAGTTCATGCTTTCGCCGCCTGGTCGAGAATGGGGCCGGCGCCTGGTCTGTCGGCCGGCTCAACCCCGTCATCCCCGGGCCCGCCACCGGCCGACCACCAGCCCAGACCGTGATACGACCAAGCAGTTAGTGACGCTTGGTTCCGAGCGGTTGAGTATGACTTCGGCGTGACATGGCAGGTCATGCAGATAAATACGACTGTCCTCCAACGGTTTACCTCCCCTTTCTCTCTTCACCCTGCAGCAACAGCCTGTTACTCGGCTTTCGCTAGACAATTTACACACACGAACTGCTCTGTCTTCCTCCCCACACCAGCATCAACAACCTCTCCACAAACTCGTCTTCAAACTTCAAACACTACACAAAGACATGGAGGCTGTCCGCGCAATGCTGGAGTGCATGGCCCGCCGACGGGGGAGACAGGAAGGGTACACGGAGCTCATCTACGACGACAAGACGGCGGAGCTGTACTCGGACAACGAGCCGTACCAGCAGCACGACGCCATGAGCTACTACAACGGTGACACCAGCCCGGACCCCATCACAGACTACGAGTACGACGAGAAGGCCGGCTACCGGGACGCGTACCGGGACACCGACCGCGACACGCGCCGGGTCGAGGACGTGGCGCGCGAGGTGGCGGCGCTGCTGTGGCGGGCCGGGTGGAACGACGACGCGCTCCAGAGCGACATCTCGGACGTGGTCGGGGACCGGCGCTGGAACCGCAAGATGGTGGAGGCGTGCCTGGACGACGTCATCGAGTACGTCGAGCAGGGCCGGTTCGAGATGGGCGACGCCATGTGCGCGGCGCTCGACCGGGCCACCGACGTCGCCGACGACGAGTTCGCCTTCCCCCGGCGCCACCCGCAGTCGCTCGACGGCTTCATCGCCATCGTCTCGGTCGGCGTGCTCGCCGAGCTCCAGGGCGCGTGGGTGCTCGAGCTGCTCGGGTTCGGCGAGGTGCGCGGGAAGGAGGAGCCCAACGGGACCGGGGAGGTCGCCATGCTCACGTCGGACAAGATTGTCTACTCGTCCAAGCCTCGGTCGAACTCGTTTGCCGCTTGGTGGATGAGAGAGTATGACGCGTACATCCCGACTGACTCGGTCTACACGTTTCTGAACAGGATGGAGATGGTGGAGTTTGAGGAATGAACCAGGGGTCAAGGCCCTCAACAACAACTTTCTTCTTCAGCTCGTTCCATGGTACATTTGGGAGTTAGGGTGGAGTTCGGGAGTCAAGGTAAACAGCAGAGCCGCCACAGGCAACCAGATTGTCCCGCATGCTTGGGCGGAGGGCCTGCTGAGTGATGAGGTGACGATCGGATATTGGCGTTGGGAGGACAGTGAGGGATGGATGGGTGTACGATAAGCGCAGGAATGATGGTCAATGACAGTAAACGGAGCAACAGATCGAAGTCACCAAGTAAATCCTTGACGTGATCATTTGCCTCTTGAGCTTTGTACAGCATGTTGTGTTACCATTCCGGGGAGGATTAGCTCCGGGCTACCGGGGAGCCGGGTACTCGCGGCGCTGGATGGCAATGTGGCTCCGTTCTGGGAGTGGATGGACTCGTTTGTTTCTCTGGATTCTCGATGACAACCTTGATGTTTGACTGTTTGACCGTTTGAGCGTCATGATCCGCCCGATGCCAAGCAGTGTGCTGGCGGGGAGAAATCTCGATCCCCGATCTCTGATACGTACCTCTGCCGTTCAGCGTCATGGGCACGTCCAACCCCTGAATTCATGGCAAGCACGGGTTGGTTGCATTGGCCGAGACATTCCACTCGGCCCTCTTCCGAAGAGAACAATGTTGTTCCGAAACGCTCAGCGTCCACCGAAAAGTTCTCGTGGGAAAAGGGAATTTAGCGGATGCAATCGGAATTGGCCAGACATGGTCATCAGATCAGTCCACCACTTCCACCAACACCCATTTCAGGAGGAGGGGCGCACCATGTCGTACGTGTCAGGCTTGAATTGCTGAGCTCCACCGGCTTTAATGGTCTGGCCCAGCCTTTGCCTTGGCGAGTGGCCCGCACCGTTGTATTCTTCGCTCTTGTGCGTCTCGACCGGGCGTCGATTGGAGGCGCCGTCTGCATCTCACCATCGTCTGCACTCCCCAATAAGTTAGTACCAATGCGGTTGCAAGGGAAGCTTGCCATGAGAATTCCAGGGAACAATCCCGGTCCCTATCGAAATAACGGGAGGGGCAAGGACCCACCACGAATTACCGGCGGCAATGGCCTGTCTTTGTCGCTTCAGAGGTACCTCCGTCTCATCAGCCCCCTTCCAGCTGAAATGAGGATACCCAAGGCCAATATTGTGTCAAAGCTGGGGGTGAACTACTGCTTGCTTGATATGGACAGCTTCGTGCCCAAGCCGCCCTCAAACTCAGTTGACTCCCTCGTGAACTATCCTCGGCAGGACGGAAAACAAAGGACGGGATTCCAATGTCGACTCGGTCTCCGAAGTAGTGTACCTACAGCGATCAACAACCAAACAGCGGCTCGGGGTCAGTTCCCGGCTGCCGTCCCCACCATTCCGGCTTCTTTGCCTACGAGAACTGCCAAAGGGAGTTCAAGTGACGACAATCTGACGATCACGAACCTTTCGGAGCGCCATTGACCGCAGAATAAAGAGCCGCAACGTTTAGTCGAGACGCTGGCCCAATTATTCAGAAACAAACTTCCCCACCGCCCTTCGACTCGGCCTTCGACTCTCTGTCCGAAGTATCCCTCGTCTGATATCCTTATCTTTCGACACTTCCGCCCCTCGACGCTGACGGGCACGGATTTGGGGCAATACATGAGCAAACACTGCTCGACGCCCAAGAACGCACCCCTGTGTTGCCAACTTCAACTTTCCACCTCTTTTTGGCCCATTCTCACGCAATCTCCCGAACCCAGACCCGGACAGCCGCATCAGGTCCCGTCCATCTCGCCTTCTCACCTGCCCAGTGCATCCAGTCCCGGCGAAGGTTACCGTTTGCGAGCAACGATAGCTATCATCATCACCACCCCGAACCCCCGCTTTCCAATGATTCGACTGTCCGCCCTGTTGAGCCCGAAACAACACACACTTGGAAGCCTCTACCACAGTCTACGACCAGGAACATGAACCTGCGCACCATGAACGTGGCCAACCAACTCTCAATGGACACACTCCTCGAACCACCCACGGGGTCGGTGCGTCCCTACCCGCACCCGCACCCGCACCACTGCACCGACCTCGCGCTGCAGAAGTACCTCCTCCTGCACGAGCAGCACGAATCACTGCGCCAGCACCTCGACGAGCTGCGGCCGCCGACCCGCCAGAACTCGCTCTACACGCCCGTGTCGCCGAGCCCGGCGAGCTCCCCGACGCGCCGCTCCCTCTCGCCCGACACGGCGCGGCGCCAGCCGCCCCAACACAGCTTCTCGCTGCCCACGCGCAAGGGCTCCTACCCCAGCAGCAGCAGCAGTAGCGGCAGCCAACACCACGACCACCGCCACCATAACCTCGAGGACGGTTCGTCGCCGCTGGCCGAGGTGGCGGTGGAGGAGGCCAAGCTGTGCGGCGTGACCGAGGGCATGAAGCGGGCGCTGACCGAGCTGCTCAACTGCGAGCCGGTGCGCGGCGACATGGCCTTCCGCACGTGGGTCCAGTGCCGGCTCATGGACACGGAGCGGGAGCTGCGGAGCGGCAGGCGGCGCCGGAGCGCCCCCTCGTGCCCGTGATCTAGACCCGGATCCTTCCTCGCCGGTGTCGGGCCGAACCAAAATGGCTCATCGGCCGAAGTGGAGGGCGAGGTCAACCCGGCTTGCGCTTCGCCGGTGGGCACCCTCCTTCCAAGGTTACCTTACCTACGCTTTTGTTTCGTTTTTTTTGTCGGTGGGCCTCCTTCGGGTCGGTTCGGACCCATGGAAGAAGGGAAGAAGACTGGTCCGTCTTCACATTCTCTTTTTCTGTTTTCGCTTCTCCTGGATATCATATTACGGGTCTTTGTAATTAGCCCTTGGAACTTGTGGCATTTGGTTTGGAGTTTTGGAGGTTTCTGTCATGTCTGCATTTCGCTTTTTCAGGGAAGAAGCTCGCGGTCTCGCGACAGACTTTGGGTTTAACATTCAAGGGGTGTTTGGGCTGGCAAGCACAGCCAGAACATGAAAATTAAGGTGTGGGTCGGGCTATGATTTCGATCAACGAAGAATCCAAAATCCAATGGGTCCGAGTTGAGTTTTGAGAGCCCAAAACGCGCATGTGTGCAATTCATCAATGGAACTCGAGGCGGCAGACTGGGCAGCTGTTCACAGTTGGCCCGGCTCGGCACCTCGGAGCGTAACCCTAACCCGGCAGCCCGCAATTCTGTTCTCGAGTTCCCGTGCAGGGCTGGGTTTTCGCGGCAGGCAAGAGAACTTCCGTGAGCTGTTGTGGGTCTCTTTGCATGCGATGTGATGCGCGTGGTCTCTCCCACTCACCCCGACGCCGCGATCCTGCTATCTTCGGCAGTTCCTCCGCGAAGCCATATTATGCAACAGATTTGATATCCAGCGCGGTCCTCAACATGTCGGTCCTCCTTGAAACCAGCGCGGGCGACGTCGTGATCGACCTGCTAGTCGACTACGCGCCCAAGATGTGTGAAAAGTAAGACCGATCCAGCTTCATTCCAATGTACGAACCGCGCCCTGGAGCTATTCCGCTGACGAATTCCTCGGAACAGCTTCCTTAAGCTTTGCAAAGTCAAATACTACAACTTCTCTCCGATCCACTCCGTTCAGAAGTCTTTCTCCTTCCAGACTGGAGACCCTCTCGGTCCAATGGCTGCCCAGTCCGACGGTGGCACATCGATATGGGGCCTGCTCTCCGACAATGCGGTCGACCGGACCTTCACTGCCCTTTTCCACCCGAAGCTGAAACATCTCGAGCGAGGCACCGTCAGCATGGCGACAGCGCCCCACCCATCCGACCCAGATCAACGCCTGGCCGGTTCCCAATTCATCGTGACACTGGGGGACAACACAGATTATCTGAACGGCAAGGCCGCCATATTTGGGAAAGTGGTGGAGGGTTTCGACGTCTTGGAGAAGATAAACGACGCCATCATCGACGAACGCGGGCATCCCCTGGTCGACATACGCATCAAGCACACCGTAGTTCTCGATGACCCCTACCCTGACCCTCCCGGGTTACGGGAACCCTCCAGCTCGCCGGCTCCAACGAAAGCACAACTTGCGACGGTGCGCATCGCCGAGGACGAGGAACTACTGGACGAGGAGGCCAATGAGGAAGCAGCTGCCGAAGCCGAGAAGAGGAGGAAAGAACGCGAAGCCGCCGCCCAGGCACTGACACTCGAAATGATGGGCGACCTGCCTTTCGCTGAGGTCAAACCCCCGGAAAACGTCCTCTTCGTTTGCAAACTGAACCCGGTCACGACGGACGACGACCTGGAGCTGATTTTTAGTCGCTTCGGCAAGATCCTAAGCTGCGAAGTGATTCGGGACCAGAAAACGGGAGATAGCTTACAGTATGCATTTATTGAGTTTGAGGATCAGAAGAGCTGCGAGGATGCGTATTCCAAGATGGACTCCGTCCTGATTGACGACCGCCGAATCCACGTCGACTTCAGCCAGAGCGTGAGTCGCCTGAGCGAGGTCTGGCGCAACGACACAAACACAAAGCGGAAGAGCGCCGCGCGAAGAGGCGGTGGCGGCTGGGGTGGCGTCAAGGAATTGGAAAAACGCCGGCAATACCGGAACCAGGACGTCGAGCCCGAAGACGACAGGGGCTACCGAATGGTCCACGGGATGGAGGACATTCGCGGCCGTCATGGGAGGGATGAAGATATCCCTAGAGGCGGGCCGAGCAAGGAGGCTACTGATCGAGGTGAGGGAGCCAACCGGCGGGCGGAGCGTTCCCCAGAACGGTACGGCGATGAGTATAGGCCTGGACCTGTTGACAGGAAACGTGATACGGAACGGCGCAGCCGCAGCCCCAGGAGAGATCGCTACAGGGATCACGGCCATGACCGACCGGCGCCTGCTGGGCGACGCAGGGACGATAGGGAATGGTCCCGCCGAGATCGACGAGACCCCGATCGTGATCGAGGCAGCGGGAAGGACAGGGACAGGTACCGAGGGCGTGATGATTACGGGGGCAGATGAGCGACTGGCTGCTGTCCCCTGCCCGCATTATGCAGCGGAATATCGTGCGTCTTCTCATCAGGGTCTGGGTCGTGCAAACAACCCCTGTTGGCCATCAGTATGACCTGATGTGACCCGTACCTTCTTGGTTAGTTTCCCTCGTCATCCCGGGTCCCCATTTGATCTGACCAAGGAAGACGTGTCAACTTTTTGTTACAGCTTCGTTGCGTGGCTTGTATGTGGGTGAGGATGACTCCTTTGACGCGAGGCCCGTGTCATTCGCAGCTGTCTCAATGGCGAGCCCCGTTTGCGACCCCTTCCCCACGAGGCGCCAGTCATGTCCGCAGGACGGCCAGCAAGGCCACGACGGCGGAGCTCATGGCGGCGGAAACAGAGCTCTTCCCGTGGACGGCATCTTCCGGGACACCTACGCCCGAATGCAGTCGCCTCTGACAAACGCAATACCTTGCCATGTTTGGCTATGCGTATCAACACGGTATACGAGGCTAATTTATCTACGTGGCGGGCTGGAGCCGTGAGTGGGCAAGGCATTTCGCTTTTTGGCCCCCGAGCCGGGCCATCGCAGCCAGACAGCGACCCCCAAGACCACAACCAGACAACGACCCCCACGTTGTATCACCGAGCAAGCGAGATTCCGATACCTCATATTTCTCATACCACATGGGACACGTGTTTCAAACGGATTCTTACACGGCCATAGCCTATGGCACTCGGGTTCGGGCCGCATCGTCCTGTCATGGTGGCTGTCAACTTGACCCGACCGGAATCTTTGTGCCAGCACCCGATCGGCGTCCATCCGTAGGCCCAGGGGCCGGAGGTTCACCTCCGGTGCCTCCTCGTCAAGCAACTTGTCGCGTCGTCTACAGCCGTGCTCCCTCAATCTCGCGAGCATGAGCTTTCAAACGCCCGGATTCATACATGCTTGGCAATCTAGCCTAGACAGGGGTTTCGGCGTTTGACTTCACCCCATGGCCAAAGCCAACGGCCTCAGCATCAGCATCCCCGCCACCCCCCGTTGTCTCCGGTTGTCTTCCATCTAGCGACGGGTTCTGCTCCAAGGGCGTGTCGGGGTGGCTGGCTGACGGGATGCTGGCGAGATCCACGGCGGGCCGTCTGCTTGCGCCCACACGAAAGTGGTAGTGGCGGTCCCCGGACCACAAGATGTGCCGCAGTACGCTACCGTCGGTTGCCGCCGCCACCGTGCGGTGTCTGTACCTACCTGTACTCTCAGGTACCCTCTCACTTCGCATATCACACTCTTTGTCTAACCCCCGCCAAGGCCCCATCTGTGTCTCAAACGCCGCGACGTATGCGTTCACCATCATGGGGTTAGCCTGAGTTAGCTGATCCGGAAACCGGAAACCCGACGTAAACGAGTCAAGCACCCAAGTGGCCTGTTTTTTGTCCAATTCGATTGTTGGCCATTGGTAACCGGCCATCTCCTATTGATAGGTCTGCCACGCACTGTAGCCTGCCTGTCTACGGTCTCGGCCCGGCGCCGCGGGGGGCTCTGCAAGATGTGGCCCAATCCCGATCCCGGCCCTTGCGCATGTACCACGAGGCTGGCTCCTCAAACACGTCCTTTCCCACCCAGTTTCGCTAAGAGAGAAGCCGTGCGTAAAGAGCCCGCTCACCTGCCTCTCGCGGAGGCTTGTGTCACCACGTTACCCAGCTGATGGATCTGGCCCGCGGTCTTTGGGCCCCATCCTGGCTCTCGCTGTTCATTGTGCGGAAATTTCGGGGTTTGCAGCAGTTTGAGGAAACACGCCGTATGTTCCAGGACCGGCGCTCGCTATATCGGACAGATCTGCAAACCCAGACCCGGCTCGTTCTTCGAAATCCGTCGGGTAAACATTGGGGTTGTTGCTGTTAGAGGACGCGATAGCTAGGGGCACAACGACTAACATGTGGGCAACGATAAACCATTGTCCGCCTCCCCTGAGCACAACGTGAGCACGGCAGCAGTTTGATTGGGCTAGAACCAATTCTTGTCTCCCCTCTTTCCGCAATAGAGACATTTCGGCGTCCCGTCGGGGGGCTGCAGCCTCAGTGGCAACCGAGACTTGACAGCATGCTCGTCATGGATTAGTTCTGCGACTATCCGATCACGGGGTTGTCTCCAAATCTTCCGCGTCTTCACAGCAGTGTACTTTCTTGGTACGGTGTCTCGGCTCGCCCTGAGCCTTTCGCTTCCGCTGCCATGTGCGCTTGTTGCCGTCACCGCCTGTCCGTCATCAAGGAGGCTCTGGCGGAGGGCCCCGGTTTTGATCTGCGCCCAAGAGGCCAGCCAGTCGGTAGTTCGCCACACAACGTCCAGACGAGCAGGCCGGCAGAGAGGCCTGTGCCACATCGGCTCCGACGCACCCAGGCTCAAAGATTGTCGCCGGTTGACGCCGAAATATGGCGGCCCCGAAGAAACTGCAGTCTTGCCCTGCCGGCCACCACTGCCGCCATGATTGGCACGAATCAACGGGCGGCAATCTTGAAAATTGCGTCTCTTTTAAGTTTAGCTCTTGCCCTGCCAAGGACAAGACATGTTTCCTCCTCGACCGCACGAGGGGGGTAAAATCACGCAGGTTAGTGTGACTTATGAAGACCCCATGGCCGACGCCCTCGGCGCGCTTTGCCCTTGTTCTTCACGGGACCGAGAGGGCACCAGCAATTTTTCGGGCAGAGCCTGGCACCGGTCCGATATCAGGATCGGAAGGTCACCGTAGCACGGCAATAAAAACTTGTGTCACTCACCAAACACAATATATCCGCAGCGTACGAAAATCTTGACTTTGTGCACGACTTGACCATGAGGATGACCTGCAGCCTGCAAGAGTATGTCGAATGCACCTATCATGCAATAAAAACTCCCCGTTTGCAAACCGGAACGTTCTCCGCGGTCCCAATCTTTGCCAAATCGGATGACATCCCCCACGGGGAAGCGGGAACCAGGGGATGCAGCAAAAGATCGCTCGGATTTCGATTATGGAACGACGGGAGCAGATTTCTCGCATAAGCGGGCAGGGTTCTCGCCAGCCCCCTTCGCTCCTGTGGAGACCACAACGTGCTGGGCTTCTCGCATGGCTTGACGAAGTTGCCGTGCTTGCGAGCTCCCTGCTGCTGGGGCAAGTGGCTGAAACGCAAGGCCCCGATTCGCCCGGGCCCGGAATCTGTTGTCGAGTCTACCATGCACATCCACGGATACACCACAGGCCGGCGCTGTGTCCGATCGATTCCTTCCCCTTGGGACCCAGTGGCGCCTGCGCGCTTGTCTGCTCCCGGCTCGTGTGCTTTTTTCAGGGGCACACTCCGGTCATAAACATGAGAACTCCTGTTGGTCATAAAAGCTTTGCATAAAGTACCAGCGCAAGCAAACTGAAGGTGCCAACATGATATGTGACCAACCACCACCTATGGATGACCGTCGTTGCGTTTGATATATCGGCTGCATCAGTCAGCAAGCCAGGCGAGCGAGGAACTGCGTTCCGTACTGTACCATCCCTACATATACAGTATCAGTGCCCCCATGGACCATGGCCTGTCCCTGTCCTGTAGTGTCTCCCAGCCTCCCCGAGTACAAAGGTACTCCGAATGAAACGGATCACCGAATCATCCCGTCTTTAGCGGTACTTTAGGATAAGCTCTGGTTGACCAGGCTCGCCCGGGTTTCGTCTTCGGCCGCGCGACCTCGAAAACAGTCAGGCCGGGCGCGGGAGCACTCTAATGGCTATCGCCGCATTCCTGCTTGAAATCTACTCACTCTCTTTTGTCTTGGGCGAGCTAGTTCCGTTTCATCCTGCGGGTCTCGCTCACCAACAGCTTTGTGGGCGCATGAGGGTCCGTCCGTGGGACGTTCCTTGTTGCCGCTGTCACACGTTCGCGCGCAATATCTCGTGGCACAGGCCATGGTCCGGCTGAACCGATGTGCCCAGATGCGCTGTCCGTTGGCTAAAATGAAGGTCCTACTTGCTACTAAGGTAGACTGTGCATGACTGCGTTACTTTGGTTCTTTTGTGATGGATGCATGATGTGCTAATCTTACCAAGTCAAGAAAGTGATGAAGACGGATCAGCCAGTTGTCTCGCAACTTTACATTTACCAACCACTAGCAATGATGTTTGCTCGAGGCCGGTTTGGTACCCCAACTTCATGTGGTGGCTTCTGCCGCGACCATGCCTCTCAACTCCAAACTGCTATATCACCCTTCTAGCCCACGTTGTTCCTCTAACCGCCGGGTGATGACTTGAGGAGGACCCAGTGAACCCGGTCAGTGGGACTGTAACAAGTCCAGGGAATGGTAACGTAAGGCAAACAATAGTACTAGAAAGCCTGACACTGGTACTGAAGTTATTTTCCCTTCCTACAGGAGAAGCTAGAACCGCGAAGTTGGCTTCGACCTTTTTCGTTCAAACTCGGCACTCATAAGACAAAATATTCACCGTCCAAGCACACACGTTTTCTGTTTATACCAGCAAAGCTTGTGGGGTCAATGATAGCCAGCCACAGTGTTGTTATTTTGCCAGTACCAACACTTGCAGCAACACGCCGGAGGGGCGTGAGGGGCGTGAGGGGGGTGAAGGGGGTATGTCTATATGCAGATACCCGACAAGCCCCTTCTGCAACCGTCATAAGCCTAGACCATGGGGTTAGACGCGCATGAGATAGAGTCCCCACTACGACTCTCCGCTGCACTGGCGTGTAACTACCCCCGTACTTTGGATGGGGTGAAAACGAAGGCCGATCGTGGGCCAACAGAGGTCGTACAGGCATGCACCTGCTGCTATCAGTTTGGACACCAGGAAAAGAAAGTTAAGTTCAAAATGCTGAGGCAAACAGACCACATTTGGCCTGGCCCCACTGGTCAATGCCAACAAGAACGCAGTGATAGTAACACGGCCCCTTATATCACCAGAACACTTGCATCCCAGCGTGTCTCTTTCTCGTCTCTACTCCTCCGATTGTCAGATTCCGGGTTTCGCTAGCCCTGGCCTTGGGGAATTCATCAAGACACCACCTGAACTCACACGATCCAGCGGGGCCGTCGCTAGTCGCTAGTTACTAGTTTCGATTCTTGTGTTGAGGCTGATTCCTTGGTTCACCTTGCATTTTGTGTTTCGTTTTTACGCTATCCACATCCGGGGACACTGTCAACAGCCTGACACCCACTGAATCAATCAATAATTACAGACGAGACATCCCGAAAGACCCCCCACCGGCACATCGACAACGGGAGGACGCCACTGACCAAGTCTTACCTTTGTTTGTTCACCTCTGTTTCTACGGCTCAGGTATGTCTCATACGTTTTCGTTTTGATGGCGTCAACGAGTGCGCCATCTCGCCCCGACGGCCATGGTACGGCATCTTCTCGGCCGGGTAGTGCAAGACCGGGAGAGGGGCGAGTGTGCGGGGGTACAAGGCGCCGGGGGAGGTGTTGGAGGTGCCAGATCCTGCCTGCTATGTTGTATATGTCGCTCATGTGCTCGATCAGGTCTGCTGGTGTCAGCTCCGAACGCCGGTACACCTTGCAAACACCCTCGACCAGGCCCTCTCACGACCCAATCGAAGTCGTTTGCCTCCAACCTTGGGCTTTCACGAGTTGGGACCACCAATATCATCCGACTTTTGTTCCTCCGCCGGCTCTGCCGCCCCGGTGATTTTACCAGTCCTCTAGTCTGCAGCAGGCGCCGGGTCGCCACCCCTCCGACACCCTCAACTCCGAGTCTCCGATTCTCGTCGCGGCCGATCCAGAGCCAAGAGCAAGGCTCAGATCAAACCGAGCCCGGGGATAGTAGCAGCCGAAAACGGTACACGCATAACGCTCCAGGAACGGAGAGAGAAAAGAGGCAAGGAAGAACTGGGACACGCCCGTCAACAGTTGCGCAATGGTGTCCCAGGCTTGTTACAGCACCCACGGCGGGGGACGATATAGCCGCCAGTACCCGCTGTATTTCTCCTCGCCCACGGAGCGGCGCTTCCCATTGTCCTCGCACGACACGCGGGAAATCAGTATGGTGGATCACTTGGATTCTGAGTCGGCGCCTCAGAGGAAACGCATTGCAGTGGCAGTAAGCCCCACCCCTCTCCTCACCCTCTTGCGTTCCCTCTTCATGTTATTCTACATGTCGACTGTCTTCCTCATTTGCTTTCTCATGCTCGGTCCTATGACCCATCGGGACTGGTCAACGCCCCGGCCCGGATCACTTCAGCTGACCCAGTTGCTTTCTCTCCAGTGCGGCCGCTGCCGAAAACGAAAGATCCGATGCAGTGGTGATCCCGGCCAAGGTCATCCATGCTCCAACTGCAAGAACGCAGGGGTGGAATCTTGTCAGTTTTTACGGGTATGGTCTCTCATTGTGGATTTCCAGTGTGCCTTTCCTCCCAGCAACATGTTGGGTCATGTCCTGGTTGCTAACTTCTAACTCGCCCGCGGCAGGTGTCATCTCGAGAAGCACCCCTGCGACACGAGAACGGGGAATTCGTGTATAGTGTTGGGGATGCTCGGGCTTACGCCAGCCGAACCCCCGTGAGCCATGGGCTCCCATACCCGCACGATTTGCCAACCCTAAACTCGGGCGATACCATGGGCTCGTACCGCGGTCCCGGGTCGGCGTACCCCTACACGCCGGCGAGCAAAGCCTATTATCCTGCCATGCACGCATACGGCGCTCCTTACCCCGATGACTTTGAGTTTGGACTCGGTGTGCCATCTCCGTCGGTCGTGAACGCGGAGTCTGTCGGCATGATGCCTGGCCAATGGAGCTCGGGCGGCCCGCGGGCCAAAGCACCTACGTTCGGCAGCATGTACATGGACTCGGAGGGGGCTTATGGTGGTTACGGCGGCTCGAGCTTGCTACATCGGCCATCACACTCGGTTGCCTCGGACTCTCCCAACTTTTCCTTTTCAGGTGTTGCAGCATCACTGCCGCTGTCTAGCACACCAGGCCCGGACCGGTTGCTCCCCAACCCCACCGGACGTTCCTCTACCTTACCTTATCCGGGCCCCCTCAAGCCGTCGATACCCACTTCCACTCTCGCTGCGAGCACACTCGCCGACGTAGCTACGGCTGCCAGCTACGCGGGCGGTTTCGAGACGAACGGCCTCTCGTTCTCTTCTGCCACCAGCAGCAGCCTCTCGAGTCACCCATCGTCCTCGTCCCGCTCCAACTCGGATAGTTACTCCGGGCAGGAGAGCATCTTCAACGAGCAGGATCGCAGTCTTCAGAGCCAGGGTTCAGCGTTCGACATGGGTGGTTACACGGCGTCCCCTCGGCGTAGCTCTGGGGTCGGTGGCTCGGGGAACAACCAGGCGCAGGCCTACGTCCCCAGCGAGAGCGCCCATGGGGCCGCGGCCCATCATCAGGCCTCTCAGCACCACCTGTCCTCGACCTACGTGAGCGATTCTTCCTCGAGTCCGATTGCGCACCGCCATGGCCAAGCTCTGGCGTCAGGGAGCGGCAGCACTGGTCACGCCACCCACACAGATGACCGGCAGGTTGCTGTGGCCACCCGCCATTGACATTGGCTGGTGCTATGCAGCGTGCCGGGCCCGAAGGTCGGCGGTCCTGTCGCCAGAAGCTCCGAGTTGGCCGACCCCTGAATTGAACGGACGTTACACGATCCCAACCCTGGCCACCCTCCGCCCGCATGCTCGAGTCAACAGGCTGCTGCTGCATGCCATCGGTCGTGGTTTGGCGACATGTCCCTCGCTGCGTTGGGGCCTCAGCTAGCGTTAAGCCACCGCTGATCCCATGCACAGTTGACGTGACACAGCGGGAGAAGAAGCACCTGGCAACACCCAACACGAGTTTTCCAGGCGCAATGGATGTTGGCCTACCCCCGCCGGCGGCAAGAGTTCCCGGACTGCGTGGCGTGGGGGACGCTGCTGTCAAGATATTGCTTGACCAACGGATTTGGCCAACCGCTTTCCTTGTTTTCAATCTTTGCTAACCATAGACGTTCCCTTCTCGTGTGGCCCGGGTCGGCAGGGTTTTACTAGTGTGCATGCATGTTTACGGGATCGAACTATTGCGGCGTTTCCGGTTCCGGGTGCTCTGGGTTTACCTTTTTTTTTTTCTTTTCTTCTCCTTTTACTTAATCTAGCCCCTCAAACGCCGTCCTCCAGCACTCCCGGGCCCCGAGAGTTGACGGAAATTCACCCTGGTGAAAGTTCGAGAGGGTGGGGTGATATGTGGGAACGGCTCTTTGACTGGCACGGCCAGCTCCCACGCCATGCGTTGATCTTTCCCTTGTCATGTGGTGTTTTCATGGTTGGTTGTTGTTGGTTCGCGAGCTGGTCACCTTGACCAAGGGTGGTTTGCCACGAACAGACGGAGTTAGAAAAGTTAGGGGTCGGTTGCATGCTTTAAAACTGTTGCTCGGGTTATGAAGTGTGCCAAGTAGAAAGAAAAGAAAGATGTCATTTGTGATAATACCACATCAGCAGTCCCTCATCCCATCGGCTCACCGAGCCTGACCCCCGTGTCGTTCTACATCATTCAGCCCTGTGTAAGATGGTCCATCGCAACTGGCCTGTGAGCTGCGGAACGAGCAAAGGTCCACCACGTCATGGGTGCATTATTGGACATCAAGATGAAGGTTCACGAACAGAACTGAGATTCGAATCTTGACAGGCTGCGTCTGGGAACGAACCCCCACAAAGGAATAAATGGCTTGGCACTCCATCTGCGCACGACACTCAAAATGCGATAGATCTCAGGCTCCAACTCGCGACCCTTCTCCGCCCTTGATAGACAACCACTCAGCTCAAGGCAGGGTGGGTTTGGCGATGTCTTTGACAAGCACCCAAATTCACTCGCAGGTCTCCCGCTTTTGCTGGCAGAACCTGCAGGTGGATCCGGCCCCTGTCTTCCCGCACCCCGAGTTGCTTCGTGAGGAGGAAGTGCAGGAAACCATCTACAAGCGGGTTTTTAGCCATGAGGTTCCCCTGCGTCCGCCGCCGCGGTACCGGGTCAAAATATTGAAAGAGTTGATGACGAGGGTCGAGTCTTCGATTCAAGATTGGGAACGGCATGTGAGTGCTGACCTGCTGCTGCGGTCGTCCCGGGTCCGTCCTTCGGGAATCGAGTCCCTCCGTTGACAGTGATATCAGGGAATCTCGGACAACCTCACCTCTGCTCTGTCGCATCTGCTTTCACAACCCTTACCGTCCGAGACCGACGCCGCCCAGCAAAGAGATTATGTGACTTATCACCTCTCGCCTCTTCAAGTCTCGCCAGTCGCGCTCGACCCTCCGCACATTACTCTCCTCGAGTCCCGCTCACTCATCTCGGCCTCCGGCACCACCGGTTTGCGCACTTGGGAAGCGGCCCTGCATCTCGGCCAATATCTCTGTGCCGACCCCTCTGCCGTCAAGAGCAGACGAGTTCTCGAGCTGGGGACTGGAACGGGTTACCTCGCGGTGTTGTGCGCCAAGTACCTGGGGTCTGACCATGTTATCGCATCCGACGGATCGGACGAGGTTGTCGACCACTTGACTGATAGCTTCTTTCTCAACGGACTGCAAGGGTCATCTGAGATCACAGCAATGCAGTTGAGCTGGGGACACGCCCTGGTGGGCACTGAAGTGGATGGCGGAGAACTGGATACGGTCCTAGGCGCCGACATCACCTACGATGTGAGCGTGATTCCGGCTCTTGTTGCAACTCTGGAGGATTTGACAAGGCTTTTCCCGGCACTGTCTGTCCTGATCGCCGCGACGGAACGGAACAGAGCGACCTTTGAGGGTTTCTTGGATGTCTGCGGGAAACGCGGTTTTACCGTCACACACGAGTCGTTCCCAGTCCCGCCAAGAAGCGAGCAAAATGGTCCATTTTACAGCGATACGACTCCCATACACATATGCAAACTGAAAAAATGATACCAGCGTCTGGTTAATAGGATACGAGCTTGTGATCATCGTGATGGATGCTGTCAAGGAAAAGTGGACCCAAAGAGGACCGACGGAACGCAGGAAGGAGGGTGGGGCATTTTGACTTCTCTAAGTTGCAGCCTGGGGATTTAGGCTACAATTCGAATTAGGGCTCGCGCACAATTCACCCAACCGGACCGGATTTTTTTGAGCTCCACCCTGGCGCAGCGCCTGCACCCCGACCGACCCTGCAAAAATCACCACCAAAGCGAAAATCCCACTTGGAACCTCTCGGATCTCGAGATCGTGGAAGCATCGCCAACATCGACAGCCATCAAACCGCCAAGATGGCCGACTCCGACTCCCCGGTCACGCTGCGCACGCGCAAGTTCATCCGCAACCCTCTCCTCGGCCGCAAGCAGATGGTCGTGTGAGTTTCCCCCCGTTTCCCGCCCTGCCCGCGCTCCCGAAAACCCCTCCCATCCTTAGCACGACGCGCGACAGGCCGTTGCTGCGATGGACCGACTTGCGAAAATTGAACGCCATCGACCGAATCAATGGGGATTTTATGGTTCACGAAATTGTTGGTTGATGGAAACGGTGCGCTGACGGTTGGCTCTTCTTCACAGTGACATCCTCCACCCCAACCGCGCCAACATCTCGAAGGAGGAGCTGCGCGACAAGCTTGCCGGCATGTACAAGGCCCAGAAGGACCAGGTCAACGTTTTCGGCCTCCGCACCCAGTTCGGTGGCGGCAAGACCACCGGCTTCGCCCTCGTTTACGACTCCCCGGAGGCGATGAAGAAGTTCGAGCCTCACTTCAGGCTGGTTCGCGTCGGCATGGCCACCAAGATCGAGAAGGCGAGCAGGCAACAGCGTACGTTTCACCTCCCCGCATCCTCGGCGCTTCAAAAATCGATGGCCGAGGAACATTCGGCTGGTTGGACCTGGCGATGGCTGACAATTCCTCCCCCCTACAGGCAAGCAGCGCAAGAACCGGCAGAAGACTCTGCGGGGTACGGCCAAGGTCAAGGGCCCCAAGGCGAAGAAGGAGAAATGAGCGACTGGCATTTCCTTTTGGCGTCCTCTGTTATACCGGGTACCTTGGCGGGTGGGACAATGGCTATGGCTTTGTGCATTACCCTGGACTGCTTGTTGCATTCGGCCAATATGATGCCGTGAGCATGCAACTAGAATCCATAATGGAGGCGTGAGGGGCTCAATGATTCTGGCAAGACCAATAGCATTCAATACAGGGCGTCGTCGGTTACCAAGCCAAAGTCCCGTTCAGCCGTGATGGAAGAGGACGGGTCGCGTTCTGGCGCGGTAGTGATGGGGGTTCCTCAAACCACGCACAATATTCGGACACAGAAACCTCGGGCTCTAGCAAGTTCAACCGACCGCGTCGAAATGGTAACAACTCTGCTGGCCGTTTGCCACCGCCGGCTCCCGGGCTCCCCCCCAACACCCCGTCAATTCCCACCACACCAACGACGGACCAGGCCACAATGCGAGTGACACAGCTGCTCCTTCGGGCCACGCGAATTATTCCAAAACACTGGCACTCGCCAGCTCGACCGATACTTTCGGATTTCAGAAGGGCAGGGCGCCTCTCATCCGGCTTCTCTCCCTTCGGCCACTGTGGCCCCCTTCGACGGCTTGATGCATGCGGCCGTCGTTAATGCTGCGTGATCTCGAGAGACCCTGTGGCAGGGAGGCGGTCCTAGGCTTTTGCTTCCCTCGTTAATTATGCATTTTTCCCTTCGCAGCCTGGTGGCCTGTGGCAACATGTGAGTGTGCTAGAGAGGGCAGACCATTTCCTTTGTTACCCATATGACAGTCCAACCCAGACTTAAAGCGTAATCCCGTGAGATGATCGGGCCTAATTTTGCTGCCCGAGGACGCGGGCGGATGTTACAGTGCATTGATGTTCTCTTGAACAAGAACGGTTCAGTAAACCAAGCTTTAGGCTTTGGTTGGAACAACTAGAATCAACCGATAATTATAATGAGGCCGCCTTTTTGGACCGTAGGCGACGGTCCCTGCCGACCGTACCACGTGATTCCCCCTTTACATAACCCCAACCCTGCCGTACACCTCCCCTTTTCGCAGTAAGATTGATCAATTCAATTAAACCCAATCCACAACATATTGAAAAGATATTAATCTAGGAGAGACTAGAATCTCAAGAACGTAATTGAATGGATCTATTAAGGCCTGTTTTTTCCAGTTCTTTTACTCTCGCCCTCGTCGATACCGATACAGTGTAAATAGACCAGGGTTAGGGTTACCCTCGAACACGAGGACTTATAAGTACGGAGCGATAACCGTTGCTCCCGGAGCGATTTAACGATGGCTATACCAATAGGCTAAACAGGCCGAATAAGCCGAGAAAGCTGAATCCAACTATATTTTTGAAGAAATCGAGAAAGCTCAAATACGTACATGCAGATGCGCCGACATGCGCGGATTGAATTGATAATGGAATGGGCGCATCGCAGGGTTGGGGTTATATATGGTGGTAGTCACGTGGTACGGTCGGCAGGGCCCGTCGCCTACGGTCCAAAAAGGCGGCCTCATTATAATTACAACGGGATAAAGTACAATTTCTCAACCCTAAACCATACCCGATAAGACCTTCTTCTTCGCCCGCAACAGAGAACTCAACGCTGCAGTTGTCCGCTTATCCGTATTTTGTTTCGACTGCGAAGACGTAAACCTCTTGGGCGCCGTGTCTTGCGCTGGCGCGGATGCTGGCGGCACGCTCACACCACGGCGAGCGCGCGGCTTCTTAACCCAACCCGAGCCCCTGGGCATGCTGGTCTCCTTGTACGTCTCATCGATGCTGTCCTCGGCGTAATGCTCTTCAATCTCGGGCTCCGGGCTGCTAGTGAGGAGCGACACAACCTGAGATCCCTGGGGGACAGCGAACGGCAAGCTGCTCGCACCTCCGGTCATACTGGAGTTGGCACGAGCGAAGTGGTCGGGGCTGAGTGGCGCATATTCGTGCTTGATGCGCGGGCCGGGGGACGCCTTCGATGGTTTCTGCTTCTGGTTCCCCTTTTTCGGTGTCGGCTTTTCGATGGGTTTCTCGACCAGCCTCTTGGCAAGTTTAGACGGAGCGTCCGCAGTGTTGTTTTCGGAGGGCTCGGAATTATCCTCATACTCAAACTCTCGCGCAACACTGGGCTTCCGGGCCATTGGGGTGGACATGACGGCGTGTTTGGTGGGCGCATTGGACCCGATGGTCGAGGCGGATGTCCACATGTCGCTTAGAGACGGGACGGAGGAGTCAGATAAGTCCGCGTCCGAAGTATTTCCGTCGTCATGCTCTGCCTCCTCCCTCGTCATGTTCTGTTCGTCATCCGTGCGGCCTATTGTTGAACGGGACAATGTAGCGGGACCGTCAAGATCTTGGAGCGAGTCGTGGCCCAAGTCGATACTGAAGTCGGGATCTAACTGCCTCCCGCTGTGAAGGCTGCCTGTTTCCGAAGGGGGGATGTTTAGTGTAGGATATGCAACCTGTCTTCCGTCGGGGGGCTCCGGGGTGGGATCTGAGAAGCCATAGAACGGCTGAAGTCGGACTGGCTGGGAATCGGAGTTATTTGATGTCAACTGGGAGGGGAGTTGAGGACTGGCACGGCCATGTACCTCCGAGACCTCGGACGCGATGAGAGCTGCGTCATGAACCATTTCTTCCAGCTGGTGTGATGGGCTACTTAAATCCAAACCCGCGTTATTCGTGATGTCGGTGACAGTGGGATCCACATCCTTCCGAAAACCAGCATCGTTAATCATGAGGCTGATTTCGTGCCGACGGTCCTCTGGAATAGAAGTGACGATAGGTTCCTGAAGAACTGGAGTCTCGGATACCATACTCTGACCGGCATCACATTGGGCGGTGATGCCCGCCTGTCCAGCATGGATCCCGTTCCTCTCCGCTTCCGCTTCTTCGGAAGTCGCGGATACTTCGGGGGCCTCGAGGTTGGTGACTTGGACCGCATCACGAGCTTCAAAAGTTCGCTCGGAATTAGGTAGCTGGTTGAGGGGGGACGTGGTGACGACTGCTTCGGGCGTGGACGGGAGAATGCGTGGCTCAATCATATCCGCAATATCCAAGGTCCGGTATCCTTGTTCAGCGGCGGCGTCACCCTCATCATCCATGTCAGGCAGTTCGAACTTGTCATACACTCGGTTCCCGTCGTCATCATAGACCTTTTCGTTGTGATCAAGATTTCGGTCGCGCTTCGCAAGTCGGACTTCCAGCGTGTTGCTGTCCAGAACATTCACCACGATGCCGGTGAGGGAGGATACTTGAGGCTGCCAGTTGGTGGCTTTGGAGAGGAGCCATTGTTTCCATGTCACAACCATCCCTGCGAGAGCCTCGCCGGCGTTGAGGATTGGTAGCGTTGAAAGATCCTCAGGAAGGGGCGGCATGTCCTCGTCGTCGGCCTCTGGGGACGGTGCTTGTTCTCCCACCGGTTCTTGGGGCTGTTCGAGTTGTTCATCGTCATAGTTGAGGACCACGTCGTCAAAGCTAGTCGTATCACCGTAAGTAGCGTATGACTCGCCATCGCCGTGGCCAGTATCATATGCCGATGAGTCCCTTCCACGCCTTCTTTTTATGTTGGACTGGCTATCCTCATCACGGAAGTCTTCCTGGTCCCGTTGTTTCCTTTTCGACCGACCGCCCCGCTTGTTCTTATCCCCGTGGAAATACTGCTGTTGGGGGTCCCATCGTTGGATGAACGGAAATGGTGGTTCGCTCAACTCGACTCCGTCCTGGCAACACTCCACCGCGCGGTAAATGATCCGGTCTCGCCATGCGTCCGGTCGATCTTGCACTGGGAGTTCGTCTTCCGACTGTCGAACTGCGTGTTGATTTTGGAACGTTCGCTTTGGATTATCACTAGCCGGTTGCTCCACAGTCGAGGTTTCGGCGGCGAGCGGCTGTGGGGAGTTCTTGGTTGACTTTTCTTGCACCATACCGAGTCTCCGAAGCAGTGCTGCCTTCTTCGCGGCGACTGGCCCATCGAGATTTTGCGAGCCTGGTGCGGGCACGGCTTCGAACTCCGTGGGACACGATGGCAACGCACCCTCGGCGGCGGCGTTCTGCGCAGCACGAGCAGCTCTCCTCCGCGCATTCCGTTTCTGAGTTGCGTTTGTCCCTTGCCCCGGCGGCACTGGCTTTTGGGTTGCCGAAGAGACTGCTTTCTCTCCTGAGCGTGCTTTGCTGGACTGCGGTGTCTCGATAAAGGCGTCTTCCAAGGTAGATGATTGCATGTTGGCGATGGCCTGATGCGGTGCCGTGCGAGATCTTGTCTTGCCATCCGCGGCGCTGTCAAAGGAGTCATCATCGCTGGAAGAGTCCGAGCCCGAGTAATCGCTCTCGCTGCTGCTCGCAGGATCAGGGTCGGGGTTGTTGGCAGGATTGTAGTTGGCGCCGTCGCTGTCACTGCCGCTGTCGTCGCTACTGGCGCTGCGATCACTACCACTATCATCGCTGTCGGCGCTGTTATCACTGCCGCTATCGTCGCTGTCATCACTGTCGGCGCTGCTGTCATCACTATCACTCCCCTGCGCCTCACTCTCGCTCTCGCTATCGTTGTCGTCACCTGGCACAGGCGACTTCCGGTGAGCCGGGTCGTTTGCGCCCATTAACCCTTTGGGTGCCCTCGAGGATGCAACTTCGGGACCACTGTCGCTCTCACTCTCACTACCGCTCTCGCTGCCACTCTCGCTGTCGTCCTCACTGTCGCTCTCGCTGTCGCCCTCGCTCTCATCCTGGTTGTCGTCCGCGATTCCTCCCCCTTCGCGGGAGGCGCGGGATGATGTTTGACTGGGGCGAGCTTCGTCGTCAAACTTCGTGTGCACTGGGACCTTCACGGCGTGACCAGATTTTCGCATAGCCTCGACCATTTGGGCCGAGGCGGTACCTGCAAGGATGGAACCACCGGGGAACCCGTGTTGGTCGTAGTGCTTGACCATCGAAGCCACCGATTCTGCCTCGCTGTCATCGGGTGAATCGTCTGCGGTAATGCCTTTGGACGTAGAGGGAATCTGGGTGGAAGCGGTGGTGGGCATGGCACCCCCCAACCTATGCGATTGATGCCGAGTTTCTAGCCTGTTGGCTGCTGATTCCAGGTCACCCCCATGTTGAGATAAAGCCCTCTCGCAAGACTCGAATCGAGCGGTTGGGAAGTCAGCTCGAAGTGCTGATATCTTGTCAAGTGTCTGTAGATCGAGTCCTGCTGCCGGTTCTGGGGCGAAAGGGTGGGAGTGTCTCGTCTTATTCGGAAATTTACCCGTTTCGGGATTCTCGCCATGTGGTTGCTCGTTATCCGCTTGTAGATCCCGAAGCTCATTCTCCAAATCAGAGTCGCCAATATTATCCTCTGCGCCCAAATCTCCCTCCTCATCGGTCTCGTCGTCTAGGAAATCATCGTCCTCGTCCTCGTCTTCTTCGTCCCCGTTTGACCCGTCGCCTTGTAATTCGTTGAACCTGACATGGAGATGACCTCGCCGGCTAGCTGTTCCATTTTCGCCATGCTCGGTAAGGAGCAACCTGGGTTCTGCAGTTTCGCCTTCTTCATCTTCGTAGGTGATTCTTCGGCGTTTAAGAGGTGGAATGTCGACGGTGGGCCGGTCTCTCGGAGTCTTGAGGCGCGGGCGGCCAAAGGCTATGCCGTCAATGAGATGTTTGCCGTCCGCCGAGATCTGGTCTCGACCAGCCAACCGACGTTTCCGCCTGTCTCCGGTGTCTAGTGATCGAATGCTGCCGCGCGGAAAAGGTTAGCGTTGGTGTCAGAGACAGGCGCGACCCGCTGCGTGGGCGGGAGACTCACAAGACTTCCTCGTCGTTTTTTAGAATGACGGAAACCCGCTGAAAGTGGAGGCAGTCGAAACTGTGGCCGCTGGAATCGCGGAGCTCAACAGCGTAATCTTCGAGGCCCCAGTCATTGCTCTCGAGGGGGATGATTTCGTTAATTTGCTCTAGTAGATGGGCGATAGTCGGGTCGGCGTCTAACTGCACTGCGAAAACTATCCGAACCTCGGGCAGGGCGTGTCGCCGGACGACCAGCCGTAGGCGAAGGGTGTTGTCGTCGCGCATGTTTGAAATGTCTAGGGAACCGCGCGGACTTTGTGGGGGCGACCGGGCTTGAGTTCTGGGGGCTATGCCGGGCGACGCTCTAAGTTCTGCACCATAAATGCGGGAAATGAGCCAAGTCGCGCTTCGTCCTGGAAGATATTAATGAAAAGCGCCTTGTCGCGATGGAACTTTCTGGGCAGTGGTCGGCGGCTTGAGAGCACCTGGATCCTTATCGGGCTGCTTATCGGAGCAGATGCATGAGCAACCCCCCCTAACCCTGGGGTTTGTGGCATTTAAAATGAGACTTGGGTCTCCGACTAGATAAACGGCCACAATAACACGCCGGTTCTATGCAAGAAGTATCTACTATGGAATTACAAATGTATTACAAGGGCATTGTCGTGTCGGTAGATCCTTAGCGCGGCAAATTTGCCATATCTAGCATGTGGCCCATCTTCTCGATCTGAGACAAGGTTACGAAGTCAGTTTCGGGAAACAAGGCTGTCGGGGAGCGGGCACCATACCTTGGTCTTCAGATAGCCCTCGACCTCGGGCGCCCTAAAGCCACCCCTCCCTTTCCAGGAGAGCGGCACCATGGCGACTCTTTCCTTGACAACGATCTCGCGATGAGGGCCTTCGACGGCGCGGACCTTGTCCGGGTTGTTGGTTAAAAGTCGGACTTCGCTCTGCCCGAGGTCGCGCAACATGGACGTCGCCAGGCCGTAACTGCGGGCGTCGGCCGGATGGCGCAGGAGGAGGTTCGCTTCGACCGTGTCGGACCCCAAATCCTGGAGGTTGTATGCTTTGAGCTTCTCTCCCAATCCAATCCCGCGGCCCTCTTGCCTCAAGTAGATGATGATGCCCCCCGCCTGGTTGGTGGGCAGAGACATCAACCTTGCCGCCTCGTCGAGTTGCTCCCCGCAATCGCAGCGTGCTGACCACACCGTCTCTCCGGTGTAGCACTCGCTGTGTATCCTGACCAACGGTGGTCCCTGTGTTAACTCCGACGCGGCGCGTTGACTCTCGGGCGTGGATGCCTCGAGTCCGCTTGTGGTCCTGCCCGGGAATAGACGACCGGTGTAAGCCCCTCGTACAAGGCGATCCATCTCGGTTTCCCCGTCCCTTACGGCATCCAAAGACTTGCTGCGAATGTTGCCACCAAACACAATGGCCAGGTGCTCTTTGCTGTCTACATTGTTCGTGTAGAGATGCAGAAACATCTCAGCCCCGGTGGTTGTCGGTATCCGCGCGCGCACTATGCACTCGACCTCTGGTAGCGTCTCGAGCAGTCGCGGTTGCTTGGTTCCGCATCCGCCTGTGGGAATTGAGCTGTCGACCGGGATGCTGCGTGGTTCGCGCGCGGCTGCAGCGGCAGCATGGCTCGGTGTGGCTGTTCCTGGCGTTGAAGGTGGTGTAAATGCCGGCGAGAGGAGCGAGTCGGGTGGCGGTTGTGTTAATGGCAACGATGCTTGCGCGGGCGTCTTATCGTCGCCATCCTCGACCGGCGCAGAAACTGGGTCGTCCGCGGAGAGCGAAAAGTCCGCCTGTTCGATGTCTCCGTCGTTGTGCGACGAAAGGTGTGCGTCCGGCCGCGGCGAGTAAAATGGCGGCAGCCGGGTTCCGTCCGACCGTTGCTGTCCCGACGCGGAGCCTGGCATTATGGAAGCGTTGCAATGTGGATGTCGACCTTCGACTCGGCGTAATCTGGGGTTCGGGCCGCGGGTCAGGTTCGGAGGTCTGCGCACAAGGGTCGTCTCGGGGGAGCGCGAATAATCGTATTATGGTCGCATTGAGTTCAAAGAGAGAAGTTTGGAAACCTATTGCATTTCTTCGGCGGCTGGATCGAAAGTTGGCACGATTCTCTGAGGCGGAAAGGCGGGCATGAGGGTCTCAGCATTTGGCATGCGTTAGTCAGATCCTCGGTTTCTGATGTGATCCCGCCGCCCCGCGAGGGTTGTTTCTGGGGAACCCGAACCCCACCTGCCCCGCATTCTGTCTTGCCTCCTCCCGGACGCCGAGGAAGAACTTGGTTCTTGAATTCTTCTTCCCAGGTTCAATCCACCACAACCAGAATTGAGTGTTGCACGGAAAAGGACAACAACGACGACGACGACGACGGCCCGAGTTACTCCGTACTGCGATGCAGACTGTCATCCCCTGGTCAATGTTGAACCGGGTAGGAGGGACGCTGACAAATTAAGAACAAATTTAATTGACTGTAGGACATGCCGCTACCCGGTTGCGTGCTTCCGCAAGTTTGGTGCCGATTGATTGCGAGAAGCCCCAGGGGACGGGGTGGATGGGTGGCTTCACAATTGGCCCGATGCCCAGATCTTGGGATGCAATGGTGTTGACTCCCTTGGAGGTTCACAGTGGTTCACTCACCCTCTCTGGCCCTAATTGAGACAGGGCAGGGGGCAAACTTCACGCGGGAGTATTTGCGTATTGCCCCTTTGGGACAGTGGAAATGCGGATCTTCGGCTCACAATCCGGAGCCGCACCTTCGACCAAGGGCTTAGCCTACCAACAGACCGTGTCGTCCCGGGCGGGTCCTCACCTGTCGACCTCCAGGCCGCCGAGGCGCGATCTCCTTCCAGACTGACGGCTCATGCCGTGTCGTGTCGGCTAGGTATGGGAACCTTGGCCTACGGAGTCAGCAACTCGACGCGGCCCATCCCACCCCGCGAACGGAAGGTAAGCCACCGGCCTGGGAGCGCTACTAGGTAGTATGGCTCGTAGTATAAGAGTGCAGCTGGCAGAGTAGTTGCAACTTGAAGGGATCGCCGCATTTCCACCTTCACTGAGTCGAGCTACCTTCTCTACTCTTGCACGCCGCGCCGTGTCATCTTCTCATACACCATGCGCCCCTCGTGTTTACTCGCGGCCCTGGCCACCGGTGGTCTTGTGTCCGCCGCACCCAGCCCCAAGCCGGCTACCGCGCCGGCAGATGGCGACGTGAACCCGTTCAAGGGCAAGACGCCGTTCGTCAACCCGGCATGGGCTGCCAAGTTGGACCAGACCTTGCGGTCGTTCCTGTGGAAGGGCGATGTCATCAACTCATTCAAGACGTACAAGGTCCAGAACACCGGTTCGTTCGTCTGGGTTTCTAAGCGTGCCGACCTTTCCAACATCGACGACGCCATTGCCGCTGCCCGCAAGGCGCACAAGAGGACAGGCAAAAAGCAGATTGTTGGCTTGGTGCTATACAACCTTCCGGACCGCGACTGCAGTGCCGGCGAAAGTGCTGGCGAGCTCCATAGCGACGAGAATGGCCTCGAGCTGTACAAGAATGAGTTCATCAAGCCTTATGCCGAGAAGGTCGCGGCCGCCAAGGACCTTGACTTCGCCATCGTCCTCGAGCCCGACTCCTTGGCCAACTTGGTCACCAACATGGGCGTTGAGCTCTGTGCCAACGCCGCCCCCGTCTACCGCGAAGGTATTGCCCATGCCATTGCTGAACTCCAGCACCCCAATGTCCACCTCTACATCGATGCTGCCCACGGTGGCTGGCTTGGCTGGGACGACAACCTGCCCCTGGCCGCCAAGGTCTTTTCCGAGGTGGTCAAACTGGCCGGCGAGGGCAAGAAGATCCGTGGCTTCGTCACCAATGTGTCCAACTACAACCCTTTCAACGCCGTCGTGCGGGAGAACTACACCGAGTGGAGCAACTCATGGGATGAGTCCCATTACGCCACGTCGCTCGCCCCGCATCTTGAAGCCGAGGGCCTGCCCGCCCACTTCATCGTTGACCAGGGCCGCGTCGCCCTACCCGGGGCCCGGGAGGAGTGGTGAGTACCTAGATACCCATCATATCCCGAAATCATTATAATGCTAACAATATATGCCAGGGGCGAGTGGTGCAATGTCGAGCCCGCCGGCTTTGGCCCAGCACCGACCACCAACACCAACAACACCGTCGTCGATGCCCTTGTCTGGGTCAAGCCCGGAGGCGAGAGTGATGGCGAGTGTGGCATGGCCGGTGCCACAAGGGCGGGAGAATGGTTTGACGAGTATGCCCAGATGCTCGTCAAGAACGCGGATCGATCGGTTTACAAGTTGTTTTAAGCACCTTTCAATGACAACATAGCGTTAGACGTGTAATAAATTAGCTCAGTGGCTATCTCAGACTCATCAATACCTGGCGAATACAACTATCGGCTAATAGTATAAAATCTCAACGAGACGTAGGTAATATGTGATATGTGTCATCAGTTCGTAAAGCTCACGCAATGGGTCAATCCACCCAAACCAACCACGGTGTATATATATCCCGTCATTTTCCCTTTTTCACTTCTTGATCATCCTTTGGTGGAAACTTCAGCTTTGCTTCCGCACTTGGTCCCCATCCGCCGTATCCTTCAGCAGCCGCCATGCCACCCAGACCCGCCGCTGGTCCCATCGCGAGCTTGCCGGCGGCCTGGTTTCCTGCAACGCCCGGGCGGTCCTTGGCCCAAGTTTGAAGTTCATCCTTGGTCTTCCCCGTGTACTTCAACAAGTCCGCGTCGGGGATCTGAACATTGCGCCCGCGCTTGGCGTCGACATACCGCTGGTAGAGTGACTTCTTTTTCGCTTTCGGTTGCACTTCAGGGGGTGTTTCGGGCGTCGGTGTGGTGGTTTCTGGGTGCACCAAGGGCTCGGCGGGGCTAGCATTCTCCTTTGGCATGATGAAGCTGGCGTGGTGTATGTCCGTCGCAATTAGAATGGTTCCCGGAAAGGGGTTCTTTAGGGGACGATGCGAATCGTGTGATGCTCTTGACTACAATAAAAGTGATGGAATCTGGAATAAAGTCAAAACGAGCTACGTGAAGGGTAAACATTGGGCAAAGAACCCAGAAGCTTGCATTCTGGCTAGAATGAGAAAAGGAGACGTTGTTGGGGTCACCGGTTACCTAACCCCTCTCTGATAAGGAGGCCTCGCTGGGCGCACCTGCTCGGAGTGGCTGGGGCTGAATCAAGGGTGGAAGGTTAGACGATCCTACGCCCACTACCTACGTCAGAACCGGGAAGAAGGGATGTCAGGCTCTTGTGGGTTGCTCAGCCCCAGAGCGGCTCGGCAAATCCTTGATGAACGGGCAATGAGACGCCGTTGACACCACCCAACACGTCTTCTGCCATGGCATATGCAGGCCGCGCCTGCGAGCCCACTGATTGTCACGTAACATGTCGGCTAGGTACCAAAAGTCAGGGGCAAGTCGCAAGTCCCGAAAGACTTTGTCAAGACTCCTCTGGCCACGAATTGGCTGATTCCTTGCTATCATACTAAGGCGTAGAGCTGCTGCTCCCACATGTTTGGGGGGAGCACAAGTGGTGTCGGTGGAGCTGGACTGACAAGAATACGCTCAATCCCAACCTGGATCAGGTAGATAGTCTGGCATTTGAGGCTTTCCTTGGGCCTACGACTGCGGGACATCGCCGTTATCTTTGCTTGTACGTTCCACATGCAGGTGTTTATCAAGGAATTGGAAGCTCTTTTGGGCTAACAATTTCCACGCGCCAACTTTGGCCGTCAGCCCGCCTTGCCCGACTTCTTTCGGAATCCACATCTCTTTCCGTTCCTCTGGTACCTGGGACAGGGCGTTATAAATGACCACTGTGCTCTCGTCCGGAGAAGCATAGACCGAACTTGATGCTCCGGTAAGCAAGACAGGGCAACGAATCCGGTCCGTGATCTTGCCTTGGCCGTCAGGTGCAACGTCGAGGTCAAAGGACTGGCAGCGGCGTAGCATGTCACCAGGTGTTGAGGCCCCCATAATGGCCATGCTCATGCCCATTTCCCATTGTGTTGGAAAGTGAGCCACCGCTTGCAGGTATATCAAGGCATTGAAGGCTTGGTCTGGCAGCCATCCCGAGGTCCACATTGTTGCAAGCCACGCTGGCATGCGTTTCAAAGCAAGGCGCCATAATCCATAGAATGGATCAACAGCGACACACGCTTTGATGCGGGCATCGATGGACGAGCGGAGGGCAAAATATCCACCTAACGATACGCCCACGACGGCAATGCGGCCCGCGTCAAGACCCAACTCCGGATTGCCAGCTATCAGGTGCTGGAGGTAATCCAGTACCCTGCTTGAGACCGCCTCGAAATCGGGGCGCATGGCGGTTTTGCCTTTCTTCAGCATCAATCCCTGTCCAGGACCCTCGAACGTCAGGACAGCATACCCGAGGCTAACGCCGGCAGAGGCTGTAACGAAGTAAAGTTCTTCTTGCGTCGAGTCCGCCCCTCCGCAGCTAACGATGATGGGGGTGCGCTTCAGTCCATTGCCACGCATCCTCCTAGAAGCAGCAGGTAGGTACAGATAGGCTGGCATCGTGACGTCGTCCTGGTACGGGATTTCGAGGACCATGACTCGGCTGTCCATGTATGGGATGGCCTCCCGGAACAACGTGATGGATCTTTCTGCAGTCCGAAGAAAGCGTTCATCCGGTCCCGACCACGGAAACATGTAGCTCGATGCCCTGGCATAATTCGATGCCCTCAAAAACGCGCCTCTAGCGGCGTCGACGTAGCCGCTGTAGACTGCTTCCCGGGCGATCGTTTCGGCTCGCTGAGACTGCTCGTGCCAGGCTGTGTACCAGGTCTCCGGGTCGTGTTGTCCAACCTTGCCCATGGCCTCGAGAAACTCGGCGATCTCGCATCCCTCTGCACTCGTGCTGCTAAGTATACGGGTCGCTTCAAAGTTATAGAAGTTGCTTTTGAAAAGCCGAAACATGATGACCAGTTCGCGTTGCTGAGCTGGGATGGTGTTGTGAAGTGCAAACGGGAAGTTTTCAAGTGGTGAGGAGATGTTCGGTCTCAAACTGCGTTAGGAGAATACTACAAGCTTGACGACGCCCACTCCTAACTGGAGCCTGATATGAGACCGCAGTCATACGTGGAACAACTAGTAGGGTTCGGAAATTGGAATCTCTTCCGGGTTGACAAAGGCCGAGTTTCGGGGACGTGGGTTCGGCGAAACACATCTGCTCTGTCGCACAATAAGGTCGTACGAAACCGGAATGCAGGTCTCGAGTCCGGATAGCCCGGGGGAACCATACATTGCGATTCCCCTCCCCCCCCCATTCCGTAATACAAATGTCGAGTCCGTCTCGGAGACTTCAAGTCTCGGGGGATCCTTTGTGTTCATTTGTCTCGGACATTCGGCGCTGCCGATAGTCCCCGACTAGTTCGGATGGATCTAAAGCATAGTCCAGTCGCAAGAAACTCGAGTCTTAGCTGACTTCTGGCCCGAAGCGTATTGTACTTATTGGGCTCCGTCAAAGCATGTGCCTAGGGGTTTGAGGTGACACCCGGTAACTTAACACGATTCACAGGACTTTATTTTCACATACTTCGTATTATTGGAATCTGGGTAGGCACACACGAGCCCATAATGAGTGCACCGGCGGGCACAACCATACACGATCTTAATGGATCGTGGGTCATAGTAGGTAGAAACTTTGTAGTCCACAAAAGTATCGATGTTAGGGGTATAGAACTAATTGCTTTTCGATAGAACAAAGAACTGTCAGATGACATGGACCAAGCCCTGGTCATGGAAGGGGTTCCCTGGTGCGTGCATGCTCCCTAGGCGCGTGAATACTAGTAACGCAGATCTAACATGACGAGTTACGTGGAGGCTCATGCGCAAGGTTGCGTCTTGGGCGACAATCACGTATAAAAATACACACATAAAGGATGGTAACGGATGCACCGTCCTTACCGTTGCGAAAAGCGCAACGGGGGGCATCCCGGGAGAGACACAAGTACATACGCTTGACGGCGTTGAGCATGTGTACGAATCCATTTTGTTTGGTAATCGGCGCGTGGAGACGCGCTGGCTTGACCTCAGGAGTAAGGATCCCATTTCTGGTGTCGTTAGGAGGGAGGATCTCGACCCGTATCTGAGTCAAGATTTGTTGGACCAGGAAGCCGGGGACTCGCCGGGGCATATATGGGCCGCCGTGACAAACGAGAGGTCTGGGATGAGAGGGGAGCAGGTCTGGGGCTTTGAGCTTATTGCTGGAAAGCGCTACCATGTCAACAGGATGGTCCTCAGGAAGGGTGAGGAACGCGTCGCCCTGAGGATTGTATTTGACTGGGCGGGTAATCAATGATTTAGATATGTGAGAAGGCATTAAGTATACTTCAGGTTGTCCAATCCGTGCCTAGGTACTACATATAAACTTCCATGGTTCAGTCATACTTATGGGGTGGGTGGATGGGTTCATGGATTTGGTTGCCCCTACGACTACATGTGGCGAGACATACTGGGTCCTGTAGCAGGCTCGGTCCAAGTCATCGAGCCGAGGTATTCTCATCAACTACCTAGGTACACAGACATTGATTTAGCCAGCATGTCTTTGAGCCTCGATAGATTCAGCGACACCCGAGATGCAATGGAGAATATTAAGCGTGTCAGGTTATTGCCTAATTACCTAAGGTAGGTAAGGTAGGTACCTTAGGTATCAATAATTGTTAGACCAATGCCTATTCCTGACGGCTTCCCATTCAAGTGAAGAATCGGCCAGCCAAGCGTGATGTTCTAATATATCGCGTTCAGAGTGAAAGAAATACGTTCCTTACTGAGTGGGAAAGTTAAACCCCCTTCGAGTCCTTGATATAGGACTGAAAAACAATGTCAGAATCCGACGCGTCAACCGCAGCCAAATATGCCGCCACCAGTACATTCATCCCCTCGGATACGGCCATGGCAACCCATTTTCCCAGCGGAACCGTTTGGTACTCGGCCCCTCCCTCCGCCTCCAGATGCTCCTTCAGTCCCTCGATGGGAACTACAACATCCCCACTGTGATGTAAGAACTTTACACCACCACTAGGCACCACATCTTCCTCCCCGCGGCGAACCACAGTGTCCACAACTCCACTAGCCACTGTCTCGACTCGCACAAAGTCCACCGCGCCTTTCCAGTGTGCCGAAACCGGGACCGCTCTCAGCCTGTTGGAAAATCGGAGCATGGATGACATGACGTCCGTCTCGCCCACCCCGGCGCCCGTGACGCTGCTCGGCCGATGTACCCACACCCTAAGTCCAAGCCGGGCCGCCGCGCGCTCTAGGAATGCTTCGCTGGCCCACTTGCTCGCGACGTAGTGATCCTGCCAGTTCGCCGGAGGAGGATGCGCAGCGACCGTTTGTTCCCCAAATATGTCCTGGGGGACAGCTGGTAGTTCTCCTTGTTTGCTTGAACCATCCGCAACCGGTTTGGAAAGCAAGCGCCCGGTCCCAACCGTGGAGATGTAGTGAAAGTCGAGGCCGTGCTTCAAAGCGAGACTCGCGAAGACTTTTGTCGAGCCGACGTTCGCTCTGCGGAGCGTAGCATATGACTTGAGAAAGGATACGTCTGCACCACAGTGGATCAGGGCGTGCGCAGACAAAAAAGGTCGGTCGTCCAGATCGTCTAGTGAGGAGAGATCACCCTTGTAAACGGAAACTTTCGGACATGACTCCAAGTCGGCAAGCCTTGAAGGCTCGCGGACTGCGATGCAGTGCACATGAGAGATATCAGGGGATCCAATGAGTTGAACAAGCAGCTCGCGGCCGATGAGGCCAGTTGCACCTGTTAGAATGACGACCATCCCACTGTCTCTGGCTTTGACGGTGGCTTCTTGGGCTGGAACTGCGTCGATCAAGTCCTTGGTTAAGGCGGTCTCTTCTTCCCAGTCGATCGGCGCATCGGCGCTGGTGACAGACGCGTCGTGGACAGCGGCAGCCATAGCGCCCAGAGTACTGGCTTCGAAAAGAGACATTATGGTCAGTTTTACACCGAACTCGTGGTGGATGAGATGTTGTAGTTTGACGAGCAGCATCGAGTTGCCCCCGACATGGAAGAAGTCAGTGTCTCTGCCCACTTTGTAGAGAGAGTGGACATCTTTCGGGATGACTTTTCCCCAGACCCTATGGAGCTGGAGTTCCCTCTCTCCAAGCTCGGGGGTCACGATCAGCGGTTGCCGTATGCCGATGGTTTCTGCCTGGATCGACATCCTCTGTACCGCCTGTCTGTCTAGTTTGCCATGAGGGGTTAGGGGCATCGAAGGAATGGGTATGATGACCGCGGGATGCATGTACTGCGGTAGAGGGAGAGATGTTGCTAATCGATGCAGAAAATCCTTGCGGTCTTGATCTGGCACCGTGCAGTCTGCTCGGAACACCGCGTGAGCAACCAAGGTTGGCTGTGCGCCCCGTGCCGTAACACATACGCTCCCCAACCCGCCGTGAGAGTTGAGAAGGATCAGCTGTTCGATATCCTGCATCTCCACGCGGATTCCGCGGAGCTTGATTTGGGAATCCCCGTCGATACGACCCAAGATCTCCAGCTCCCCATTTGCTAGCATTCGGCCTCTGTCTCCGGTTCGGTACATTCTTGCCAGCCCGTTTTCTTTGGCGTTAGTATTCGGCGAGATATGGTCGGGAAGGAACTTCTCGTTTGCAAGGTCGTCATCGTTCAGATATCCAAGGGCGACACCAAGTCCACCAATCACGACTTCGCCCGGGACCCCGGGGCCGACGGGTTGGACGAAGTCGTCCAGGATATAGACGGAGCGGTTGGGCATCGTTTGACCGACAGTAACCACCCCATTGAGTGGGTTTGCGAGGTCTATCTCGACTTGGTTGCTCGACACAGTGACCTCTGAAGGGGCATACATGTTCCACAGGTGGAGGTCGGGCAGCTGCAGTTTTCTAAAGTCGTCAACTAGTTTTGACGAGCAGTGCTCGCCGCCCGTCGCGGCAATTCGCCACGACTTGCATTGCGTGAGCTTGGGAAAACCATATTGAATCCAGCTCAGATACTCGGATGGCGTAGCACCCGTGCAGGTAACACCCTCCTCAGCCATTAGCGTGGTGATAGCGATGGGATCCCCGCGCATGGCCCGCGGCACGACGACCAGCGTGCCACCATATGCGAGGGCCGCGAAGCACTGCCAGGTTGCGAAATCGAACCCCAGTGCGCTATGCTGGAGTACCACTTCAGGCCCACGAATATTGCACGTGTGTTCCATCAGGTTTGGGAATCCGTCGTGGGAAAGTATCACGCCCTTGGGGACCCCTGTTGAACCACTGGTAAAGAAGGCTATGGCAGGGTCTTTCGCTTGGGCCATGATGGGAACGTCGTGTCGCTGATGCTCAAAGGAAAGGGAAGCGATCGTTCGAGAGACATTCATGGTCTGAGGAGGCCCGTCTTGGACCGCTGCTAATCCGGCCGGCTGGGATAGTGTCGCGTCATGGAAGAGGACCATGGCCGGTTTCGCGGCCTCAACCATGGCCGCCAACCGCGCCGGGGGTATCCCGACGTCAAGGGGAACAAATGTGCCACCGATGCGCATGACAGCCAAGGCGGAGCAAATCCAGTCGAGACCCGGTTCCAGAAATGCAGCTACCCGCGCTCCTTTGGTCACGTTGGCGGCGAGCAACGTTGTTGCGATGGCCATTGTTCGGTTTCCAAACTGCTGGAAGCTCCATACTCGCCCTGTGAGCGGCTCTCTGACGGCGATGGTGTCGGGATGCCGTCGGATAACGTCGTCAACCCGGTGAACAATGGTTTCCGGCCACTCAGAAGCGATGGGAGGACCTGTAGAACGATGCAAGTCAGCCGAGGGTGGTGGGGATAAATCATACTCGAAGCGGCATCCTTCGTACCTTGACCGAGCTTTATAGCCTTCTCCACGCTCTCTGGTGTGAAGACGGGTGCTGCGTCCAGTCTTGACGCAGGTTCCAAGGCGAAGTAGTCGAGTAAGTGGACATATATATCCGCAAACAAGCTAGCGTCTTGCTCGGAGTACAGAGAGCTTTGGGTCAGGAGCGTGAGACGGGGCCCGCTGTGCGGGTCGTCCATAATATCCAGCGTGATGTCGTAGGCCGTTCGGCCCATGCTGTATTCCTCGGTCTGGCCCTCCACGTCTCCCATGGTCCGCTGTGCAGCCACCCCGGCCCGGTAGTTGATGAAGGCTTGGAATATGGGGCTGTGCAGTGTCGACCTTGCAATCTTGAGGCTGTCCAATACGAGGTCGAACGGCGCACGCGAATGTGCCATGGCCGCGTACGCAGTGCGGCGGGTGTCCTTCAGAGTCTCTTGGAAGCTCTGCCCCTTGGAAAGGCGAAACCTCAACGCTAAGAGGTTCAAGTACATACCGATGCTCGTGGCTAGGTCGCCCTCGAAGCGGTTGGCGTCTGCAGTCCCAATGCAGAAGTCGCTCACGTTGAGCAGGCGGAACAAGGTGGCTTGGAACACAGCCAGGTAAAAGTGGAATTGTGAGACCTTTTGTCGCCGGCATAGGTCGTGAATTCTGCCGGATAACTCGGTGTCGATCCTGCGATCCACGCGATTGTGGTCGTATTTGTGCATCGCCAGCCGCGCTTTGACTGACGCGTACGGAAGAAGGGGAAGCGTGGGTGGCATATCACTTAGCTCCCGCTTCCAGTATGTGATGTCGCTATCCATATTTCCCAGCTGTACATCAAGTTGTTGTTGCAAGGCGTAGGCAGGGTATTGGTAAGGTTCAGAACGGAGAGGTGTGCCAGTGTACAACTTTCCCATATCGGCCAGCAAGACTTCCATGCTTGCACCGTCCATGTTGACGTGATGATACCCAAAGATGAGGAAGTGATCTCGCGGACCTAGGGCCAAGAGAACTATTCGCATGGACTCGCCTCGTTCGATCGTAAAGACGTAGTTCTTCATTGCTTCCACGGCCTGCGAAACGTCGTGAGTGTCCCTTATTTGCTTCCTCTCAATGCGGAGAAGCGATTTCTTGAGGATGCCTTGCACCGGGATCTGTTGTCCCTCCTGGACAACAAAGGCTGTTCTGAGAGCTTCGTGGCGCTGACCTAGGACATGAACTGCCGCTTCCAACCTTGTCACTTGCAAAGGGCCGTGAAGCCGAACCGAAAGCGTGACGTTGAAGGTTGTCTGGTCCTCGATATACTGTCTCAGAAACCAGAATCGAGACTGTCCGAGTGTCATGGGTGCCGTTTTTTCAAGGTCCAAATCCTGGGCACGGGTTGGTTGTGTCATTAGACTCAAGGGGCCGGACCTGTCTAGTCCGGGGTTTGTGTTCCTTCCAGGCTTGTCAGTGTCATTTACCATGGGCGCTGGGCTTGGTTCCTGCTCAGGAGGAGGAGTGCTCTTGCGAGATGTTGACGTACGGTCGTCAACATCTTCGCTCTGCGATGGACCGGATGTCGTCGAGATGTCGGAACTTCGGGTGAAGGGGGCGGTGACCGGCAATTTGAGGTCAATATCGTGTATCTTCTCCTTAACGTCAATGCTCGAATCTTGTCCGATGTTTGGAGTTAGGGTGGCCGGTAGCTTCTCAGCAGCACAGGTGATGAGTTCTGCAACTGTAGCTCCTCCCAGGATCATGAGGACGGGCACGTCAACTTCCATCTCCTTTTGGAACCATGAGCGAATTTCGACAGCGACAAGGGAGTCAATACCCGTCTCCTCAGCGTTGGCTGTGAGGAAGTTGGAACGGTCGTCGTCGCTTTGTAGCTGTATCTGGAGCATGACCTGCAGCTTTTGCACGAAGGTGTCGGTGATGACTGTAATAGCTTCCTCGACGCTTCTTACTTCGAGTAACCTCGGTTTAACAGCAGCCATGGACCCGCCCAGTGTCCTCTTTGCTTCGGCGTTTGTGCTACCACGCGTAATGCAGTGGGAAAACCGCGGGTTATCCGTCCATGGGACCGACACTTCCTCGTCGACATTAACCACGCGCACGCTCGTGACGATCTCGGGGTTGCGGCTGGAATCCGGGCGGCTAGCCAGGATGGCCTCGGCGACGCACTGATGGAAAGCACGTTCGTCCATTTGGTCAAACCCTGCGCGGCGAACGATTGAAAATAAAGCTTCACCGGACATGCTCCGGCTCGACTCGCGAGACACATACCCTACACCCATGACGGCTCCTAGGTGTAGAACCGAGGCGGCTAGACCGCTCCGCTGGCGCTCAAAGGTCTTGGCCGTCATATACATGTTGGAGGCGCTGTAGTTGGCCTGTCCTCGATTTCCGACGGCAGAGGCGAGCGAAGAGAAGAAGACAAAGAAGTCAAGGGTGTTCTCTCGGAACAGGCGGTCGAGGTGGATGGTCCCAAGAACTTTAGGGCGTAGGACCTTGGTCATGGCCTCGAATGACATCTCCGAGAACGGGCCATCCTCGAGCACCATTGCGCCATGCATGACTCCTGCAATGGGTGGGAATGAGCGGCGTATGTTACCGACGAGCTCTTCAACCGCGGTTTCGTCGGTAATGTCGCTAACCACCGTATTAGCACGCAGTTTGACCCTGACAACACAAAGGGGACCTACTTAGCAAACACCTCAACACGCATACCCCTTTTGTGGCACTCATCCAGCCACTTGGTGTCGATATTAGGATGACGACTCGTCAAAACTACGTTTTTTGCACCATGGGATCCCATCCAGTCAACCACGGAGCGTCCCAGGTCGCCCGTCAAGCCAAACAAAACATAACATTTGCTTTCATCGAGTTGGATCATGCTATCGACTGACTGTAGTTTGACGGGAACCTCATCCTCTGACTTCCAGTTCAAGACCGTGGGGGTGGACGGATCCGGTATATCAGCTGACGGTGTCTTGACCAGCGCGCCTGGCGACAACGAGTGGACGCGTAGATGTTTCAGTTGCTGCGCATGACGGGAAACCGCTTGCTGAAGGATCTCGGACAAGACGGGTGACAAGACTGACGGCATTGCCAGGGGCGGTCCCAGCGTTGCGAGGGTGATGTGCCGACACGTTGGAGGCATGCATGATGCCACGAGCGAGCCAATTCCGGCCCCTTCGGAATTATTGGAGTAGTCAAGGAATAGGGAGATATCAGGGGGAAGAGATGCACGAACGGCTCGCCTTGAAGTAGTTAAAGACAATGCTACCACACTCTCGCTGGGAAGGTCCGGAAGATCGCCTGCAGCTGGGACAGTAAAGACCACGTTCGTGTTTCTTTCCGCTGCCTGATCAAACAGCCGCAATGCTAGGTCCGCGGGTGGCTCGTTTACAACCAAGCTCCCCGCCGTTGGCATGAAAAGGGCGATTTGGCTGCATCTTGCCTCAATGGTCAACAGGGCGAGGAGTCGCTCTTGAGCGTCCGAGCCTGTTCCGTTTTGTGCACCGCCCCAGCGAACCAGGTGTTCTTGTTGAACAGTGACACAAGAGCCATTCGTACGCGAGAATCCCAAAACCCAAGCGTCGGCGTGCGGGTCCAGTCCAACAATACCATGCATGCCTTGTACAACGGGCAGCAAAGTGGATGCCGTGACGGAAATCCGGACCTGGCCGGCGTCAAGATGGAGATGGTGTTCAGGCGGTGCCTGGTGGAAAGTGTAGCCTCGAGCCTGATTGGGCCTGGCAAGAATCAGGGGGCACTCGGAGGCACTTTTGGCCTGTACGATGGATCGTTTCGACGCATTGTATCGGTCGTTTGCAGGTTGCATCGGTAGCATTCTCGGGATTTTGATACAACCTCCCTCCTCGAACATTTCTTGCTCTGTTGTGTAGAGCACGCCGCGAACAGAAGTTTCGTTCCGTGTGAATCGGAGACGGAGCAGCGTTTCTGCCACCAACCTCGCGTCGGGTTTCTGTGAATAGTCGAGGTCGAGAAATTGGATGCAGATACCAGGGCTTTCCATGACTACCGACCGGCCAAGTCCTAAGCTCATGTTCATATACGGTTCATCGGCACGCGCACCTTGTGTCACCCAGAGAATCGTCCGTTGATAGTCCGCCATATTCTGTATGGCTCGCATGGATTCATCCGTGAGGTCGGAGAAGATGGGCCGGTCTAGTTCAGCCAGATTCAGGACCAAGGCCGTGGGGGAGATACTAGTCGCAATGGCGACTTCCTCTAGTGTCAGGAAGCGAGTGGTCTGGAACTCAAATTGCTGGGTTAGACCCATGATTGTGTCGATCAGTAACACCGTCGTTAGGCTTTGCCCGCCAATAATTACCAGGTCCCCCTTATCGGTCGAGGCAGCGTTGGACTCGCGGGCGTGCATAAGTGGTTGTCGAATCACACTCACGCGTTCGTCGACGGCCTGAGATACGATGACGGATGCGGGTCGGGGAAGAATGTCGACCTCGGGTGTTATAGTGTCGATTCCCGAGAACCCGGCTCCCAGGAGGAGCTGGTGCCATTTGGCCGAGGTCACACAAGGCGAGTACTCCCGACCATCATCCCGGCCAAGCCACCAACCCGGCAAGCCACTCATGGTAAAACCGGTACGGACAACGTCGTTGCTGATGAGCTCGATGAGAAGGAGGTACCCGCCGGGCTTGAGTAACCGACGAGTCTCTTGCAGCGTCTTGTCAAGGTTTTTGGTTGCGTGCAAGACCAGGGAGCCGATAACAACATCGTACGAGTGTTCCTGGTAACCTTGGTCGGCCACGTCCTTCTCGATATCGAGAGTTTTGAACACCATCTTGTCGGCTACGTGGGAAAAGATTTCCTGCGCTTTCTCCATGAATGCGGCAGAGATGTCGGTAAATGTATACGACGAAAAAGCGCGTCCAATCTCCGCCATGATGGATTTTGTCGCACCGCCGGTCCCGGCCCCAATCTCGAGGATATCCATGTGCGGGTAGCGGTGAACGATCTGTGCCACAGCACGGGACAAGAACCCGGTAGTTTCGCAAAGCCCCAATGCTTCGACGTAGTACCGGTTCGCCAGGTTATCCTGAAACATGTGCTCCTGAATTTGAGTCTCTTCCCGGACCACGGCCGCGAGGTTCTCGCCGACTGTACACATGAGCTTGACATCGATGCTGGCGGGGTATTTGTCCACGATGTATGAGATCTGATCCCAAGTATCGTCAAGCCACCGATCGCTAGCATAGCGCTGTCGCCCATCTGCGGTCTGGCGGAGCACATGTTCGAACCAGCTAAACATAGCCTCGTGATGCCACTTCAAGCCGCGGCGCTGACTTGGCGGCACGTCGTGGACAACCTTCTTCATATAGTACAAGGACAGTCTCTCCAGGTTTGTAGCAAGCTCATAGTCGGTCGGGGTAGCCCGGCTGTTGGCTGCGAGGGCACCGTCCGGCATGCTCACTCCCCAGACCTGCTCCATGAATAGTGTTCTGTCCGCCTCACTGGTCCGCTCAGCTAGGGGCATCACTTGGAGACCTTGCAGTTGGATGAGCGGTGTTTGTCCGTCGCGACCGTAGACATCAACATCTCCACCGATAATGTTCGTGGTCAAGGGGTTTTTTGTCAAGAAGGATTCGAGAGGAAGTTGGACCCCTTGGACTAGATCTTGTCTGCAGAGCGATGTGTTGATTGATAGACTGTCCAGACCCGTGGGTAGGTGCAGCTGATCGAGGCTCTTGTCACCAGGATAGCAGTAGGCGAGGAAGATTGCTTGCAAGGCCGCGTCTAGCAGGGCCGGGTGCAGCAACACGGCGTCGGAGGCCGATTCATGGCCGGGAACGCGAACGTACGCAGAACCGTAATTGATCTTCCGTTTCAGACCTGAGAGCGCCCGGAAATCGTCATAATACTCGTAGCCGAGTTCCTCAAGGGCCGAATAAAAAGAATCCTCCGGCACTTCGGCGGTGTCTGACGGCCCAGGAAGTCGCTGCGGAAACGGATGACGGGGCGTACATGTGTCCTCGCCAACATCACTCGTGCACAACGTGACCAATAGCCGACCAGTTGCTAGGCGCGAAAGCAGATCGGCCTCAACGCCGATGGCAGCGTGGAACGTGAAATTTGCTGTGATGTGATGGAGCCCTCGCTTATCGATGTCAGAGAGGACGAAGACCGTCTCGACCCCGGTTTGCTCGTTGATGCCATCAAAAGCTAGTGCCTTGCCCAGCTTGAAGTTTTCAATTTCAATCGTGTTTATAACCCGACCTTCTGCAAGAAAGGGGCATGATTCGATGGCAGTAGAAAGATATGCGGCAGCCGGGTACACCATCTGGCCCTGGAGCTGATGGCCACTGATCCATCGAAGCTCGCTTGGGCGGATAATGTTCCGCCAACGCATCTCATCGCCCACGCCATCTGGCACCCTCTTGCCGAGGAGGGGATTGAAGAGATCCTTACGGTTGCGGGTGGCACGAGAAATTCGAGAATCGTGCCAGAACACCCTATCGTGGTCCCATTTGTACGTCGGAAGGTTGGGAACGACGCGCCTCAGTGACGCGGATTGCCCTGTTGCAAGAGTCTCGTACTTGAGGAAATCAACAACGGGCGTCGTGAACCGGCTCCAGACGGACCCGAGCGTGACAGACAATGCTCCAATATCTTCTGTGCCACGGTGTAGGGTGCCGGTGTAAAGTGGCGGGATAAGTTGTTCTCCTTCATACAAGACTGCGAGTGTTTCGGTTGCAGGCCCTTTCAGAGCTGGGTGAGCGCCCACCTCAATGGCCATGTTGAAAGGCGCTTCCTGGCCCATCTTGACAGCTGCCTCAAGAGCCTGGGCAAAAAGGACTGGCCGCAGCATGTTGTCTTTCCAGTACTCTCCTTTGAGGGACTGTAGCTGTGCTGTAACCCCCATCGACGCGCCAGCGTGCACGCTTGAATACCAAGCGCAGTTGTTGGATGGCGGTCGGGGCTCGATCTTGCAATTGTCGAGTGCTTGTTGGTATGGTATCGAACAGGCTGCCATGTGGTGGGAGTGATATGCTTTGTCGACTTTGAGGACTCGAGCGAACTTCTTTTCATCTCCAAGGACCGCCTTCGCCTCCTCGATGGCGTCAGCGTCGCCAGAAAGCGTAGCGCTAGACGGGGAGTTACAAGCAGCCACAGATAACCGGCCAACAAATTCGTCCAAGCTGCATAGCTCTCTGGCGTCTTCGAGCGAAGTCCCGACGGCCATCATGCGCCCTTCTGTTTTAACATATCGCTGAACACACCAGCCGCGATAGTAGGCGATCTTAATCGCTTCCGCGGCGTTAATCATACCTGCAGCGTATGCTGCGGCTATCTCTCCCGAGGAGTGGCCGACAACGGCTGCAAACTCGACCCCGGCGGCACGAAGCAGGTCTACCAGCACAATTTGAATGGCAGTGCACAATGGTTGGGCGATGAGTGCTTCATCAAGTCGTGAGGATTGTGCATCTGCGAGGAGTTCGTGGGTCAGAGACCAGGAGGGCTGATCTGCTACGGGAAGGTCGTACAGAGAGCTCTCCAAAGCATGGATGCGATCACGGACAAAGGTCGATCCTTGTATGAGACTCTTTCCCATGGATGCCCACTGAGCACCTTGGCCCGTAAACACGCCTAAGATTCGGGGACGCGCCGTCACCGGTCTGGCGCCGATGCTAATGCCGGGCTCGCCCCTATCTTGCCGACGAGAATGGACGAGCTCCAGATGGTCCGTGATAGAGGAGGCAAGGTGTTGTGGTGAGGAGGAGGCGGGGAACGCCACTCTCACCCCTAATGCGGATCGTCTTGCGTGTAGGGTGTGGGAAAGGTCAGCTGGCGATAAGTCCGGTCGCTCGCCCAACAGCACGGCGTATGCTTGCAGCATCTCCTCGAGTGCCGTTTCGGACGCTGCGGAAAAAACAAATGGGGCAAACGTGGCGAGATGCTTGGTATTTTTGATAGGATCCTTGACTATGCCAACCGCGGGCTCGTAACTTTCAAGGATGATATGGGCGTTGGCACCCCCGAAACCAAAGCTGTTGACGCTCGCCCGGCGGACTTGGTTCACTCCCGGCCACGGTTTTGCTCGAGTGGCGATCTCCAGTCCGTTGTAGAAGGGGGCCACTGCGGGACTTAGCCGTTCAAACAGCATGTTGGGCGGGATCGTGCTGTGCTGAACGGCTAACGAAGCTTTCAGTAGCCCGGCGAGGCCAGCTGTGCCCTCGGTGTGGCCAATGGCGGTCTTGATTGAGCCGACATAGAGGCTGCTAGCTTGAGCTTGGGCGGGTGGCCTGGCTTCGTTGTTGCTGAATCCGAAGAACGCATGGCTGATGCCTTCGGCTTCCTGCCTATCAGTCAGTCGAAGGGGAACTCAGGGATGATAGAAAGCGGATGGGACCTACGCGGCAATCCCCTGCCTCGGTACCGGTGCCATGGGCTTCGAAGAACTGGCAGCGTTCCTCTTCTTTCGTCGGGTCCAGCCCGGCCTTTCTGTATGTTCTGGTGATCAGATCAGCCTGGGCCAACTCGTTGGGCATAGTGAGCCCTTTGGTGCGCCCATCGGAATTGATGCCAGACTCGCGGATGACGGATTCGATGTGGTCACCATCTCGAATGGCATCGGAAAGACGCTTCAGAACAACACATGCAACCCCTTCACCTCTCGCATAACCGTCTGCCGCAGCATCCCACATCCTGGATCGACCAGTGGGAGAGAGCATCTTGAGCTTAGACTCGCCGATGTACAGCTCCGGACCGAGGATGATGTTTGACCCCGCCGCGACAGCGAGGTCCGAGTCCCCGCTCCGGAGCAGCTGCACAGCTTGGTGAACAGCAACCAGACTAGACGAGCATGCCGTATCGATCGTCATCGAGGGTCCATGCCAGTCGAAGAAGTATGAGATGCGATTGGAAATGAGGCTCCTGGCCGTCCCCGTCGCCATATATACGGGCATAGTGTCTATATCTCGGCGGACATGCTCCATAAAGTCATCGCACATAACGCCGACATAGACACCGGTTTGGGATTTAGCGAGGGCTTCGATTGATTGGCCAGCAGCTTCCAATGACTCGTACACAACTTCGAGGAGGATCCGATGCTGGGGGTCAACCGAGTGAGCTTCGACCGGTTTGATGTTGAAGAAACCCGCATCGAACAGCCGTGGATCTTCTTGTAGAAAGTAACTTTGAGTAACATTGCCCGTGCCATGATGTGTACCGTCTGGGTGGAAAAATGCGTCTGCGTTGAAGCGACTAGTTGGAACCTTGGAGAGGAGGTCCTTGGGCTCGCGGAGGAAATCCCAGAGCTTGGATGGGTTGTCGAGGGAGCCAGGGAATCGACAGGCACTCCCGACGATGGCGATGAGCTCATTGCTAGACCGCTTTACTTGAACCATTGCGGTAGACTTCCTTCTAGGAAAGGCTCAAAAGAAGCTCGTCGACTGATGCGAGGTAGCAGATTCCGTTGAGAGAATCTAGCTTTGGCGAGCGTTCAAAACCGCATGACTGGGGTCAGTGGGCACCTGCTGTATAGTTGGCACTTGCCTGTGTTTTGGTGCCTATAACTACCTCGGTAGTAAATCTGTATGTCTCGCCCCATTCACGATATTCGCCCAGCCCCGTGGATTCTGAAACCGCACGGTGGTTACACAAAAAAGGTCTCGTTGCACCACCGAGCCGGAGGGTTCGGTTCGGGCCTCGGTGCTCGGGGTGGTCAACGGCGACCTGTGGCTTTATTCAGCGAGACATACGAGGCTCTGGAAGCCGAAAGAAGGGCAGCGGATAACTAAACGAAAGAAGACGAATGCAGGGACGAACGTTGAGTTGATGGCGTGCGCAGGCAAAGTGGATGGATTGCAAAGCTTGTCTACCTGAGTACCTAGGTAGGTATTTGTATTAACATCCAATTGTCCACTCGTAGAGAATGATCATGGCATTAGTTTAATACTTTAGATAATTAAATCATCGGACGCCTCTAGCAGAATCCCTGCCGACACCCCAAACTGAGTGATACTTTAACTTTCAGATTGGTATTATTTCGCAGTCGTAAACTTGTGGTACTGGTTGGGGTAGTCAATAGTATCATGGGTGGTGGGAGTAGTACTATTCCGGCCGGTATCAAAATATGAATGATACAAAGTTTGTCACGACGTTTTTCCATCTTCCAAGAGTGCTAAAACTGTAAATGAGCCAAATTTGCCACTTCTCTACCCTCTCCGGTAGTAGAACCTGTTCAGAGAAACCCTTCCCTTGGTAGCGCTCATCCGTACCCAACTCCCCACCCTGCACGTTAGTGACAAAGCCAGTCCCGCCTTTTCCGCCTGAGAAGCCCATTTCAAACATCTTGGTTTCGTGGCCATGGTGGAAACGCCAGGTCTTCCCGGTGGTGGCAGACACGAACTCGAGGACCCGCCCTGTTGAGCTGTCGGCCAGGCGGCCGCTCACATTTCCAGTGAAGTCGGGCCTGAACAGGACATGGTCAGCCGTTCGAGATATATCGCCAACCTGTGTCGCCACGAGGAGTTGGCCGTCCTTGAAGAGCTGAGCTGACAGGTACGAAACCCAATTGTCCAGTTTCGAGTACAACTGGAAATATGACACCGTGTAAGGGCCGAGGTACCCGCGGACAACGTGCCAACCGTGGCAGATATTGAGCCAGCCGTCCTCGGCCCATATACGCGTGTGGGCACCGTGGCCCGCAATTCTCATGCTTTTGCCCCCCATTTGGACTTGAGCAACCATCCTCCCGCCGGAGATGGGCTGGTTGAAGTAGAACCCTGGTCCTAGCCTAACGGCCGCGTGTTGCTGATCTTGAGTCCCTTCTTTCGGAGGCCAGAGCGCCCCATTTGCTAGAACCGGCGGGGTGAGCGAGTCTAGTGTAATGACCCCCTTTCCACGCCTGCTCTCCCACCACAGCTTGGCCGAGCGCAAGTCTTTTGACACTTTGAAACCGTACAGGTGGTCAGAGCTGTTCCATAGACCCCTGACGGAGTCTGCACAGCTGATGATAGTTGACTGCTGAGTGTACTGCATTTCCTCGATGCGTGTGCCATCCTCCAGTGTCACGTAGAGCTCGATGCGCAAGTTCCCTTGCCCGAAGAAGGGGAACGAAGGATCCCGGCAGAAGCCCATCATAAAGCTGCCCTTTCCGGACGCGGCCACACCGTCAAATTCCCACTGATCCCATGTTGTAGAGTTAATTGCCGCCAATTTAGGAATTTCTGGGTGTTCAGTCGCGGAAAGGGACGGTGTAATTGGTCCCTCAACCTGATCGAATGCACTCAGGTGGCTGATAACGCATGATGAGTCTTCTCGGTCCGGGTCGCTGAATTGGTGTTGCCATTGCCCGGAAAATAAGTTATTAGTCAAGAGTTGTTGGCTCAAGTCAGAGGTGCCCACGGCCAGTGGCAGAAACTTGAACACCGACAAAAACGTCCACGAGACGTGCATCCTGAAAACCGGATAACGTTCAAAGTCGAGATGGGTACAGGGTGTTTGCTTTGGTCAAGTGGCCTCAAATCAACATACGGTGGTTCCAAGGTAGAAGAAGCCTCCGTCCCCTGAGATTTTGGCTAGCTCGCTTCATGGGAGTATAATTCGGTGAGTTCCAACGTATGTCAAGGAGCCGATCGGGCCTTTCGGAAACTTGTCTGTCGGAGACCCATAGCGGCCGGAGACCGGCCGGAGACCGGCCGGCCAATTATCAAAGTTATTGTTACACGCGGCCCCGAGCCGACGCAGCCGGTTCTGAATCCACTAACGTGTCGTGTCGGGACGTAATTATCACCCTGAACATAAGTGATGCGGGCCGTTCGTATATATTGGTTTTGTACAAAGCTGCAAATAGTGTACGAAAAAAAACGTAAGCCAGAAATACTCTCAACTTTTCCTATTGCTTGTTACTGGGCTGAACTGTAAGGATCAGGTTTTAAATTTTGAGTTGTTTTGTCGCATTACTTGCAAACCCCCGTCGCACCATGACTGTTGAACTCGCCTTCGTCCGAAAAGTTTGCATCCAATCGCCAATACCAGGGATTATTGAGATCACTCCGACACGATGTTTTGGACTAAGATCGCTTTGATGGGGCCTATGAATATCCGTACAGTCTCGAGTTGATAGCGTGATGTGCGTGGTTCAAGAAGTTGGAAAGGTACCTACCTACGTTTGGAAGGGCGGAGTCAAGCTGCGTAAGTTCCATTGCGTTGAACAGCACAAGTGGGCTGCAAGGTGTTCCCGCCGGACTAGGGAGAGTAAAAGGAGGGACGAGATCAGGTCGGAGATTAGGTAGGTAGTTTATACTCCGACAAATCCGGTCTTTTATGAGATTCCCTGAACAAGCTTCCCCTACCTGGGTTCATCCGCGCAAAAGCTTCTGCACACTTTTTATGTTTTCCCGGAGCAACAACAAAACTGATTTCCCCGTCATCACGGCCCCTGGTCTGCCCCGGGTCTCGTGATCGACCTCGCCCATGACCAAGTGCAGAAGCTCTGATACGTTTCGGTCGCTGAAGATTCCTGCAAACGACGTGCTTCGCGCAGAGATACGGCACTCGGCTGGAAGTCCCATCAGCGACTCGACACTCTCGAACTGATGTTCGATGATCTCGATTAGGATCTTGATGTAAAGGCCACTAGGCATGGAAGGCAGACCAGCTATTCGAAATTCGGGCCGAGGCTGGCATTCACCCATGGTATCGCCGGTTACCTTACCAAGGAACTCGGCCATGCGATAGAACATCGCGTTGAACAGTTGGACCAGCTGGAGATAGGTGGAGATGACGAGTAAATACGTGGCCATACTGAGCGGACATATGGCGGGGCAGGTGCCGGGGGTAGCCACAGAGATGCCCGAATCCGAGATCGACCATGTGTCGGAGGGTTCGCCGTGAGGCGAGAGAGACTTGAGAATCGCGACAAACGAGGTTGTGGTCTGGACAGCTTTGGCGACAGGGTTGTCCGCGGAGGAGCTTAGCTCGGCAAAGCATAGATGAGGCATCAGTGGCGATGGTTTCGAGGGGCACGAGTCCATCTTTGCGAGTTGCTGACCGAGGTCCTCGTTCAGGCGGGAGAGCGAGATTAATGTATGAGGGGCGCTCATCTGTACGGCATCCACAGGCGGAACAGCGTCGCCAGCCGCCCCGTCGTGTTGCAAGCCACAAAGAACCATGTCATTAGCTAGAGCTGATCTGTTGGCCCTGTGAATTGAGCTGCCATGTCGGTCCTCGTCGAGCCCTAAGTTGAAACTTGGGGCTCCATCCTGCGCACTGCGGCTGGCAGGCAACGAGGCTGTGAGGTCGTCGTTCGCGACAAGCACACCGAAGAGATGATCCAACCCATCAAATGTTGCTTCGGTTATTTGTGGGGGGCTGACATGCGCATGTCTTGTATCTAGCATGGGGTCGGGATGACCATACTCGTTCGTCGTGTCGATTGTAGCGTGTGGCGGCCACTCTAGAGCCTCTGGGGTTTGAACTATCGTCGATTTTGATCCATATGGGCGTTGTTGTTCGAGTGCTGACGGCAGCAAAGACGTATCCGAATTACACTGGGATCGCGGTGGGCGGCCACGACTGGTCGTGAGACCTGGGACTGCAGTAGATGCCGGGTTTGTACGTGGCCGGCCAAGAGGCCGGGCACCGCTTGTGACACAGAGGGCACTTGCGCGTTGGCATCGGGCGCAAGGCTCCTGGCTGTTGTTGTCGACCCGGGGACACCGCAGCTTCTGGTCGCGGCAGCGATCACAGGCAAATCTTTTCTGTATTCCGTGACAGCTCATGGCAGGCGACCAAGAGTTTTGAGATGCTGGTTAGGCTTCCTAGGTAGTGTTAGAAACCACGGGAAGTTGGGTTTCAATCTAGATTTTGATTCATGGTGCCTGTAGGACCAGGCGCAGTTGCTCGGAGTCCGAGTCCTGCCACGCTGTATCACATCCGGAACCTTCATGCTGGGGTCATGTAGGTAATGGAGGTTGACGAACATGATGCCAAGCAATAAAAAGAAGAGAATTAGGAGGCCCCCACCCCTCGGCACAATCCGTAGCACGGGGAAGAGAAGATTATGACCAACACTTCAAACTACTCGGTGTTGGAGTTTGCCTTGGTTCCTGTACGGGCCTTCCCGATCTCGGGACGGGACTCGGATAGGCAAAATTGCGGTTCGAAGTCCTGAAACCAAATAGTTAACACAGCCTGGCTCAGGGGGTTGTATTACTCGTACCGTAGTCGTTGGTCTTTGAAGACGGAGGAGCCTTTTGTCTTAGTCCCGTTTCTGACGTAATAGAGGTACCTACATGTACATACCGTAGCTACATGTAGGTAACCTCTCCGCCCGCAGCAACGCTCCGCTACCACACTCGAACTACCGAGCTACGAACAAGCCAAACAAAACTTGTGTTTTCATTGTACCCATGGTTATTGATATGACTACCTGGCTTTCCGGGAGCCAACGCCCATTTTGAACAAGATACTCTATCCAAACCTAGGATTGGATGCTCCCATTGTCCTAAATCCCTCCAAAGACCAGCAGGCTTTGGATATCGGCTCCGCCAAAACCATGCCGGCGTAATAGTTCCCGGCCACGATGAACAGGGAATTCTGCCACCACCATGATGCTGACGTCCTGGGGAACAATGCCAACTTCACCTAACAGCCGGAGGACAGCACACAACGTCCGCCCGGTAGCAAGGACATCATCCACCACCATGACTGTCGCGCCTCTACGGACCACATCTCGGTCCATCTCGATCCTGTCTTTTGACCCATTGGATCCTGCGGACGATATATGTGAGGGAGACTTGGCGACAGTGACGGTAGGTGGCGGGAGCTTGCCACCTTCGCGAATCAGCGCTAGGGGTACGTTGGTTTGTGAGGCCAACGCCGATGCGTAGACGAAGCCACCAGCCTCGCAACACACCACCGCATCGATTTCGGCCCAATTACCAGCGAAGTGCCTTATCAGTAGCGACGTGCATAGTGCCAGGCCACCTGGCCGTTGACAGATGTCGAGGACATGGCGGAATGAAATGCCTGTGCGTGGGAACTCGGGTACCGGGCGGACCATGGTAGCCAGGCGTTGCAGGTCCCCATGTAGGAAGGGAAGTAGCTGGTGTTCGGCGAACAGTTTTGCCGCCTCATCTCCGGACGTGTCATTGTCGAAGCTAAGATTGGGACGGCTCTCCAAGGTCTCCGAACCTGACTCGCCGTTGTCGTTGTTTTTGCGATCCCCGTTTTTCTTGTTGCCACAAACACCGTCACCGTCGACGTACACTTGACGAGCCCGTCGTGCCTCTTCTTTAGCTTTCACGCAAACTTCGAGCAGCCTGGTATCGGGTACCAAATGCGACAAGGCCGCGACTGGGGCCTCATCTCTCATCCCCGTGATGAACAGTGCATCCACATCTGTGGAGTTGTAGACTACGTCCAGGAAGTGCTCCTGCGGTAGTCGGGGACGTTGCCGCACCTGGTCCTGGAAGTAAGACGTGAGAGCCGGGCGGTGTTGCTCTTTGTAGGCGCGGTCCCGGAACAAGCGGTCCACGTCGGCACCAGTAGCGGCGGCGTATTCACGCTTGGTGGCTTCGCTAATGCTGACCGTACGTGCCCGAAACTTGCCATTGGTGAAGGCAGAAACCCAAACGTCGGCGCAATAGTCCTTGCCGGCGCCGCTCTCGCCGGTGACGAGGACAATGAGTTTCGCTTCCATCGGCGCTCTTGGGAGCGGGCAAGCATACGTTAGGACGCTGCGAGGGTCCAACTCGTGTTTCAGGCGGGCTAGGCGTGGGAGATTTGGACCAAACGCTTTCGCCGCCAGAGCGGTGTCCCTTGGGTCCGGTCCGAGGTCGGCGCTGTACGCCCCGGTGCTTACGGGCAGCAGCTTGCTGACGACCTCATAAACCCAGCGGATGGCAGCGAGAGCTGTGTCTGTTCCGTCTTCATCCCGGGGCCAGACGCCGGTTACCACACAGGCGAAGTGCCAGTCTCGGCACCCAAAGGCGGTAGAGTTCGGTGCCACGTCGTTAACTGCTCCGCCGCCTTGTAGCAAATGGAGATAGCAAAGTGGCGTGGGGCGGGTCTCGACAGCCGCGACCAAGAGGTCGGCGACGTTGGCTCGTCCGATGTCTTTGAGCAACAAACTTCGCTTGAAGGAGGACGTCTTGCCGCCGCCATGCCCGCCATGCATTCCCGACATGTACATCTCGGTGTCGAACACACCGACGCAGTCGACGGTCTTGGAGCTTGATGGTGGCCCGAAAGCTTCAGAGATGGTGGTAGGGGTGGCTGTTTCGAGATCGGACGTTGGCGCCAATGTTTCGAACATGGTCACGCCGAGACATAACTCGCCGCCGTTCCAATACAGATATGCATCCGCAGAACAGTTCCGAGGGACTTCTCTGGCGACCGATTTGTCAAAGATGGTCAGTTTGTGCCGCGCCTCAAGACCATCGCGTAACGGCGTGACCCAGTTCCGGACTGAGTATGTCGGAGCCGGATAAGCCTTGAAAGTCACGCTGACCACGATGCCGAAGTTTGTCCCGGCGCCCTTGATGGCCCATAATAAGTTCGTCTCATCCAGACACACGGCACCAGCGGGCCGATGCTCGCTTGCGACGTAGCCAACGCTGATGATCTCCCCAGACTCGACGCTGACCACGACGGCACCAACGATGGCATCGCACGCCAGCCCGTATTGTCTCGCCAGATGCCCAATACCGCCTTGTAGCCACAGCCCCGCGCCCACACTTGGGCGTGCTCCCAAGGGCACGGTGAGGCCAGCCGCCATAGCGCTACGGACGACGTCACCCGTCTTGCAGCCAGCCTCGGCGTGTATTAGGGGCCCAAAGTCGGGATGATCTCCGTCCTTGACGATGTGTACTTGGTCGAAGGCACCCATGTCGACTGCGACGACATTGGACCAAAGGCAGTGACCGCTGTGACCCCCACCAATGACGGTTAAGCCGACGTTGCGTTTCAACGCCCATCGGACGCACTCCTGCACGTGTCCGATCTCTGTGGGCTTTAGGACCGCGGCAGGGCGGCGCAGGCGCGCCTCCCTATTCTTGATCGTGTTGCCGCCGGTTGCCAACGGTACCTCCGCCGTCAACTTTGGCAATGCAGTTGCGTGTCGGGTGAAAGTCGCCACAACCTCGGGCGCGGCGAACAGGAGATGGTCTGGATACGCTGCCTCACGGCGACCCAACGTGCGGCACACTTCGCGCCATTTGGCTCGGACAGCCTCGTCCTGCGTGCCAAAACCCGCGACGAAAGGGGTGAACGAATCCAGTGTCTTATCGTCAAGTGGCGCGCCAACAACGCCATCGGGGAAACACGCCGTTTTATGGGGCACTAGGCCATCCAGATCCAGGCTTTCGCGATGGAAAACGACCACCAATGCGTCGTGTGGTTGCTCAACAAGCATCTCCAGCGCCTGCTCGATGAAGCTGCGTTTGGGATTCATGCCGTACATGCTGTGGCAGAAAAGAATGACATCGAACCTTTCGCCGCCGTCCTGGATCTTGTCCCCCAAAACGAACGGAGCTTGGTGAATGCCAGGCGGGCTTTCCAAACAGGGGAGTAAGGACTCTGCGTCAGAGCCAGATTGGAGCTCTTCTTCCAACCTCGTCGCAAACAAGCCGTTGGGCTCCAGGGCCGTGTATTTCTTGATCTTGCGCCTGAGCTGATCAGGTAGGTAGCCAAGGACCGTTTTCGGGCCTGGACCGATTTCCAGGACCGAAACATGGAGACGAGCTTCGAAGAGGGGAGACAGCAGATGAGAGAGATGCGGGACAATGAAGTCCTGGTAGGTTTTCCACCCCGGGCCCTGTATGAAGAGATCAAAGCTGGCGCTATACTGAGCTTCGGACAACGGCTGCTTTGAAGTGGCCATTGCCGTGGCGCCTTGCGTCAGGGCGCGCTTCAGCGAGTCGATAGTGGCCATTTGAGTTGTCTTGGGTGTATGAAATGCTGCGATGGTGTGGATAGTCACGGAGAGTTCCCAGAATGTGTCCTTAAGTGGCTAAGACAAATTGAGAACAAGAAAGGGAAATGGTCGGGGGTTGGGGGAGAGTTGGCAGTGTTCCCAACTCGTCCTTACGACCCCGCGGCCGGAACGCCTAAGGGTCACAGGACTACGTACGGCACGATGCTAAAAGTGTTGCCGGTCGGGCCGGCGAACTTGGTGACACAATATTTGTCGGTAGTTGGCCTCATTGCGCCCGAGATGAGTCATGGGATGGCATGATATGGATTGGTGCCTATATTGAGGCCCACGAGGGTCATTGCTCTTTAATGTCCGACGCGATGCTGGCTCCCGAGCAAACATCGCGGCCGCCCGCGGTGGCACACCTCAGATGTTGCGGCATTTACGCCCTCCAGCGAAGAGGCCCGGACCCAAAACGCCCGGTTACCCTGATGCTGTCCGGGTCAGGTTCCAAAACTACAGCCGAAAACTCGACAAGACCCAGGGTCTCAACCTAAACCCTACAGCACAGTGATCTAGCGAAATTGCGGGAAGAAATGGCGAAGAGGAAGTCCAAGGCTCAAAAGGGGGACGTCGATGGCAAGACTGCCAAAGAACCCGAGGGTGAGCTGGAATCCCAGTGCCTAAGCAAGGCGCCGGGGCCGAACGGAATTAGGACCGGATCGCCTATTCCAATGATGGATTCAGATGGGTTGAGTCGACCAGGTACGTCTGTCTCATTGCGCCTTGCTCATTCTCCTAAACCGTGGAGTAACCCTCTCTCAGGCATCGGGACCCGAGCAAGACTTGAAGAGTCTTCTGAGGAAGCTGCGAAGCGTCTCGATAAGCTGCGAGATGCAGTGAGGACCATGCTCGAATGCGTAGGCGAGGATCCCGACCGACTAGGAGTCCTCAACACTCCCGAACGATACGCCAAGGCAATGATGTTCTTGACCAAAGGATATGGGCAGAACGTCCAGGACATTGTCAACAACGCCATCTTCCACGAGAACCACCACGAGATGGTGGTTGTCAAGGACATTGAGATCTTTAGCATTTGCGAGCACCACATGTTGCCGTTCATCGGGAAGATGCACATTGGCTACATCCCCTACCACTCTGTCATTGGGATCTCAAAGCTGGCTCGGATCGCCGAGTTGTTTAGCCGGCGGTTACAGATCCAAGAGAGGCTGACCAAGGAGGTCGCAAACACCGTCATGGAAGTGCTTCAACCACAGGGCGTGGCTGTGGTTATGGAATCGTCTCATCTATGTATGGTGATGCGGGGCGTGGGGAAGTCGACGGCGACGACCCTCACTAGCTGCATGCTGGGCTGTTTTGAGGCAAATGAGAAGACGAGGAATGAGTTTCTCAACTTGGTTGGCATCAACAAATGACGATAGAGCCGGAGACGCATTGCATTAGAGGTGGTTGGGGTTTAGGTTAGGTACTCGAAGACACGTGGTAAAATGGCTCATTGCATCCAGTTGCCTCACCTCGCCTTGCCTTGCCGTGATGAAGTGTGAAGCACGCTGCGTTTCACCGTGTTGAGTATGTACAACTGTGTCCACTGCGTTTCAATGTCTCAATTGTGTGCGAAGACAAGAATAGGCTTAAAAACATCAACCAAACATGCCAGGGCCTGACCCGGGTCTCTCTCGGGCTTGAGCCCATGTCCCCATCATCTGATGCTCACGACGCTACAAAAAATGCACCAAGCCAGAGAGAACCAACGCCCAAACACCAACCGTCTTCACCGAGTCCGCCCCAACGCGACCCGCCGTGTTGAACTGCCAACCGGTAATCCTGGACTCGGTGATGTTCCGTCCGTTAATGCGCAAGCAGCTCGAAGTCGCCTCCTTGACCGCGTCGTTGGCCGTCCCGTTGTCGAAGTACGACGCCGGCACTTCGCACCACAACCAGCAATCCTTGACGACCTGAACAGGGTTGGGATCGCAGCAAGCGACCATAGCCGGGTCCCGTTTGTCCCATTCAGGGACGATCATGAGGTTGATATCATGGGGGACCGGTAAGCCGGCTATGTCGGGGATCGCGGCGTTTGGGCATGTCGGTGGGTAAGTCGCCATGTCGGGCGAAGTAGCGGAGATATCGGAAGATGTTTTGGTCGCGATGGTCAGCCGCGAGTGCCCGATGGTATACGAGACGGGAATGGGAGGCAGGTCCAAGTCTCTTCGGGTGCTATTGTGCGGCGCTAAGAGTCGTGGTTGAAGGTCTGGCAATTTTTTGTGTGCTTGTTGTTTCTTCGAGAAACGTTTGGCAAAAAGATGCTCGCAGTAATGATTCAGTTGGGTTTTCTTTGTTTATGGGCAGTTTGGCGTGTGAAGTCGCGGTCACGTTGGAGTTGTAGCCGTCGAGGTGCGCGGCTGAGCACCAACCACATCCAATGTTTCTTCCACTGGGCGGAGACTCCCGATGAGGAACTCAACCTGACCCCACTGCTTGCGAGACGTGGAGACTTCTCGGGGCTCCATCATGATCGCTCGCCGACTTTCCGGTATTATTATTGAAAGCGAAGGAGGCACCTATTGCCTCCCGAGGTGCAGAGGGAGACATACATCCTCAATTTACCTTATTAGTCCAAGAAGACAATCCACAGCAATGCGGCGAGCCATTATTTCAGGCAGAAGCGACAGATATTATCTCGCCAAGAGACCGAAGACGGATAGGTCGGCACGGAGGGAATCCTGAACGATGTGCGGCCGTTCCAAGTTCTTTGCCGTTGCATCCAATTCCCTTGTCACATTTCGCCGACCTGTTAGCTGGAACTTTCGGTGAAGCGGTCAATCAGCGGAGAGTCGCAGTCATCACAACGATTACACAGTAAACTTAACCCTAAATAGTACTCATGTCTTAAAAGGTCGAAGCAGAGGTAAGCTATCTGTTTCTTGTAGCAATCTACGAAAACCAAAGAAGGATAATGAAAAAAAAAAAAAAAAAAAAAAAAATGCCAAAGAAAAGAAAACGACCCCCTGTTTGTCACCCATGGCGTCTATGCACCCCAAGTAACCCAAGCGATGGGATTCCCTAGCCTGCACATGGGCTGTCAATGATTTTGGCCAGTTCAAATCCGAAGAATGACACCAGCTTTGTAGCCATCGCAAGCCCCCCGCCGCAAAGCGCATCATCACCGCTCACCGCCACGCTAACATCTCGACCCTGACGAACGATGACATTGAAGAATAGCTGATGTGGGCACAAGTGGCCCGTCTCGAGCTCTTCAATGGTAGAGACCGTGGATGACGACGGCCTGGTGACGGTGAAGTAATCCGAAGAAAGAGGCTCCCCGAGCATATACCTGCCGAGTACCACTTTCGTTGAGGTTTTGACACCCTCATCATTGACCGCTGGGGTATCGTCTTCGGAGTTGAGGATGTTGAGGTAGGAATTAAACCTGGGGCAAAACCTTTGCAGACCGTCTGACTGCGCGAATTTGCCGAGCTGTGCTAAATGGTCTTGCACAAAGTCCAGTAGACGCTCCTCCGCTGAAGTGGACGAAGACCCGGAGCGTTGGGTACTGCTATCCAAATCTATGCAAAACGGTGTCACGGTCAGAGTCGGCACGCTCGCCGCAGTCAAGTCGAGTGTCTGCGCCCCGTCGACCGAGGAAAGCGACCGCGAAGCATGGTTTAGGCCGAATGTGGGTCGAGAGCGCCCCGTGAAATGTCCCAGCGTTTTTGCGTAGGCAAGCACGATGGCGGCAGAGATACGTGCACTGCTCTTGGTCTGCCAAAGCGCGCCGAGGGTGCTCTCTGGGACGGCGGTAGAATAGCTGGCTTTGAAGCGCGAGCCTAGCGGAGACTTGTCATGTGTGGATGCCGATCCATCACTCTCACGCAAGACTGTATCTTGGGCGTGTGACAGATGATGTTTCCAATACAGGTCCTCGGCATCGGGCTGCCTGAAATCTCTGATCTGTTGGACCACGTCTTCCAGGAGCGCACGAGGTTCCTGGACCTTGCCAAAGGCCAGAAGCTCATTGAGATCCTTCACAACCATCTTGATACTCCATGCGTCGTACAGCGCGTGATGGACTCGGAGCACAACTGCCTGCCCGTCCAAAGCATCCAGGAACGAAAAGCTAGCCGGCGGGATCCTCAAGTCAGATGACCTTGTATTTCCCTCTTCAACGTGCTCGTCAATCAATGTTTGGATGGGCTTCGACTGGTCTTGGAGAGCCGAGAATCGGCCTTTTCCTGCCCATTGCTCGCCCAAGGTAACTTGGACCACTCCTGTTGCTTTGCCTGCCCATACGAACGTGGTCCGGAGAGCTCCATGAACTCGGCAGAGCTCAGCCCAGGCGTTCGCCACCTTTTGCGTGTCGAGGGAGCCGTCAACCACTCGGTACACCCATGGAGGTTCGAAAAACCTCTTCCCGCTGTGCAGCCATTGCTCCAAGTGCGCCCGCTGGCCCGGTAAGACCGGCACGATAGACTTGACTTCGCTCTTTGGTAGCCCGAGCTTATTGGCCACCAAGTCCTTCACCTCTTCACCCTCGGCTAACAACTTGTGTCTCGGTTCCTGTACCGCGATTCCCCGAGTCGAGGTGGCATTCTTGACGATGTCATGAATGCTGGCGCCTCTGGTGATCTCAAAGACGCTCACAGCGATGCCCATCTGCTTCCGCAAGAGCATTGACAAACGAATGGCTAGGATTGAGTCGAGGCCCACGTTGACCAGCCTCGTGTTGTAGCCGATGTCCCTGCCTCTCTGCCTTGTGCCAAGCACTGTCTTGGCCAGTTCCAAAACAGCATCGGCTATTGGATTTGGGCCGTCTCTCTCAGAATGGTGAACCCTCTCCCCTGCGGCTCTCTTCACAGCCAGGTGCCTCTTTCCTACCATGTTCATCTGGCTGATGCTGAGTGCCGGATCTGATACTTCGCATGCGAGGACCCATCTCAGGGCTGCTTCCAGTCGACTCCCCAGAGTTTCCACCTCCTTTTCGGACATCTTAGCTCTCAGTTTTCCGTGAAGGGCGTTGTTCTTGATCTGGAAGCTGACGATCACGGGGGTATCGTCATACGCTGGCCCACCGTCGGACTCTTCCTCCCGGCTCTGGGTGTCAGTCCGAGTAGTCCTGAATAACGATGGTGTCGAGCCGTCATCTTCGGCGCTTGCGGAGGCAATAACACCATCAAACACGAACAAACTTTGGAACAGAGTGGGAGGCATGTTTTCTCCGTCCCGACTTGACGATCTCCACAACGCCTGGATCTTTCTCAGGGACCCCATTGCGACCGCGCCCCTCGCCTCGTCGCTGAGTTCCTGCACCCGGCCTAGGGCCTCTGCAGCGCTGATGGCGATCCCTTGGTCCGCCAATTTGACCCGCATGGGCACTGTGTTGATTGTAGGACCAACGACAGCGTCACCGGTAACACCAGCGCCAGCGCTAGACCCGCTATTAGTCGAGATGACCTCGCCGTAGACGACATCCCCTTGCCCGTAGACAGACTCGCAGAGTACTTTCACCCAGGCTAGCTGAAGTGCCGCCTTGGTCGTCACGCTGAGTGACCTGCATCTTGCTTGGAGAAGCGACAACTCTTGTTCGCTCAAGACGAAATGGAAGGCAGGTGATGCCTGAAGAGAGTTACCCGGGAGTTCGAGTGGCGTATAGCTGTACTCCTGGACCAAGGCGGTCCAGAATGCCACCGAAGCCCTCTGTGCCAAGGCTACTGTTCTTGCAAAGGGCCTGAACAGATGATGTTGGACAACCTCTCGGCTCCCGATGTTGTCATGGTCTCGGAGACGCTTGGAGTAGTTCTCGCCCAGGATGCGCCACACCTCCTGAATCGACGTCGCGTCGTACAAAGCATGGTGAATCCTCAGCCGTACCCTGCCAGGAGAATCCGACTTCACCACTTCCCAATTGACAAGATCGCTTTGTTCAGTAGGGGACACAACACCAACCCATGGTGCCTCGTCATCCTGGGTGAAAATAAAGCGCGTCCTCAATATCTCACATGCCTGGACTGTATCCCTGACAGCGGCAAAAAACTTGTCGAGGTTGGGAGTGTCCGCTGCGAGGGCGTCTTGAGAGAGCCGGGTGGTGTGGACGTATGTGTAAGCCTTGTCTGCAATGGCTAGCGACGCACTGAGCATGCTTTCCTGAAGTGGTGTCGCAGCGAACATGAGGTCCTTGGCTAGTCTCTGCAGGGTCTTGTCGTACACGTCCTCATCGTTCATGTCATTATCGGCTTTGTCGTCTCTGGCCCTGGAATGCTTTCTTGCGTTGCCTTTGGCATTGGTACTGTTCCTGGTCTTTATCTCCTGGACAAGCTTTGCAGTGCCTTGGATCGTTCGAGCTTTGATGACTGCGTCAGGGGCGAGCCAGATGTTCTCCAACTTGTTGATGAGCTTGACGAATGGAATGATCGTGATTGAATCGAGGCCCAGCTGGTACAGTGAAGTCGTCTTCCCATTGTCCGGTATGTCAGAGGGTTTCAGACGGAGTAGGCGGGAAGCGGCTGTCTGCACGCATGCCAGAGCCTCTTGAAATCCCTCATCTTTCAATCCTAGTTCTGGCTCGGGGTCGACTGTGGCTTGATGGCCATTGAGAACGACGGAATCTTTTGAGGCATCCCAGTGCTGGACTGGCAAGAAACGCGCAACTCGTGCGTTCTTGTCCGCAGAATTATACACGACCTCCTCAAACAAGCGGCCAACATCATCTAGCTGAGACTCGGTCAGGGACCCAGCTGACGAAAGTGCCAGGTCGATCCTGCCATCTGCGTGCAAGTCGACGTCGATAGCCAACGCCATGTCGCTCTTGCTCTGGGTACGTAGAGCAGTCATGCGCCCAGGTTCTGGCTCGCCGCCATTCTTCATCTCATCAGCAGGGATAATGTTGATGCTGAGCAGACTGTCAAATAGCCTCTCTTCGGATCCAGCCCAGCGTTGTACCTGCTCCACAGTGGCGAACGGCGATGTTCCCCGACAGGTATCGGCGTGGTCTCCATGAACTCGCTGGGCAAGCTCGGGTAATCCCTCGTCCACTCCTCGGAAGCTGAGCGTCTGGACGAGGGTGTTGAGGCATGGCCCAATAAAACCTTCTGTGCCGTCGACGACATGGGCTAGTAGAGGCCGGAGTGACATGACGAAGCCGTAGACGACTGATCTTTGTCGAGTAAGTTGAGCCAGACAGAGTGCGGTCGCTAGTTGGAAAGCAGTAGAGACTGAAATCGGCACATCAGATTGCTGCAACGGTGCCCGCAGCCTGTCCTTGAGCTGGGTGGCCGTGTAGGCAAGACGGCGAGTCGAGCGAACCATGGTGCCATCGTTGTTGCTGTTGTCGTTCTCCGCCCCAACACGGCACCGCCGCACACCATTTAACCTCGCTTGCCACAGGCGTCTCGTAGATTCCAATGGTGCACCCGAGAGGTAACAGTGACCGGAAATGTTTGTCAACACACCGAGACTCTTGTTGTAAGAAGCATCGAGTGGGTCTTGTCCGTCGTAGGCCTGCTCGAACCTTTTTCTGAGCATATCGATAGCCGCACCATCGAACAAGGCATGATGTATCTTCAATGAGATGAGAGTCCTGCCAGATTCGTCCGTCTCTTGAATCTGCAGTCGGATCGGCGATCGTATGCTCATCTGAGCCACTATGCCTGCCGTGTTTTCTTCGCTGTTGAATGGCGAGGGAGGCGACCGGAGGACGACTTGGAAGATTTGGCCATCGTGCTCTCGTTGAACGAAACATGTTCTCAGTGTGGCCTCGGATGCGATAACTGCCTCGGCCGCCATCTTCCATCTGCCGACATCCGTACCGCGAGCAAGATGGTAGTGGAATTGCGCCACATATGGAACGTCGACTAGTGCTTCGTTACCATCACCAGCGCTCTTGGTCCTCAGCCACCACGATAGGGACCGAGCCACAAGGGCGGACTGTAGCGGAAGGCATGGTAGGACGGCTTCGATCTCCGACTCGCTGAGATGGACGGGAAGTGAGCCGAGATCTGACGCACTGAACGCCTCGACCTCTCGTGCCATGTCTGTCATCTGTTGATGGGGCCATGTGGATGCGGACGCGCTGTTCGTCGAGGCACTGTTGTCCATGTAACGGTCGGCCAATCGAGCTATGGACCGTACTGTGCACGATGAGGATAGTATGTCGGCCATGCTGACCCTGGAAAACCCTCGTCTTCTCAAGAGCGACACCAGAGGAACAGCCGAGAGACTGTCGATACCCAAGCGGTGAATACTACTTGTCGCTGCAGCGAGGTGTATTTGGCTGCCCATGGCCTCCTGTACAGCCATGACGACGGCCGACTCTTCGGCATCCAAAACATGTCCTTGACCAGTAGTAGACGCAGGATCGACTCCAACTTCTTGACCTTTTTGGGCGGCGAAGAAGTCATTTGCGATCTTGGCCAGGAGCTTAGTATCGACTTTTCCCGACGCGGCCAGGTAGGGGATGTTTGAGACCGACAGCATTGTGGGCACCATGAATGCTGGGAGCCCAGTCTCGCATTTCTGATCGATCCTCTCCAGCAACGTCACCCAAGCCTCGTCTTGATCCTGGAGCAGCTCAACCTCGTCGTTGATTGCCGCCTTGGGGGAATTCCCTGCTCTAGGGGCCACAAAGCCGAAGAGCTGCTGCTGCTGATTCGACTTGCCATCGTCATTGGAGACGACGACGGCGGCAAAGTCCAGGTCGCCCTCGCCGGCCGCAGCTTCTTTCAGGAAATGCACAACCTCATCGAGCTCGAGCCTCTGACCCCGAATTTTGGTCTGCTGGTCCGCTCTTCCCAAGAACTCCAATGTTCCATCGTGCATCATTCTCATCATGTCGCCCGTTCTGTACATTCTCATGTGGCCGCCTCCCAGCAGTAAGGTCGTCTGGAAGCTCTTGGCGTTCTCGATAGGTCTGTCTAGATAGCCCATGGAAACTTGCGGGCCGGCGATGCAGAGCTCGCCGGGCTGTCCTCTTCTGGCAACGACTTGTTCATCTCCAGTGCCAGGGCACAGTAGTAGAGCCTCGAGACCCCGGAATGGCAAACCAAGATTGCGAGCGTTGGAGTGGGCGTTCACGGCATGCCCTAGGCAACCAATGGTCACTTCTGTCGGCCCGTAGAAGTTAAAAAGAACAGCTCCTGCATCGTGCCGTCCTTGTTGTTGATTCTCTTGGCCAACGGGGTCGCGTGTCTTCGTCCATGTATTCAGAAGCTCGCTCGACGCCTTTTCTCCACCGGTCGTCACCACCCTGACCGAGGGCATCTCTTCGGGCCGCAGTCCCAGTTGCGTGAGCACGGAGGGGACGGAGCCGAAATGTGTGATGCCCAGCTGATTGATGACCCGCTGCAGGCTGCCGAGCATGGCTGTACGATCCCTACCGATGACGACGCGGTAGCCTAAATGCCAGGGTACAAAGAGCTGCGTGAGGTGAGGATCGAAGGCCCGGGATGTGAGGTTGAGATACTTTCCGGTACCCCCTAATACAGCTGTGCCGGGCGAGGACTCGATGATGCGGGTGCTGAAGGAGGTAACGAAGTGGCAAAGATTACTGCTGGACACGCGGACGCCCTTGGGACGACCCGTTGAACCCGATGTATAGAGAAGATAGCCACCGTCGCCACTTTCGGGCCGCCTCTGGAGGCACACGGGCCAAGACAACATCACATCGATATCATCGTCCCCATTCGGGATCAGCAAAGCCGGCGGATCGCTGTCGAGGTTCATGTCCAGGTCTCTAGCCAGCTCCTCCGTGGTGATGATGAGCTTTGCCTTGGCGTCCCGGATCAGGAGCTGTTTCCGAGCTGGGGGCAGGTCCTCGTCCACGGGAAGGTACACGTAGCCAGCGCGGAAGATGGCCAAGGTCGCTGCGAAGGACTTGATGTCCCTGCTCATATACAAAGCAACAACATCATCCGGCTGTAGATGGACCTGGTGTGATGCTAGGCTCGAGGCGATGGCATTGGCGAGCTTGTTCAGCTGGGCGTACGTGATTGTCTTGGTGGTTATTTCGTCGCAGTCGTCTTCATCAGACTGTTCGAGAGCGAGTTCTTCGACGGCGATCCAGTCTGGGTGCTCTGACGCATGCAGGGAGACCATTTCTGTTGGGTCGACTACGCCAATATTTTCACCGGTACTAGCCGCCCCGCTGATAGATATCAAATTCCGGTCCATTCTATTCGGAAGCAGATGGAGAGGCAGCTGGGGTGACTCCAGCATGGCCCTGGCCTGGTCGATAATTTGGTCCAGCATTAATTCGAGCTGCGCCTGAGAGATGCGGCTCCCATCGCCGGTAAGCTCCATGGCACCCTCGAGCTCAAAGACATTCAAGGCGAGTGGATGTTCCACATTAAGCGACAGTGCCTGCTCTGTCCCCCGGAACATTTGTTGGGCGGTATTGCTTTCGGCATCGTTGACACTCTCTGGAGCTGGATGGTAAACGAAGAAACCTGGAAAAGGAGCGTTGCTGCTTTCGCTGCCGTGGTTGAGGATTTTTTTGATATCCACGGGGTGCAGGTTATGCATGGTCCGGGAGAGGCTTGAGGAGTCACGAGTCATGTTACTCCAGAGCTCCTCAGCCGAAAGGGCATCGGCGCGAACAATTACGGGAAGAGTGGCCATTGCAGGACCCATGACCCGAGCGAGGTCCGGGTGTAGAATCCTCTGCGAGACGGTCTGACCCAGTACGACGGCCTTGAGCTCCAGGTATGACGCGAGAACGCACCCGAACGCGGACTGGAACAAGGTCGGGAAGTCGGGTGATTTGTGCGCAGATGCAGAGGGGAAGAAGATAGGAGGGATCGGCTTCCTCGCTAGGAGAATCCTCTGCGGTTGCTTCTGCCGGGATTGTGTCAGGTCGGGGAATGGGGCGTTCAAGGCGCCCACTGTTTCCCTAGCGCCAGATAGACGGCTATCCCACAAGGAGGCGGCCTCGTCCCTCTCCAGAGTGGTGGGCAGCAGACCCAACTCCATGCCCCTGGCGAGTGGTACCGCCCCATCATCGTCATCGTCATCCCAGCCTTGCCTCTGGTAGAGCTTTGCAACGGTGTTGAGGAGCATTTCCGACGACACACTGTCATATAGCGCGTGATGCATGCTCAGCATCACCTTGCTATTTCTCTCGTTGAACGTCACGGACCAAGGGGGCTGAATTGTTGTCGTTGGTGCCAGTTCCATTTGCAGCTTCTCAGCCCACCTGGCCAGATCTTGGTCTTCGTCACCAGATAGCCAAGCCCAACGAACCGTTGGCTCGCCGCGAACCAGCTGAAGAATGGTGGACCGGATTCCTTGCTGTCGGGCCCATGCGACACTGCCGCCATGCTCCTCTGTGTGTTCCACGTCGAGCTGTGTCAGGGGAACGAAGATGGTCCGAAGTATATCGAACTTCCTAGCAGCCTCTGTCCAAACGTACTTTAAACGGTGACCATCAATCGTGCCCAGGTGGCTCAAGTCAAAGACACGATGTGCCCAGTACGCCCGGGGCTCGAGCATCGTCTCTGCAACGAGTGATTCTTGAATTGGAGTCGCCGGCACCACGTACAATGTATCATGTGGCCTCATGTCGCCGCGGACTGTCTTCGTCAGAGCGTTTTTGATGGAAACCAGCCATGTTGTCCCTGCAGCCGGTTCCGACGATGCCGTGCCGTTAAGTAGTGAGAGTTCAGTCTTTTGACGCGGCAGCTTACGGAGAACGACCTCGACCAGCTCGCCGAGAGATTGGCACCGGATGAGGTCGATAACCCCGACCGCGCACCGCAGTCGCCGCTTCAGCGACCACGCCAGCTTGGTGACCTGTAGAGAGCTGAAGCCAAGGCCGGCCAGGCTATCCCCCGGGGATAAGGGCTCGGTTGCCATCTTGAAGTCGTCGGCGACGATGCGGAGCACAGAAAACTGGTCCTCGGTCCATTGTAGTTTCGTTTGATGACCATCGCCTGCGGATTGCTCGCAGCTGCCCTCTCTTCCAGCCAAAACGTTCAGATCCGAGCTCTGGTAGATTGCCTGCAGGGCTTTGCGATCGACCTTGTTGGACGCGGTCCTCGGCATCGTCGTGTCCAGCACAACCACGTGTCCGGGGACCATATACATAGGTAGCAGGTCCCTGGCCTTCTGGAATACCTGTCCCCTTATCATCCCGGCGTCAACACCGGCTTTTTTGACAGAGACAAACGTGACGACAACTTTGTTGCTGCTGTCCGTGACTGCCCCTGGGCGGGGGAGATGTAGTGTCTCAACATGCTCGACGGCCGCATGATCGTCCTTGACACTCGCACACGCGGCGCTAATTTCACTCAGCTCGATGCGAATGCCGGTGATTTTGACCAAGTCGTCGTTGCGGCCGAGAAACTCGAAGCCGTGGTCGTTGAGACGCGCCACATCTCCCGTTAGGTAGATGCGCTCATCGATGCCGGCGACTCCCTGGATGAAAGCCTTGGCCGTTTTAGTCTTGTTGCTGAGATAACCCTTGGCTACCTGCGCGCCACCCAGGGCCAGCTCGCCGATACCGTACCGCGGGACGAGCTCCCAGCGCTTCTGCTTGGTTTGCGGTACCTCAACTTCGCGGACAACGTAAGCTGTGCAGTGGGCCAGGGGGAAGCCCACGTTGGCAGCCTTGGCCCGATCTCTGCTCCTGCCGTAGAATCGCCTCATCGTGGACACGACCGCATTCTCGGCCGGCCCGTATGTGTTGTACGCGCGGGTGGTGATTTCAGGCGCCGCCCAGGCTTCAGCGACGTTTTCTGTAAGCTTCTCCCCTATGAAGGTCACATACTGCAACGTTGACCCTCTGAGCTCCTCGACATGGATGCTCGCGCCAAACGACGGCGTGAGGTGGGCATGTGTGGGGCTGGACTTCCAGATGAACTCGACAAACGTGCCCAACACCAGTTCTCTTGTGCCGCTGACGACGCTCCCTGCAATGCCCCAGGTGTAAAAGAGGTCCTGGACAAAGACGTCAAAGCTGTAGGCTGACAGCTGCAGTGTTCGCACCTGTCCGGCCTTTTCGTCGTGTTCAACTTGGATCTGCAGGTCTCGCATGGCCTGTGCCGCGGCGTTGTGTTGGATCATGACGCCTTTTGGCTCACCTGTGGTGCCCGAGGTCCACAGCAGGTAGGCCAAATCCTGCCCACTGAGATGGTGGGAGGATAAGACGCCATCGCGGGGAGAAGCTCTTACGGATGACTTCTGATCTGCGTACTTGTCGAGAAGAATGACGCGTACGCCTTCCAGGCTCTGATGTGCAAGGCAGGGCTCGACCAGATGGAGCGACTCCGTGGTTGTCAGCAATACCTTGCTCTGTGTTCTGGCGATCAGTGAGGTCCGTCTTTGCACGGGTGATGTCTCGTCGATAGGACACCAGGCAGAACCCGCTTTCAAGATGGCCAGGATAGCAACGTAAAGCTCGACGCTCCGCTGGAGACAAATGGGGATGACCTCAACGTCCTCTTTGCGCAGGGTGTTTGCCAGACCGTTGGCCCTAGCATCAAGTTCTGCATAGCTCAACTCAATGGGAGGTGAGTCTAGCGAAGAGTAAAAGCTCAAGGCGAGAAGCTCAGGGGTTAAGGCGGCTTGGTCCTCAAACTGGGAATGGAGGAGCTCAAACCGGCCCTGGCTCTGCCGATCGTTTTGTTGTGTGATTTCAGCTGGAGCGGGAATCGTCCCTTCTGTAGACAGCAAGTGCCTGGGTAGACGTGCTGGCAGCCACTGCGCTAGGTCGTCCCGAGATGAATCAACCATGATTTCTATCAGTGCTGCAAGTTGCTTGACGATGAAGGTTGCTGAAAGCTCTGAGAGGGCATCTTCTCTGTACGTGAGCTTGAAGGCCATATTCTCGACCTGCCCGTTGCGGTTGGGGGAATGAGGATTTGTCGGGAAAGCCTCGACAAACACCGAGAAGTCGTAACATATGGCCGGATTCTGGATTTCAGTCCACAGCATAGGAACAGTCTCTTCGGGCGTGGAATCCACCGGAGGGTAAGCTTGCAGGGCCAACGCAGTGTTGTATGGTCGTGTCTTGAAGATGCCAAAGGATGTGTGCTGGTGGCTCTGCGCAAATCTTGACTGAGTTGCGAGACTGCCGACAAGCTCACTGATCGTTTGGGCCTCGGGTAGGACTACCCGGCAGGGCACCACGGAGAAAGTGGGCGCGTGGGCGGGGAGATGATAGCCTGAGATAATGCTGCCAAACACAATGTCTCCCGTGTCTGACTCGGAGAACAAACTCAGGAGAAGGGACCAAGACGCTTGCAAGATTGACAACGGGGACGCGCCCAGAACCCTACTCTTGCCTTCTAGGACTTGCCACGGCAAGTCACTCGCGTATTCGACCATCCCATGGCGGAGGTTTGTGTCGGCGGCAGAGGGGTTGGTATTATCACCGCTTAATGAACCAAAACTCTCAGTCTCCCAGGCTTTTAGCGACTCTCGCCAGAGCTGGTCCGTTTCGGGTTCCACATTCGATGCCCATTCGAACACAACGTCGTAAATGCCCTGCCGCTGGACGGGCTCCAGGCCAGCATACTGCCTAGCCACGTCGCTCATGAGCACCTCGAGTGACGCACCATCGCAAATGCAGTGAGCCATGCTGATGGCCAAAAGCCCAGTTTTAACAGAGGCTGGCCCAGAATCCGAGTCCGGCTCAATAATCTGTATATGGTACAGCGTCTGTAGATCAAGAGATATGCTCTTCTCGGCCAATTCGAGCCATGGCTTCACATCACCAGCGAGTTGACTTGCATTTGATCTCCTATGCACCACCCGGCTCGAGTTGTTGGTGAATCGACGCCATGCCTCGGGCGCCAGGATGACCTGGGCAAAAGGTGACAGAGAATCGTCACATGGAAGGATGGCGCAGCGATAGATGGCCTGTTCGGAGACGACCCTCTCGACGGCTTCTTTTAGCCTCTCAGCAGAGACGTCCGGCCGCAGTTTCAAGACAGAATGGCTGATGTAGTTGCGTCTATCAATAGCGAAACTCACGGCCAATTGGCTTTGCGTGCATGTTGTAGGCAGAACCATCTCGATGTCCGCCGCGTCGACGAGATTGAGTTTGTCGAGTACCTCTGGCACGTATCTGGAGGAAAAGTTGGCGAGTTGGCGTTGGGTGTCGGCTTTTTTGGCTCCTAATTTGGCCGAGACATCAACGTATCGAGCTGAAGGGAAGAAGACAGAGCGGATGGTGGCTTCTGAGTCAAGCAGAAGAGCCAGCGACGGCTGCAGACGCGCATGGCGAGGTTGATAGTCTGTTGATCCGGAATTGGGCCATCGCTTCCGTATGTCCCGCAAAAGTCTCATTGCGCGGAGACTGTCCATACCAGCCTGGGCGAGTGGCGTGGTGGCCGTGACCGTGGCCGTGGTAATGGAGGAGTTACCATCACTTAGGATTCCGGACACGATGTCGGTGAGCTCTTCTTCCAGCTTAGCATCTTCGGGGTCAAATAGGCGTTCGACATGCTCAAAGGTTTTGTGTGGCACAGCTTCTAGTCTCCCCCCCAGACTGTTGTCTTTCAGAGCCTCCTGCACATACGCCGAAGCTGCTTTGCGATCGAGCTTCCCAGAGACAGTCCTCGGGAGAGCGTCGACCTGAAGAATCTTAAAGGGCCTCATGTAGTCTGGCAGGTACCGTTGCGCAATTTCCAGACACCTTTTGTGGGCAAGCTCAAACTCCAAGCCGGCATGTGTCTCAGGTACAACAAGACTCACAACCCTCTCCGAGCCGGTCTCAGACGTCTGGCTTTTCCAAACACAAGACATTGTCTCTCGTACGCCGTCCACTCGGCTCGCCAGCACACTCTCGATCTCGCCCAGCTCCACGCGTCTCCCGCTCAGCTTGACCTGATCGTCGGACATTCTGCCCAGGAACTCGACCATAGGTTCGCCGCGGGGGCCCCATACAACCCTGGCTCGGTCGCCGGTCTTGTACGCTCTGCCCCATTCCGCATCGTCGAGAAAGGCGGCCGCTGTCTCATCGGAACGATTCAGATAGCCCGCTCTGCTCACCTGCGGGCCGATAATGACGAGCTCTCCTACGGCCCCCATTGGAACGGGCTCCAAGTTTGCCGTCTGGGCTTGACTCTGAACCCTCTCGTCGACGATGAGGCAGCCGCATGTTGCAAGAGGCGTTCCTAAAACGGAACCTCGCTGCGCTGCCGGGACATGGGCCTGGGCGATGCAATAAATGGCCGTTTCTGTCGGGCCGTATCCATTGTAGATACCGCTGGGTTTATGCCCAAGATCGCCGTGATTTGCGGTGGGGTTGTAACGAGCGAAGTCCTGCAGCAGGCGCGTATTCAGCGTCTCGCCACCGACCATCAGAGCGCGTATCGATGACGGGTCCAGCAGGCTGGCAAAGCTCGGGGTAATATTGGTCATGTCGGCCTCCATGACCCTGACGACCTTGTCAATGTCTTGTAAGGTGCACTCGCGCGGAGCACAGCACAGCGTTGAACCGGTGCTGAGCGTCCAGAAGATTTCAAAGAGGGAAATGTCGAAGGTCGGCGCCGCGCCTTGATACCATCTGATGGGCTTGCTGGATGATGATGTTGGCGGGACAAGTCGGTAGTGGGCGCTCAAGGCGGAGATGGTACATGCCGCGGAAATGTGACTGATAGCTACGCCTTTCGGCATGCCAGTGGTTCCTGACGTGTATAGAATGTAGGCCGTATCAGTCTCGGCGATGGTTAATGATGATCGCACTGGCTGCCTCTCCGCTCTTGTGTCGCATGCTGCCAGATACGGAGCCACGTTGATCGTGGCAGTAAGGGTAGACTGTGGCGACGACAACTGGGAGTCCCGCTGCGATGATGTGGCCACGAGGAGAGCAGCTGGCCTCAGATCTGCTATCAGCGCCTCCTGTCTCTCCCTGGGGGCGTCCACCGGAATGGGACAAAAGGCCATGCCGGCCTTCAGAACAGCTAGGTAGCTGGTATAGAGCTCGGGGCAAGGCCCCATCAGCACACCGACAGCCTTGACAGACTGCTGTGACCGTGATTGTGGTTGCGCGCAGGTGCGAACTAGTTCAGCCGCCAGCGCGTTGGCGGCATTTTCGACGTTCTGGTATGTATACTGGATCCGCTTGCCGCTTTCGAGGTCGGAAAGGAAGTCCACGGCTGTTCTGTCGGGGGTTTCCGCCACACGTTGCTCGAACCACCGGTGAAGCAGCGCCGGCCCATCTCCATCACTCCCAGACTCCTCATCGCGCTGGCTGTCTGAGCAGATTGGCTCCCTGGGAAACAAAGCGAGGGGCCTTTGCTTAGGTGGAAAGTTGAGCACAGAAGGCTGCGTCCATCGAGTGGCTTCACTTCGGCCTTGCTGTAGACCGAGAATAAGGTCGTCTAGCATCTGACCCAGAGCCTCGAGAGCAGCGGTAGGCACGGCATTGGCCTGCGCGGTCAGCCGTACCTGTCTCGTTGCCGCATCCACATGAAGTTGCAATGCCTGGATTGGGTGTTAGCCACATGAACCGCGACACCTTGTGGCTTTGCACGGTGGCCCGCTGGCTTCCTCATATTGACGCACCTTTCCCTCGCCAATCGAAAAGTCCGTTGGGATGTCATGACGATCCAGATGTTCAATGAAGCCAACGACTCCCTCCTCGTCCTTGTCCCCGTCTTCGGGGACTGGACCGGCGGAACGAGCCAATATAAAACCACCGCGTTCGGCGTCTTGGATACAGTACGCCTCGCCAGGTTCCAGGATCACCAGCCGGGCGACAAGCTTGACAAATGCTTTGATGACTGTATCCCTATCAGGTTTGAGTTCAAGGGGGCTCGACCAGTGTAGCAATTGAACGCCGTCTTGAAGATAGCCTTGTACTCCCAGCCGTGGTACTGCCAGCTCCTGATTCAAAGGCTGTTGAAGGGAATGCAGCGGGCGGAGTTGCGTGATGGGTGGCCGTAGCTTCGGCGCTGTGTCCTCCATGTTGTCGTGAACTCACTGGACAGCTGGGTATTGTCTTGGCTCCGGGTCACCACAGTTCTTTCGGTATACCCAAGGTACCTTGTATGAATCTTGAGAGGGAGGCGTGACTGTCAGCTAAAATGGGTTATATTCCAGGTTGCTGGGACGTATGTACCCTATTCGGCCCCTACAGCCACATGCCTCCCGCTATCGCTCCGGCAGTGGGACAGACAAAACACTCCACCGGCCCCAGAGGTGTGTGCGTATAATTAGACTCCATTTAGTCCCCATCTCACACGCTCTCAGCGAAACCTCGGAGAAATGTGAGGGATTTTCTCGTTCACAACCCACCCGCTCATCCGCGGCTTACCCCCCTTATGTGCATATGTCAAGTATGTGAGGTGACCATTACAGAACCGACCGAGAATAGCCGCAACCTCAGACAGCAGAGCCACGCCCAAATTACCACAAACCCGCTGTCAAAGATGCAACCATCCCTCCCCCCTCGAGTCTCGCTTCGCCCACCGGGGTTCTTGTTTTCCCCCCGGCTCCGTTACGTGCCCCCTCCCGCGTCCCCCCGCCCATTACGTACAAAAGCAGAACAAAAGCGGAGTCGGTAAGGCCTGCCCCTGCATTATCTGATCATCTTGATCATCCAGCAAAGCTTGGGCGGGCTGGGTCGGTCCATGCCCCGCCCTGCGTTCGCTCCGAGTCTGCCAAGAGTGGTCTACAATCAGATGATCGGATAAGATTATTCGTGTTTGATGTCCCCTTTCAGCCCACCCGGGTACCTGAAGTGGACTCAGTGAAGAGCGGGTGGTGCCGCCGCTGTGCAAAATGGCAAATTGCTGCTAAACCATATTGTAACTATCTTACAGTGTTGCATTGACCTAATACAAGAGGAGTATCACCGCTTCCAGAATTTGAGGTATCCATCAAAGTGTGTTCTATCTTCCTGTCTATACGAAATGTGCCTCCTGAAAGAAGCGATCCCGTTGAAGGGCGAAGAGAGTCGCCGTCTTGTGCGGCAAGTGGAAGCGCTTCTTCTTCTCCTGCGGAAGGTACTTGTTCTGAATATGAACGTGAGCCAGGTCGAACTGCGGCTCTGCAATCACTTGCTTGGTTCGAGGCTCTCGGAGAAAGCAGCAGTGCTTGATGGACGTTGCCACGGCTTGGTACCTCTTGCCGCCCCGGAAATGCTCCTCGCCCACCAGGATGTGTGAGTTTTGGTCGTGCTCGCCCACCACAATGCCGCAGTTGGAGCCGAAGAAGCACGCCGCGTTATCTTCTTTGACCCACCCCAGCTCCGTGTACCCGGCCAGCTCGCCGTCCCACTCAAACAAACACGACATGCTGTGCGGGTCTGCCAGCTGCCCCGCCAGGTACTCTCGGTGGTGCTCGTCCGGCCCGCGCTCCTTCCACGCGGCGTTGACGCGGTCCGAATTCTGCCACCGTTTGTACGCCTCGAAGTGTGCCGGATTCTCGGCGTCCATGTGTAGGATCCGGAGCTGCTGCCCGAGCTCGACGATAAATCGAGAGTAGATGGCCGTGCCGGGCTTGGGCTTGGGCGGCCGCACTGGGTGGACAGTGCAGACGTTGCCCTTGCGCGTAAACCCCAGCTGGCTAGGGAAAACACCCAGCGTCCCGTTAAAGCCCGGGAAGCTGGTCACTTCAGGCCGGGCACGGAGCCAATGCTGTGAGTCTGGGGCCCCGGCGCCCTGCCAGAACGCTTCACGGGAGACCCAGTAAATGCTATCTTCCGCTTCTGATGTCTTTGCGCTAGTCGAGAATGGCGATAACACTCCCAGGCCGGTGCATCGCAAGTACTCGCCCACCCGTTCGCTGTCCACCGAGACAGCAATCACGTCCTCTTCTCGGTGGTCAGGATGCAGCCACAAGGCATACACCGAGGCCCATGCCAGCGCGAGGTCATGATGCTGCTTGTCAGAACCAAAAGGCGAGCTAGAGCTAACCACATCCAAGCCCAGAAGCTGGAGTCGGATGACGTCGCCGAACTGCGCAATGTCGTCGTTGACCATGGGTAGGGAGAGCCTGGCCTGCGTTCCAAGATTCGTCCACCGAGCCAGCGCTGCGCTACCAGATCCGACGACATAGTCCTTGCCGGGGCCATCATTTGTGCAAGCGATCCACACTTCCGTCTCGCCGTCCGGTAGTTTGAAGCGTGTCATGCTTTCCATGCTCAGCGGAATTTCGTCGTCGGGCGGCGTATCAATACCGAGAAAACGACCCATTTTTGATGAGGATGGATTACCTCTACTTGGATCAGTTTCCAGTCAACGATACCCAAGTTCTACGTAGAAATAATCCAACGAAAAGCTTATGGTTAGATGAGGAATGCGCTTACATAGGTGTGTCGATCCCGCGCTTGTTGTCAGATCACAGATGAAGGTGGCTTCGGAAAAAGTCAAAGATTTGATGTCAACGTAGTGAGAATAATTGGGGCGACAAAGTATGTAACAAAAACGGTGTAACTTGGTAGACTTGCTATCACGTTCTGCCAGCTGTCTCGTCGTCAGGGATCCTAAATATAACGCTCAACTCAAAGAACGGAATGGTGGGTAGGGTGACGAGGATCCCGTTTTGTTAAATGCATGTAACAAAAACCACCCATCTCTTACACAGTACCTAAGTATGTTGTCCAAACAGGCCTCACTCAAGGCACCCAGACGTCGTACTGGTTACCTAACAGGGAAGATTGTCAGGAGATCGCGCTCGCGTCGTTAGTCTTCATTGAGGAAGACGAGCTGCGCATCATCAAGCGGGAAAAAATAAAAAATAAAAATTTACAGCCAAGGCAATTTGAGAATCTTTTCGCGTTGCATTCGGATGTGTGGGGCGTCAAGGATCGTGGTTGGTATTGAGTGGTCGGGGAAAGCGGAAATGCCTTCAGTGGAACGGCGATGACTCGAGCAGACAGATAATCAGATCATCTGATTGCTGATCCACCACCTTGGCAGCTAAGAGCCGAGGGCCAAGATCCAGGAGAAGCTTGGTCAGAACATGGGTGAAGTCCCACAACGGAAAAGGAAGCGCAGATCACGATCTTGGCCCGGAGACAATTGCCGCACCGAACGCGGGAGGTCCGTCATCGGAAGGATTTTCAGCCTCGCCAAAAGCCCAAGGATTGGTGTTTCTTTCGTCCAGTGGGATGGACGGATGTGCGAGGCAATCCTCTGGCCGAGATACCCACGGGAAGAATCCCAAAACACGTGCCTCTGGTTCCATACCAACTTGACATTCCTCGAACAGCAACAGGACCCGACTCCCAATTCGCCCGTGACGACAGCCAGTGTAAGCCACCAACATGGCGAGTCCTGGCGGGGAATCCTTCCCTCCCCGGAAATGGTACAGAAGAGTGCCGTTCGTATCCACGAAACCGATCAAGAAGCGACTGGCGGTACGGAACGTGAATTCGACTTCGGGCCCGGTCGACGTGGGGAATGAGAGTGGTGGTGTCACTGCGACTGGGGAGAAACTTACGTTGCCAGAGTCCACAGCGAACTGGCTGTCCATCTTGACGTTCGCCTGGCTGAGTCCGGTGATAGGGACGGGCTACACCAGACCTCTTCAAGTCGACGATCTGTACAGCATGCCGAGCACCAGGCTGGTGGAGGGCCATGCGGATCGACTCGAAAGGTTCTGGTCGGAGAGCCTGGAGAAAAATAGGAATCGAGTGGCTTCGTCCGGGCTCATGGCATGGAGGCCTTTCTGGGCGAGGCGCACAACCGACGCTACAGTCTTGACCCTTGCTCTCAACCGTGTCTGCTTCCAGTGGTTCTGGATAGGGGGTCTGTTCAAGCTGAGCGGGGACTTGTCACAAATACTCTCGCCACTGCTCATTAGGTTCCTCATCAACACACTGTCCGACCCGTCCCAGCAAGCCCTGCGCGCAGGCTTCGGCTACGCTGCGGGCCTGTTCTTGCTGCTCGTCTTCTCCGTCACGTCCAACGTCCACGGCTTCTACCGGTCGTATACGACTGGTATCCTCTTGAGAGGCGCCCTCATGCATGCCATTTATCGCAGGGTGACTGTGCAGCTCACCGAGAAGGCCAAGCTGAAACACGGCCTCGGTACTGGCAAGCTGATGAGTTTGATGAGTGCGGACGTGACGCGCGTCGACTTCTGCTGCGGCTTCTTCCACGCCGCATGGACTAGTATCCTCCAGATACTCCTTTGCTTTGCCCTGACGGCATGGTCGCTGGGCTACAGCGCCCTGCCTGGGTTCGGCTTGCTGGCGCTGCTGTATCCCCTGCAGACCTTCATGGTACGACGGTTACTGCGTCTGCGCCGGGCCAGCATGCCCTTTACCGACGCCCGGGTTAAGGCCGTGGTGGAGGCCGTGTCGACTATCCGGCTCGTCAAGGCCAACGCGTACGAGAAGAGCGTGCTCGAAAAGATCCGAAATCTGAGGTCGGACGAGGTCGTCTACATCCGCAAGAGGATGCTTCTCAGGGCTCTCAACACCGCCGTTTCGTACACTGCTCCCACTCTGGCCGCCGTGGCCAGCATCGTCTGCTATGGAGCGACGAACGAGAACGGCATGGACGCCGGTGTCGTCTTCTCCGCCCTAGCCTTTTTCCTGCTGCTTAGGACGCCGTTGCAGGCCCTGCCTACTGCGCTTTCCGCCATCGCTGATGCTCGCGCAGCACTCGAGCGCTTAGCAGTCTTTATGCTTGCATCGGACGCGGGGCCTGCCGGTAATGCTGAACTACACCCAGAGCCTGGCATGAATACAGGCGATGAGTCTTCAGATGACGTGGTAGTTCGGATCGAGGATGCTACCTTTGCCTATCACGATGACGTTGAGCTGATGACTGACGACGTCAACGCTGAAGCCCAGGAATTGAAGATGCCGCACCCAACCGTATCTCAAAGCAAGGTGTCTGCGAGCCAGAGCCAGAGACTGTACCTCGATTCTCTCGTGGTGAAGAGGAACAAACTCGTCTGCATCGTGGGACCCGTGGCATCGGGTAAATCGTCGGTGTTTAGGGCGCTGTTGGGAGACATGCAACTTGTTCAAGCACGCTCATGCCGTCTGGACCACGGGAACTCGTTGTCCTCATCCCGGCTCGCATTTGCCCCGCAGACAGCCTGGCTGCTCAGCGAGACCGTGCGGGAGAATATCGTTTTCGGCAGGGCGCTGGATCTGGCATGGTACGACGAGGTGCTCACCCGGTGCTGTTTGCACCCGGACTTGGAGCGGCTGCCTGAGGGTGATATGACGGTCGTTGGCGAGCTGGGAGTGTCCTTGTCAGGTGGCCAGAAGCAGCGCATCAGTCTCGCCCGGGCCATCTACGGCAAGAGCCCACTGCTCTTTCTCGACGACTGCTTCTCCGCCCTGGACGCTCATGTCGGTGCTCACGTCTTTGACATGGTCGTCAACCGAGCGCGGAGTAACAAGGAGGCCACGGTTGTGCTGGTGACACATTCGATGGTTTTCGCTAGGCAGGCGGATCACCTTGTCTATATGGAGAACGGCCGCATTGTGGAACAGGGCTCCTACGACAGTCTGGCTGGCGGTGGGGGTCCCTTTTCCCTCTTTGTGGGGTCCTCATCAGGAGCAGACTTGGACTCGGAATCAACTCGTCATAGTAGCGACGTTCCGCAACCCCAACATCCAGAGGATAACGCAAAGGAGGTGCAAAAGCAGGACCAGGATCAAGGGATCGTCGCCCAAAAGTCAGAGGGGAAGCGAGAGGACCGAGGCAAAGAGATCATGCAGAAAGAAGAGAGACTTGTTGGTTCTGTCAGTGGCAAGACTTACGCCCGCTACGTGCAGATGGGCAACGCCCGGCTTACCGTGCCGCTCTTCATCACGGCCATCATCACATACCAGGGAACGAGCATTGTCTCGCCACTATGGCTGAGCTGGTGGCAAGACAACAAATACACATCCATCTCGGAGGACGCATACATGGGAGGCTACGCGGCGTTTGGTATCGGGCAGTCAGTCGGCCTGTTCTGCATGAGCGCAACCTTTGCCTTGTTCTGCTTCTGGTGCTCGAACAGGCTTCACCACGCAGCCATATCGAAGGTGCTGCACGCGCCCGTGGCATTCTTTGACACCACGCCGCAAGGTCGCATCACGCACCGGTTCAGCAAGGACGTCGACGCCGTGGACAACGTGGTGGGCGAGACACTGCGGCTTTTCATCTCGACAGCCGTGCAGGTCATGGGAACCATCATTGTGGTAACCATCGTGGTACCGGCGTTTGTAGCCATCGCTGCTGCTCTTCTCCTCGTTTACATCTGGACTGGGATCTACTACAGGCCCTCCTCACGCGAGCTGCGCCGCCTGAACAATCTGCTCCGCAGCCGCATCTACGAACACTTTGGCGAATCCATGTCCGGCCTGCCCACCCTCAAAGCCTTCGGCGCCGTGTCGCGCTTCGTCGATGACAACGCCCGCAATATCAACGCCGAGACTGCCGCTTATTGGCTATCCGTGGGGTGTCAGCGCTGGCTCAATCTCCGTTTGGACCTCTGCGGGTCGATGCTCGTCTTCGCCACGGCACTGCTCGTCGTGGGACTCCGAGACACCATCAACCCATCGTCCGGGGGTGTGGTCCTGTCGTACGTCGTCACGGCGCAGGCCGTGTTTGGAAACATGATTCGCCAGAGCGCCGAGATCGAGAACAACATGAACTCGGTCGAAAGGATGCTTCACTATGCCTACAACATCGAACAGGAACCTGCACACGAGGTCGACAGCGTGGACAAAACGCTCAGGGCCAGTGGATGGCCGCGGGCTGGTCGTGTGCAGTTTGAATCACTGACGCTCAGCCATCGTCCCGGCCTGAAACCGGCACTCAGTGACGTAACGCTAGACATAAAGCCTGGTGAAAAGGTCGGTGTTGTCGGGCGTACTGGCGCTGGGAAGACTACGTGTAAGCACCCAATCCAGTCACTTCTTCCGAACCCCCCAGACTCCATTTTCGTCATGCATTAGCTCACCATGTATCAGTGATATCCGCCCTGCTGAGGGTGATAGAACCCACAAACGGCAAAATCTTTATTGACGGAGTCGATATTCACACGATTGGTTTGCATTTGCTGCGGTCAAGCTTGTCTGTCATCAGCCAAGACGCCGTCCTCCTCGCCGGAACCATCCGGTACAACTTGGACCCGTTTCAGCAGTATGATGACGGCTGGCTGCACCAGTGTTTGCGAAGAGTTGGACTTGCCGGTAGCCAACCAGACACTGATGCAACAAGTTCAAGTGGGCAAGACAACGAAATCGGGGCTGGTTCATGCGAATTAGAGAAGAGCCAGGACTTCGAGCCCAACAGCGGCAGCAGGGGCCTGACGTTAGACTCGGAAGTCAAGGAGGGCGGCGCCAATCTCTCCAATGGCCAACGCTCTTTGATATCCATCGCCCGTGCCCTTGTGAGGCGGTCCAGGATCCTCATCCTAGATGAGGCCACGGCGTCCATCGATGGAAGGGCTGACGCGGAGATTCAGGTGATGTTGAACGAGGTGGTCGGGGACGCTACAGTTCTGACCGTCGCTCATCGACTGGATACTATCGTTGCCACATGTGAAAAAGTTGTTGTGATGGACAATGGCCGGGTCGCCGAATTCGGTTCCATATCAGACCTCTACTCCAGGCCGGACAGTCTATTCCGGGCGCTCTGCGAGGCTTCCAAAACCACTGTTGGGGGGGCAAAATGTTAGCACAGCAGCGATGACCAGTATGAACCTACTGATCCAGAACCCCCTTAACTGAGCTGATGTAATTAAACGGATCAGCCCGGGCGGCAGATTATCTCAGTACCTAATATTAATAACTAGTTCAGCCACGACAGCACCTTGCTTTTTTTCTCGTTCCAACTTGACGCCAAAAGGAATGGTGCAGGTTGCAGCAGTCACAGGTTGCTTGGCTGTCAGCCCGCTGGTCTGCGTCTAGCGGCCTAGCGTATGTCCGGGCTTTTCAACTTTCAGTGCTTTGCAATGATTTCGCGCAAAGGTGCAAGCTGCAATCCGTCGGTGGCTTCCGGTTCGTGAACCAATGGTGGCTTGCTCCCGCGGCGGTTTTTGGCACACCGAGAATTGGGTCGTCAAAAGCCGATGTCGGCGGGCAACCCTGGACAAGACTTTTTATCAGATTCTGCGCAACATGCAGTGTAACATCGCATGGCGTGTTGCCAAGTGTGGGGGGGCGGGAGGACGAGAGGGGGGGGGGGGGGGGGTGTGTGGGTTGCAGAGCGTCCTTCGTAATGGCCGCCAGCCACCTTGGTTTGGGGTGCTCGTTCAGCACCAACAACAATTTACCTAACGTTCACACCGTCGTAAAAATAGGAGCCCTGGCCGGGCTCGGGCGGATATTGGTTACTAAAAAGGAAAGAAGGAAAGATAAGCAAATGAATATACAAGGGCCACTGCAACCCCACCACTGCTCCCACGTGTCGGTCGTTTTGCACTTTGACCTTGCACCATCCTTCGTGTCCCGAGTCTGGTTTCACACAACTCCGGCATCTGAGTCCATGCAACTTTAATTGCCACGCTTCCATTCGGCCCTCCGTTCCTCCATTCCTCCATTCGGTCTTTATTATTATCAGGCGCGTACTCCGAAACCGCCCGACCCAAGGCGACATGTCGACGCCGACTGCAGCCTCTCACGCTGGCCAGCCGAACCGGGAAACCAACAATGACGATCTTGTACCATCCTCGTCCCGGAGGAGCCACGAAACGGTTGATGGCATCGGAGAGGCGGATGACCACTCCAAGACTGTTCTTTCGCGGCGAGACTCGGTCCCCATAGGCTCTGGTGTCGATGCCATCACCGCAGATGGGGGCCACACTGAGATCGGCGTCAGCAGGGTCGAGGCCTTCAACAAAGTCCTGTACCAGTCGGGCAAATCTGGCAAGATCTTGCTGTGGCTGCTGGGCGTCTCCATCGGCCTGACCATGTTTGCTTATGCCCTCGACCAGGGCATCACCTACAGCATCTTCACCACCATGGCCAGTTCCACGTTCGGGCAGCACAGCTCGCTCGCCGCCGTCAGTACGGCCAGCCAGATCATCCGAGCTATCAGCAAGCCTTTCATCGGCAAGCTGGCTGACATCACCTCGCGTCCCACTACCTACGTCGTCATCCTCGTCTTCTACGTCGTCGGCTTCGCCGTCGCGGCCAGCGCGAGCACCTTTGCGGCCTACACCGTGGGAATCTGCTTCACCTCTGTCGGCAAATCCGGACTCGACCTGTTGAGCGACATCATCGTTGGTGATTTGACACCGCTCCAGTGGCGAGGCTTTTTCGGTGCCGCCCTGTCTATTCCCTTCGTCATCACCGTGCCCGTCAACGGGTTTATTGCTGAGGCCTTTGTTGACAACTGGCGCTGGGGTTTGGGCATGTTTGCTATCCTCGTGCCTGTCCTGCTCCTGCCGGCCATCTTCACGTTGTATTCGATGCAGCGGCGAGGAGAGAAAATGGGCATGGTCACGATGGCCGCTTCAAAGCGCCTGAGGACCGGGGAGGGTGTGGAGGCCTCTGAGGAGCCGACGAACTCGAAGGGTTCCGCCTCCTGGATCAAATCCCTTTACCAGGGCCTGGTAGACATTGACATCATCGGCCTCGTCATCCTCGGTATATCCTTTTCACTCATCCTGCTGCCCTTCACCCTCGCAGAGGACGCTGATGGCGGTTGGGCTAACGGGAGCGTGATTGCCATGCTCGTCGTCGGCTTCGTCCTGCTCGCTGTCTTTGTGCTTTTCGAAGTGTACCTTGCCTCGAAGCCGCTCATGACGAAACGCATCATCAAGAACCGCACCTTCCTCGCTTCGGTCACCATCTACGCCTTCAACCAGATGGCCTCGGCAACCCGAAACACCTACATGTCCTCGTACGTTTACATTATCAAAGAGTGGACGACTTACGAGTGGACCATCTTCTTGGGTATTACAACCATGGGACTCAGCCTGATGGGGCCCATCGTCGGTCTCATCCAGAGAAAAACACACCGCTACAAGTCCATGATGGTCTTTGGCGCTGCGGCGAGACTGATCAGCTACGGCCTACTGGTACAAAGCAACGGCAACATGATACAAGACACGGCCCGTTTGATTGTTGCGCAGCTGATCTACTGTCTGGGTTCCTTCAATGTTGTCGGCGCCCGCGTAGGCAGTCAGGCCTCGGTGCCACATGAGGACATGGCCTCGATCATCGCTCTGCTCACGCTGTGGTCCACCTTGGGCTCATCCATCGGCAGTGCCGTCTCGTCGGCCATCTGGACGAATGAAATGCTCAATCAAATGCGCCAGGAGATGCCCGGGGTTGACGAGGCGACCATCTTGAAGCTCTACGGAAATATCAGGACGCTCCGTACAACTTACGACTTCACCGATCCCATCAGGCAGGGTGCAATCCGCGCGTATGCTTTTGTCAACGGCCACATCGCCATTACCGCCCTCATCATGGCTGCTGTACCGCTATTCGCCACCTTCTTCATGCCTGACTTCTACCTGGGCACTCAGCAGAACGCTGTCACCAACTTGGGTCTCGACGGCGAGAGGGTCGATGTACCGGAACGGCCTGCTGAGGATCGGGCGAGGGTCGAAGCGAGGTCAAGGCCGTTTTATCGGAGGCTGCTCGATGCCTACTACAGAGACCGTGTGTAGGCAACGTCACATTATAGGTGTTAGTCTGGCTGAGCAGTGTTGAAAGTTTGGGATGAAATAAACTTGATGTTCATCCGCTTGTTATCTCGCCGGAAATACATAGTAGCCGCTGGTAGTTAGGTAGGTAGTTATATGTACTTACATTATATTAATGTTTTTGTCTTGGTATTCTACACACCCACGAGACGCGGTTTGGCTCGAGTGCGTCGTACTCAAGTGCCTCGAGAAAAGCTTGATCTGCCCCTATTATCTAACGCTCCCCACCACACGTTCGCAGCTTTTAACTCATGCTAATAAACGCGAGGACTTAAACTCAAAGGCTATAGTTTCATCCCAAAGGACTGAAAGTACAACTTGTTTCGTTACTTGGGCTAACTATGCTTGTCGTTTCTCATTTGGGATGCGGCATGCTTGGAGATGTCCGGCGCTGCGAGGCATTTGGAGTTTGAGGGCCGCTGGCGATAGACGGGTGACGTACGAGAGCAAACCTAGGTAGACAGTTACTTGGCTGGCGACCTTGGAACTTGAATATACACAGCAACGTCTATAATCACTGTCAAGAATAGGCCTTTCGCGTTCCGACTTCATGTGATTAGCCGTGCCCGGTTGAAGCTTGGTAAGAGGATACCAAATTTATGTACCTGCTCGACTGGATACATTTACCAGTCAACCCCCCCTCGCCTTCCTTCCTCTTACCCCCTACCTCCTTACCGGGTCAGCGAGTGGCATGAGGCCTTGGGAGGGCGCAAACCTGACGACGGGTAAGTTGTTGAAATGCGACCATCGATACCTAGGTCTGTAAATTGGATGAGTCTAAACCCAAACCCGGAGCGGCAGTGTTCGATTCCGCTTTGCGATCGGCATTGGCACATGGTTAGTCAGGTTCCGTACCTATTTAGCCAGGGTATCATCCTGACCTCACTTCTCCCTCTTCCCCTCTCAACCTCCACGGCCGGGCACCCCGTCCAACATTGCCACCACTACAAAATGCCGTCCCTAACACGCTTTGGTCTCGTGGCCCTGGCCTCTTCTCACAGCATTTATGCCTCACCGCTTGTCCCTCTTGAGACAACGCAAACAGTGAGTCGGATCGACGACCGATCGTTCGACGAAGCAGGCTTCATCCACCTTGTCGACTGCCACCCATTAGAAGAGGCACCAACGAACTCGACACAGAGCTGGATGTCACTCGTAATTGTACGCAAGTTCTCAGTCGGCCTTCCTCCGCTAAAGCACACACATACATCCCAAATAAGAAATTCACCGAACTGAACGTTAATCTTATACGCCTATCCCGTGCAGTACTGCCCTGACGGCACCGACTGCAACAACATTGACCACTTCCCCGAAGCGCAAGACATCTGTGCCATGAAGACGAGCGACATAGCGCTTGATTACCACAAATGGGAGAACAGCGACTGGCAGCACTGTTACTTTGCCGAAAGGGGGGTATTCAGTTGGGCGATTAGCAGGTTTGCGCGGCTGTTTCCGCCTGCTACAGAGGTTGGGTGAGTGTTTTTTCCCCTTCCTCTTCTGTCGTCTTTTTCTTTGTCGCTGGGACCCTGGATGGTGTTACTTTTTCGTTCCCATCCCTTCCTCCCTTTCCTCTTTTTCACGTTTAGAAGTACGGACAAATTAGGCATGCGAAACTAATGACGCATGTCTAGAATAGGTGAGGATGTCGACTCTCAGGGATTTGCTGCCTTTCGAGGCGATGAATTGCAGGGGGCCGGGCCGGCGACGCACAATTGCTCCAGGGTGTATTACTTTGCCCCTGACTGAAGTTAGGGTAGGTAGGTACCTACCGAGTTAGGCAGCGCGGTTAGTTGCTACACCACCATTGGGAAAGGGATTCTTAGTCGCTGTTTGTAAGAGCATGATGCATCTGAAGGGTTCGTTGGGGGGGCCATACTGTTGAAGGCTTCTCGCATAGCATGGAAGACAGCAGGTGCCGCTGAACTGGAGCAGGCCGGAGGGGGGTGTTAAGGGTGCTGACTATGTATTTTGAGGCAACTGACCTCGCTACACAGTGTCTTTCTATTCATTGCCGTACTATGATATATCATTGCTCTCCCAAGTTGACCTAACTTTAACAACACCGCCCGCGGTGCCTGAAACCACCTCCTTTTCTCTCGTAGCGTTCCTGGATGGGAGGCAAATTCTTGTGGCCAAGCGTCTGGTTCTTTTCAAGGCCGTCTGGGTGTCGCTGCACGTGGCATCTCAGACCTTATATTCGCACTTTCCGTGCCGCCTTACCCAAGGTTGTCAGTCTAGGCACGTGATTAAGAGGGAAGGAGAGGAGGAACCTGCTTGGTTAGCCCCGGACTTGGCTCGGGCGACGATGCGTCTCCGCCCACCGGCCTCGGCTGCGTTTGAGGCTTCGTGACATGTGCTGCATGTGCGGGCGCCATGGGGAGGTTGTTTGATACGGCCAAGATAGAGGAGATGACCTACTTATAAGCATCCGCGAAAAGGAGGACTGCCTGGTATATTTGTCAACTCAGTGAATGGCCCGGAATGGGAAGCCGCAGAGAGCATAGCATATAGCACTTACCTACCTATGCTACGGTCTTTACATGTATATATTGTTTGATCTCGGCGATTCTCTGTAGGTTACCGCTTTGCTTGAACGTCTCGGCAACAGAGACAAGGCCTCGGAAAGCCGAATAACTAGAGCTTCGGTGTCGGGAACATGGCTCAAAGAAGTCTTTTTACGCTTTCCGCTGGAACGGCTCTTCGTCTACTTGCTTTGTCTGGTACAGTCTGTGACGTTTGGGAAGAGAATGACAGGAACCACATTATAGTGAAGTGGTGATACCTCACAAACACACACACCACCCACACTCGGCACCTGCTACACCCGTTGTGATGCCAATGTAGCATAAAGGAGGAGATGGCTCAAGGAATACCTAATTTTCGATCCTACAGATCCTACGATCGTAGTGGCGATGCGCCTTCGCGAGTGGCCCTCTGGTCAGAGGACCGCGGTCGCAGTTCCCGCGGCAGACATAAGGGTCACTTCTGCAAGTGTGGGGAAAGGAAATGAAATTGCTTGCCCTCTTGACCCCTGAGAGGCCTGGAGCCTTTCACTAAATGCAAGGACGCGCAAGGCGGAAGAACACAACGAAGAAACAAAAGTCGAAAACCCACGCCCCCTGGTCACCGAGAGGCTGACGCCCCAGTTCAATGGTTTTCTCGAACTTGGCATTCTCCGCCGGCTTGGTGTTCGACTGCGCGCCTCCTCTATCCCCGTTTGAAGAATTGAGTTCTGTTGGTTGTGCCTCTAGGCCTGCGAAAAGGATGTCACCGCCGGGGGCACTTGATTGCGGCCAACTCTCATTTGCTGGTTGCTGGTATTGACACTATTAACTGATTTGACAAGTTAAGGGTGCCTAGCCTTGGTCTACTAGCCAAAGGCAATCCAATCTGCGCCAACAGTGTAGAGAATACTATCTGCCCATGCATCACCATGCCAATTAAATCCTTTATCATCGATCTTATCGGCAGAGACCTTGACACGGAAATTACGCGAGTTGTCCATGTCAAGCTCATTGAGTGCGATAAACACCTTGGGCTCAGTGCGGTCGAACGGGATGTCAAACTTCACACGACCACCATTTGCAAGGCGCGGGGGGAACCACTTGCGGTGGGCGCTCGAGCTAACGGTGCCGCTGGCAACGCCTGGATGGTTTCTAGGGCAGGCTACCCAGGCCGCCGACGCGCTGTAGACAACTGTATTGTCCCACGACTCGATAACAACGTCAAACCCAGAGGTCGTTACGTTGCGCGCTGCAGCGCGGATCCGCCCTACATCACAATGTCAGCCGGATAGTTTCCTGTATATAGAGGGTTTGAGGGTACAGCTTAGAGACATTTCGACACCATGGTTACGTACAATTGAAGTCCTTGCTCAAGTCCAGAGCGTTCAACCAAACCGTCACATTGGGCGCCTCGGCATACTTGCCAGGCGGGAAGTCAACATGTTGCATGTCACGCCGGAAATTGCCTTCGGCGCTGGGCTGCCGGTCCTCAAAGGAGCGGTTGTCGGTCGTGTCGAACTGGCCCACTGCCACTCTGGTAAGTAAAAGCACGAAATAAAAACAAACGAAGAAAGGTCTGGACAGTTTGCAAAACCTCGTACCTTCGAAGTTGACCTCGCTCCTAGCAAACTCGAGCCACGTGGCCGCAGCGTTATACAGCTCCGTATCTGCCCAGGCGTCCAGGTTGAGCGTAAAACTCTTGTTGCTCCGCTGGCTCTGGGATAGCGTGTGTACGCGAACGCGGATGTTGGCCGTCTTAGCTGCGTCGAGCAAGGTGAGGCCGAGTATAATCCGCGGCGGCAGGGGATAGGGCGGGTCGAACTCAATGATCTTTGAGTTGAGCGCTAGGGGTGGGTAAGGCTGGCGGATGTCGGGGCTCACGCTCAGACGGCCGGTGTTACGCGTTCGGAACGGGTAGGCTTTGCGAATGAAGCTGATGTCGGTCTCGGACAGCGCCAGGTTTTCGTTGATGCCGCGCCCATCCTTGGTCCACTCGGGCGGGATCATGTAGCACATGATCGAGGAGGGATCGAAGGCGGAGTGCATTGTGGCATCGAGCTCCTTGCCAAAGATTTGGGTGCGCGTCTTGTCCTCGTCCCAATGGTATAGTCTCTTCGCATCGGCGATCACCTTCTCCTCATCCCAATGGATGTCGGCGGCTAGGCTCTGGTGCTCGTGGACGCACCCAAGTGCGTGGCCAAACTCGTGCAGGACTACGCGGCAGATTTCGTCGTCCCGACTGTTGTCGTTAAGGGAACCGAGGTTCATTGTGGGTTTGTTCGGGTCCAGGACAAACTTGGTTGCCGAAGTTCCGACGTGGGACCAGTTAGAGTTGTCCATATTCTTCCAGTTAAAGGCCACACGGATTGGGGCGTCACCATCGTTGACGAAGACGAAGTCAATGTTGGCGTGTCTTTCCCACTCTTTGGCATACTGGCGGACCGTGTCCTGGAGGGCGGCGGAGCCGTTGAGAAACCGGACCCTAAGTCTTTCGCCGTCTCCCCAGAACAACTTGGGATTGAGAGCGAGGTCCAGAGGGGCCCCTTCTCCTCTAGTTAAGTTGCTCAGGACAGCATCCCGGCTCTGTAGGAGGCCTACGAAGTCGGCAGTACAGTAGTATGGAATTTTATCGGTCATTGTTAATGGATACGAAGAAGGGGAAGTGCACAAGTTAGTTATGGTAGGATATGAGTGTATCGGAATTTCAAAAAGAAGGGGCACAGTATTTTACCTACTGTTTTAATCAAAGGGAGACCAGATTCCCATAAAAGTCACTCGCTAATATACCGAAAATCGGAGACCCTTAATTATTACCCAATTTTACTCCATATTAAACACTCGCCACCACTTAAGATCAGGTATAGCTCCGAGCTTAGGCTAGGCGAGACAACACACAGAGCTCCTACCTCTTCTAGCCTGCTACATGTAGATAGAGATTTGATATGTGTTCCCCGTTTCTTCTGTTCCACTTCCTCCGGCTGGAGAAATGGAAACAGCGGCCGCAGAGAATTTGGCAACGCACCAGCCGCCATTAATAGCTCTGAGGGGGAAACATGCAGCTCTCCTACCTTCCCGGTCTTGCTGTATGTGGAGGGAGATGTGACACATGTCCCCTCCTTCTCTTGTATTCCACTCCCTCTGGCTGGAGAAATGGAAACAGCAGTTGCGAGGAATTTGACAGCGCGGTAGCCGCCATCCACGCCCCAACCGCCATCAACGCCAATCTAAGATACATGCCGCTCGATGAAAAAGAGGAGCGGCTGACGTATGAGGAAGGATCGGCCATGAGTTGTCTAGCTGAGCAGCAGGATCATTCCCAATGAAGATTCTAGTGCGTATATATGTCTACCCGCTCAAGGAGTAATGGTCGCCAGTAACTCGTACCCTCACTCGTACTTCAGGACACATTCGTAATTAGGTATCTCACTCTACAGGCCGATAACCGGAACCAGGACTTTGCTCGGCTTCAATATCGGGAAGCGCGGCACAGGATGCCTCCAGACACATTTATAAAGGGTACAGCATTCCCGTTTCTTAAGCAGCAGAATTCAATCCCATCAAGCTCTCCCATCAAGCTCTCCCATCAAGCTCTCTTTTCCTATTCCCATCCTACACACTTACCTTATGCCTCTTTCCAGCTTAGAACCCGTCTTCGGAAGAAAATAGCTGAGACCAACCTCGGTAGGTCTCCGGGTCCAGTTACTCCGGGATTGTACTTGTACTTACAGAACGACATTTAGGCACTGTTATCAGGCTCTCTCCGGGAGATGATGGAACCTGGACCGCCAGCCAAATCGAGGTCGCCCGCAACCTACCGCCCAGTAACACTCCGGGCCATATTCCGTTCGAATAGGGGTTTGGCCCCGTCAAGGTAACTACCTAACCTGGTCCTTCTTTCTAACAAGGGATCGGAGCATCGCTTACAGTTACTAAACAGGTTTCAAGCTACATCGATACATCTAACTTCGGCCTTGGTGTTAGCGTCAGCGTCGTAGGAATCAACCTCGGTACCGTGTATGGAAATCTGAAGGAAGGTGTCGGTATCAACGTCGACCTCTTTGTTGCCTCAGGGGCGATCAAGTTCTACCTGAAGAACGGGAACGAGCTTTAGGTTCATCTCGATCTCAAGATCAAGTTTGACAGCCACTTCGATAGGGACTACAAAATCATCTCGTTCTAAGCGTCCGTATAGGGGAAGTAATCGACATTAGGTTTCGAGTTATTTGTTTTCTTAATTCGTTCGTTACTAAGCTAGCCAGCCTACCTATTACTTCAAAGAAACTATTATACATACATACCAAGCGAATTACATATGCGAGTGACAATACTTGATGCCCAATCACACACAACAACTCGCTTAACCAAGTGGAAAAGAAGCTCTTAGGTCGATCGCCGTAACTTAGCATCTCCTAGAGCTCAGGCTCTCCACCTCGATACAGGAGTGGCACAGCAAATGCCCATTTTTATTTTCCAACCCGATGCTCAACCTAAGGGGTTATATAGGAGGACCAACCACGATAGCTGCCTTGGTAGGTATTAGTCGGATCGTCAATTCAGGAAGCCCGACAGGTAACTTCCGCTCAAGCACACATTAACTCCCAGCTTGGTTTTCGTCGTAACATTGCCCTTGGATGCGGGCTGCAGGCCCACATCCTGCGGAGACGGATCGATTAGCTCCATTCCTATAGGTTCCATTATCCCTCATTCTACAACACCTTCATTGGGTAGTAGCTCAGCTGTAAAGGGGCAGGGCGCTAGGTTAGATACGGCAGTCTAGACCTAATTGCGTATCAGATAGGTAGGTGCCTGAGATTAATCAGCACACAAGAAGCATGTCAATTCCTAACCTCGGCTTCATTACAGAGATGCTAAAGCATAGTACTTATCCGTAGCCGGCCGGTGTAAAGTCCGTCGGTGTGGAGGCCAATTATATCCCTTCCGTTTCCGTATGTTAATTTCAATGTACTACTGGGTTCTACTCCGGTCGACTTGCGCGGGATGGATGCGGCTGGCGGAAAGGCCCGCGGGTGATCCCACCTCGAGTCCTACCGCGAATCCTACCGCGGTTCCCGCGATCAACCACTACAGGTACAGCCGATCGACCACCCAGTGCCGGCCTCTACTGCATTCGGATGAAGGGACATGCCGATGGTTATCACAGACCCATTTTTTAGGTGCGCGTTAGTTATAATTATTGTAGAAGCTTCGTTCGAAATAGTAAAACAACGCTATTGTAAAGAGCGCCCTAATAACTCGGTGCTGGTATATATAGACCGCATCAGGTATACCCAGCCAAGCAAGCTGGTCATTAACGGCATAATGTAAACGCTGTAGTTGAATGCCTCTATGCCGGTTCTTGTAAAAGCAGTTACTAGATTTCTTCGAGGTGCCGTTAAATACGATAACCTAGTCCGGCTGCCGTTTAACACACATAACCGACCAGATCCCCTAGTGCTGGTAGAACAGAAATGTCTTCTTAACTTGCGGCACAGGGAAGGCTTCGAGGTTGAAACCTGTCACGGATATGGCCGCATGCAGCCGGCCGGCGGGGTATGATGGCAGTAACCCCGGACCAATCACCCGACGAGGCACTCAGCCAGTAAGAAGCGAGAGCCATGGTGCTCAATGTGCTCAGAGCCAAGACTCGTGAGCATAATGAGCAACAGGATTAGATAGTATATAGTCACTCGTTCTGGAGAGCTCTGGGAGTTCTCCAGTTAGCAATCACAACTACAGTTCGCTACAAGCTCGAGAGCCTACTGTTGAGACAAGTCTTTGTTGTGCACCCTTTGGCTGCACCGAACCTAAGCACCCTTGAGAGAATACCTTCGACCGATACTGAACCCTAACAGGACGGGTCCAGAGACAGGTTCGTCACACGTTGCTAACTCCCTTTGATCTGTTACAGTTCAGGCTCGAAGGTAAAACGACATGGCAACTCAACCGACGCCGGGCCAGATCACGGCCGCGCTTCAGAGAGTCACCGAACGACTCGATGAAACTGAAGAAGAGCTTGCGAAGACCAAGGCCAGCAACGCGGCATTGGCAGCCCGACTTGCGGCGACCGAGGTCCACACCAAGGACCCGGCCAAGACAAAGGTCAAATTGGAGCAACCCGAGAAGTACGGGGGCGACCAGGAAGCCTTGCCAGGTTGGATCACGGAGATGCGGAACTATCTCGACCACAACTCGCACCAGTTCGCCACTGAGGAATCCAAGACCAGATACGCCGCCACCCGACTCAAGGACAAGGCCCTCAAGTGGTTCACGGGAACACTGAGTGATTTCCTCGGCGGAGCAATCCACAAACCCTTCACCAAAAAAGTCTTCGAGAACTACTCCGAGTTCGAGAGTGAGATTCAGAAGGTGTTCGGTGACAAGGACGAGAAGCTGCACGCCCAGGAACGGCTAGGACGGCTGAAGCAGACTAGGTCAGCCACCGCCTACGCCACGATTTTCCGACAAGACTCCATGAAGGCAGAGATAGACGACGAGGGGCTGATGCACCTGTTCTACGGAGGGCTGAAGGAGGAGGTCAAGGACGAGCTCTACAAGGAGAGCCGACCCGACACACTCGACGAGTACATCGCCATGGCTGTCAAGATTGACGACCGACAGTTCGCCCGCAAACAACAGAAGAAGGGCAGCGAGGTACAGCGATCCGCAGGCTACCACAAGCCCAACGACAAAAAGAAACGCCAGCACCAGAGCACGTCATACGGCACGCACTCGGGACCCATGGACGTCAGCGCTGCCCAGGCACAGTGGGCAGGAAAGAGAGATGGTGCCAAGGACAAATCAGGCATCACCTGTTACAACTGCGGGAGGAAGGGTCACTTCAAACGTGACTGCCGCAGCAAGAAAGAGTGGAGACCGGTTCCAGGGAAGGAAGCTGCCACCATCGACCAAGACACGGTCGGAAGAAGAACCCGGTTTCTGGAGGTCGCAGCCGCCAGCTACACGCAGGACGACCTCGAAATCGACATTGACCGAGTCATCGAGCAGGACGATGAACTCACCGACTCGGATCAAGAAGACTTGAGGAGCAGCAACCACCAGGAGGGAAATGACACCGCCCATCACGCTTTCATCGAAACGGATGACGAGGGAGAACTGGCTCCCCCGCGGTACATCCGACAAGTCGCTGAGGACTGGGGCATCACCCTGGTTCAGCAAGAGGACGGGCAATGGCGAACCCACGAGGGTGAAGGAGGAGTCAGCCCGAACCTCACCTTCCTACAGCAGAGGGTCCTAAGCCAACGGCAAAGGATCGAGGAGTTGTCGAGAGAGAAAGAAGAACTCGAGCAGCTTCTCCAAGCAAGGAACGACCAGTATGGACA